CACACATGGAAATCAGAGTACAACTTGCAGGAGCCAGTTCTCCCGTCTACAGCATGGACCCCTGACTCAAGATGTTCAGGCTGGTGGAAAGTACCCTTACCCACTGAGCCATCCCATCAATGTCCCACCCCAAGGAATACAGACTTTCTCTTTCTAACATATTCTAACCCAGTTTATTTTATTTAACATTTATCATTGTCACACACGGTGGTGGTGGACTGGGTTTCTGCTGCTTCCTGGGACACTTCCTGGGAATGGTGTGTGGGCTGTGTGTGTGTGTGTGTGTGTGTGTGTGTATGCATGTGCTTAGAGGAGCCTGCCTCTCTCCCTCAGGCCAGGGTCTGCCACCGCCCAGCTGTGGAAGAGGGGGAGGACCGCACCTCTGTCCCTTTGTCCGACAGAGCTCTGTTTGTTAAACAAGCACAGGGCTGACTCCATGTCGTGCCGCCCTGTGGGTGGCTCGCTCTCGGCTTTCACCCGTGGCCAAGGCTGACGCCTGACCTGGGTCACAACTCAGTTTTACAGTTCACTTCCTGACAAAGGAAGCCACCCCGCCTGCATGTGTGACTTGCTTACCAAGTGCCAGTCACTGGGTGTGTTTTCACTTGGTCCTGACAAGCCCTTTGTCGTGAATGATATCACCTTTGTGAGAGGAAACTGGCCGATGGATGCTCAGTCACGCGACCTTTGACCCCCAAGTCTCTTGGCTGGAGGCCACACCCTCACCTGGGAGATTCGTGGGTGCTCTGCGTTCTCTTCCTCAAATTTCTTTTTTTATTTTTCTTGAGACAGGGTTTCCCTGTGTAGCGGAGGCTGGCCTTGCACTAAGAGACCCACCTCACAGGCGTGTGCCTCCACCCCCAGACTTTTTTCTTGAGTCTAGCAAATTCACGTGTGTCCAGATTCAGACTACCTCTTAACTATATTTTGTATGTACAAGTGTTTTCTCTGAATGTACGTATGTGCATGATGTGTGTGCCCAATGCCCAGGGAAGCCAGAAGAAAGCGCTGAATCCCCTGGCACTAGAGTTACAGGTGTAGTGAGCTGTTCTGTGGGTACTGGGAATAGAGTCCTCTCTCAGAGCAGCCAGGGCTCACACTGAGGAAGCTTGAGGGAGGACCTTGAAGGAGCCCTTGTGGCACTGTGCCCAGATGCCCATCCACCCTCCTCACATGATGCCAAGAGTATGAGGGTTTCCTGCACACTCCAGCACTCAGGCGTGTGTACTTCCTCCTAAATTCAGGCGTTGCTTTCTGTTTTTTTCCCCTGAGTGGGGACCTTGGACCAACTCAGCACACAAAAGACATCTATTGGGGTGCTTCTTTGAAACTGGGGCTTTCTTTCTATGTTACCCGGGTTGGCCTTAAACTTGGAATCTGACTGATTCTGACGAAGATCTAGTTTCAGGTTAATTTCTTAATCTGCCACCTTACCTGGCCACCTTGTTCTTCCTGTGACACCTAATGTCTCGGTTGTAGACGGCTGTCTTTGGTGCTCACGGCAGGTTTTCGGTGTAGGCCAGTGCGGCACTGAGTGAGCGTGTAGGTGGTGCACGGATGGACCTTCTAAAGGCCGGCCTGCTGCCTCAGAGGGGGGAGGGCTTTGGCTGCGAGACTTGGCAGGCTGCCTTCTGAGGGCTGTGCCGGTTCTCGTGCCCCCTGGGAGGCAGGTGCACCCCATCTTCCTTGCACACGCTCCTCAGCCACACAGGTGCCTCTGAGCCCTCTGCCTGAGATGCAGGACAAGAGGTCTTTGGGGCTTAGAAGGGCTCTGCTCGTTCCGTTGCAGCCTCATTCACTGTTAAAACACTCTCGGGAGCCCAGGCTTGGGGTGGGGAACGTCTCGTGTGGCAAGAGGCCTTCCTAAGAGGTTTGAAGTCCCTTTAGCAGAGTGGGAGGTGTCCTGAGGCACGGATGGCCAGCCTTCGAGATGTCCCACCGTCCCACCGTCCCGCTGCCAGACCGGGTCCTCCACAGCCACCCGGTATCACACCTTAGGAAGCTCCTCCGCAACTGTTACCTCACTGCATCCCTGAGGTGATGCCTGGAGCCAGGCAGGAAGGAGTCATTTCTGTCCCCCAGTGACAAAGTGATGTCAGACACTTGCCCCCAAACCGTGGGCTGGTCAGAACCTGACTTCAGTCTCTTGGAGGGCAGTTGGCTCCCTGGAGGAGAGGCTGGGCTGCCGAAACCTCTGGCACGTCTCCAAAGGTCTACCCTTCACTTCCAGGACACAGGATCATTTCCAGGAAACCTTCCTAGCCCCTTGATCTCTTTCCCTTGGCTGTTCTAGCAAGGGACTCTGAAATGGCTCTCGAGTCTTCAGGGTGAGGGAACACTTCTTGGGGAGATGGCACTAAGCTGGGTCTGAGTCCTTAGCAGAATCGATGCTGATGGAGACTCAGTGTCCTGTTCCCTGCTCCTCCCTGCTCCTCCCTCCACCCCCTGGACTCAGCGTTTCTGACCTAACGGGAACCCAATGGCCCAGCTCCGCCATGTAGCATCATGGAGTCTGCCTGAGCTCCAGCTCCCTCACACATAGAGAAGGGAGCTGGGTGGGACAGCACACTGGCAATCTCAGCACTCGGCGCAGTGCTGAGGGTACCCTTAACATCTGCTTGTTTTGTATTATCTCCAGGCCTGGCCTCTGGCTGTGTAGTCACTGTTGTCCCAGGAACTCACAGAGCCACAGCTTGCTCATCAAAACCCCAGACTCACCTGGCATAGAGGCACATGCCTGGAATCCCAGCCCTCAAGAATCCAAGGCAGGAGGATTGTAACAACTTTGACTTAGGCAATAATGGTCTGTCTCAAAACAGCAATAAGCAGTCTCCCCAAATCTTTGCAACTTGAAGCATAAATAGATCCGTAAACCATTTGGCACATCTTTTGGTTGACATATAGACTCTTGTTCTGGCAACTTGACACAAGCTGGAGTCATCAGAGAGGAAGGAGCTCAGGTGAGGAAATGCCCCCATAAGATCCAGCTGTAAAGCATTTTCTCAATTAGTGATCAATGGGGGATTGCTGAGCCCTTCCATGATAGGTGGAGCCATTCTGGGCTGGTCGTCCTGGGTTCTATAAGAAAGCAGGCTGAGCAAGCCATGTGAAGTCAGCTGGTAAGTGGCACTGCTTCGTAGCCTCTGCATCGGTTCCTGTCTCCAGCCTCCTGCCATGTCTGAGTTCCTGTCCTGGCTTTTTTGATGATAAATAGCAATGTGGAAGTGTCAGCTGAATAAACTCTTTTTCTCCCCATTGCAGCAATAGAGACCCAAACTAAGGCAACTATTTAAGCTTTAAAAATATTCTACTTGGGGCTGAAGAGATGGCTCAGAGGTTAAGAGCACTGACTGTTCTTCCAAATGGTCCTGAGTTCAATTCCCAGCAACCATAGGGTGGCTCACAATCTGGTACCCTCTTCTGACATGCAGGCAGAACACTGTATAAATAATAAATAAATCTTTTAAAAAAAATTCTACTCGTGGGTTAGGATCAGCTCAGTTGGTAGAAGACTTACACAGCATACACAAGGAGGCCCTGGGCTCCATCTCCACCAGGTAAAGTGGGTGTGTCTGCACACAACTGTAATCTTAGTACTGGAGAGGTGAAAGAAAGGGGGTCAGAAATTTAAGGTTCTCTCAGGTACATGGTATGTTTCAAGGTCAACCTAGGCTACATGAGACGTTGTCTTAAAAAAAAAAAAAAAAAAAAAAAGTCCAACCAGAAAGCTGCTCTGGGCTGAAGGCTAGGCCTGGCTGCATGCTCAGAACCAGCTAATGGCCACCAGCTGCCCTGCCTTCCTGACTCCCAGAGTGCCTCAGAGAATGACCTTTGCCAGGAAGCGCCCTTATTCTTGCTCAGTTTTCATTCACCTTTCCAGTGTCTGAATCCAGACACAGCTACAAATTTTTGTTAAACATCCAATATGGGCCGGGGACAGAGTCTCTGGGGTCACAAATGACTGACAGCGTGCTCTTTGAGCTCTTTCTTTATTGCCTCACTGATGTTGGGAATGGATTGTTTTCCATTATTTTGATGGATCACGGGCAGTCGCTATCTTTGGCAATCTTCCTGGTTCTTGATGCAGTTTGAACATATTTGTGGAGCTAGCAGGTTTACTTAGCAGACATTGTCATGTTTGTTATTTTTTAGGCTCTCACTTTATTCTAGAACTTAAGGAAGATTTAGTTCATATCCTTCCGTGATTCTGCCTTTACACATGATTAAATGATGGGTGGTGAGGGATGGAATCGGGTAATTGGGGTGTTGCTGGTGGCCAGATTCTAAGGTCTCTGGCCTGCCTCCTTGAGCCACCACCACTTGGCAGCTGTGATACCTAAGAAGCTGGACTTCACCCTTTACCTTCAGCTCCACATCTATGAAATGGGTGCTGGAGCTATCCACCTCCTGGGCTGCCCTTGAGTAAGCCCTTGAAAGTGCTGACTCGGCTCTTGGCATTTACAGGGACATGTTTAGTAAATAAACTTGCAGAGTGCAGCTTCCACCTGCTTTTCAACCCAGGAGCTCCTTTGAGAGGGGCCATTGGAGAAACCTCAAACCAAGGATCTGCCATCAGAGGTCGGTTTATTTACCCAGGGCCAGGGTTTCTTATCTTCCGTTGTGTCCTGGCTCACAGGACCTCTGTTCTAGGGAAGTGGAATATCCATTTCAGACCACTGGTCTTTCCTGCAGTGACAGCTCACACAGACAACCCGGACAGACTCGCACACAGTCCCGCTGACTGGCCTCTGAGCTGTTGCTGTGGACCAGAGGGTAGACAGCTGTCTAGGAGCAGGGTCCACCTCACATATCACATAAGGTCTGCAGCCTGAATCCTGCCCAAAGCTGGCTTGGGTTGGGCCCTGGGTTTCTGTTCAAGGGGCCAGGTATCTTGGGGCTATTGTGAGCTTTCTAGTGTCGGGGTGTGCCGTGTGCCTCAGGGAAGATGGAGAAGAGGGAGAAGGGATGAGCAGCCGGCCTGCCGGGGTCCAATGTCATCTTGACTGTGTTCTCTTGCAGAGCCGACGACGACGATGGTGCCTCCAGCCAGCTCGGAAGCCCAGGTATTTTAGATGATTACTTGGAAGACAATACAATTTATATGTTGTGCTGGTTAGGTATTTTTGTTGTTGTTTGTCAACTTGAGTCATCTGAGGGGAGGGAACCTCAACTGAGAAAATGCCTCCAGAAACTCAACCCATGGGCGAGCTTGAGGGGTGTTTTCTTGGTTCCTGCGGGGTCTGGGGTGGGAGTGGGGGCAGCCCACCATGGGCAGTGCCACGCCTAGGTGGTGGTCCTGGGTGGTGTGGGAAATCAAGCCCTGAGGAGAAAGCCGCCCCGGAAGCAGCACTTCTCCCCGTGCTCTGCTTCTGTTTCTGCTTCCAGGCTCTGGGAGTTCCTCCCCTCAGGGAAGGGAGCCACAGCCTGAGGGGTGTATGCTGAAATGCACCTTTCCTTCAGCTGCTTTTGCTCCAGGCATTTTATCACAGTGGAAACCTATAAGACACTTGTATTGAAGAATGAAAATTATAAAGTGTACAGAGTTACATGGTCCTTTAAGGGAGGCAAGGCACAACTAAAACACATGGAAGGTCTTAACTGAGAGATTGAAGCCGTTCACAGGGGCCAGGCAGGGCGAGGAGCCAGATACTGATCCCACCCCCAGATGGGGGAGTGAGGGAGAATACTGCTGACCTCACTTTTTGGGCTACCAGAGAGAGATATGGTTTGCAGAGCAGGCTTCTCAGCATGGAGTTCAAGGGCATGAGAAACCAGCCAGTGACCAGTGATCCAACCTCTTCTTGCATTCCTACCCGTTGTCTTGAGCTAATGGTTTGAGTCTGGTGTCTGTCTTTGTTGTTGCACATGGTTTCCAGGCAGGGTAACCACTGCTGGCCTCAGCTTATCAGGTACTGAGCCCGGGGGAGGCTTTGTACTCCCAGTCCTTAGTGTCCTAAGTAATGCTGGGCTTACAGCTGTGCACTGCCATTTTGCCTTTCCACTGCTTTTTCACTTTATTTCTTTCAGGTTTTTTTTTTTTTTTCAGTGAGTGATATTTTATCTACTTGTCTCTTGAAAGGCAGTCCCACTTGTATCCTGGGATGAGAAGGGACTTTTGGGGACCAGAAGAGAGCTGCATCTGAGTGGCAGAGTCAGAAAGCGGGGTTCCAGGACATGTTGATTGCTCTGATGTTTTTCCTCCTTTGAATTATGGCCATTCAATGCCTTCTGAAAGCATAATTTTAGTGTAATAATAATTTATAAGGCTGTATGCAATGGTACAATCCTGTAATTCCAGCTACTTGAAAGACTGAAGCTTTGAGGAAAAATAGAGATGTGAAGAAGGGGAGGGAGGGAGGAAAGAAACCTTTGCATTTACGTATTTAGCATGGCAGCCTTCCCAGGTTGAGGTGAACGCAGACCAAGGGGGTTCCATATGTTACATAAAAACAGTGATAACACCAGCTCAGAACCTGTGCCCCCGTGCTGCTGCTTCCTCCTCCTCCTATTTTTTTTTTTTTTTAATGTGTGTTGGTGTTTTGCCTGCATGTATGTCTGTGTGAAGATGCTGGAGTTACAGACAGTGGTGAGTTGCCATGTCAGGGCTGGAAATTGAACCTAGGTCCTTTGGAAGAGTGGTCAGTTCTCTCATGTGCTGAGCCATCTCTCCAGTCCACACACATAGTTCTTAATGCCAGTGATAAGATTATCCTGCTCCCTTGGAATGCTGTCACCTAAGCAACACTACTGAGCATTGCTTATGAACTCTGTGAAAATGGTATTTTTTAAAATATATAGTTAGCTGAAAATTGGGTGAAGAACAATTGTATTTCTAAGACATCTTCGTCATCACGTGGCTGCCGGTTATCTGTATTCACGGGTATATTCTACTCAGATAGTTTATTTCCCTGAGTCCAGGTCTGCTGGCCTGGGAGATCAGCTGACCCTTATTGCCCAGAGGTGCAACTGCTCCGTGGCACTTGGCGTGTAAACACCGTAAAAATACTGGTAGAGAACTTTGAATGAGGGAGTCCCGAATGGACCGTTCTCAGAGGCCATGTGTTAGCCTGGAAGCTCCATCCCCAGGAAACAGGGTGAGACAGCCACTCAACATGAAGCTTCATTCCAGCCTCTTGGGTTTCATGCACTGCCTGGGCAGCCCCTCTACCTTCAGTCAGAGCCCAGGCTGATGGCCATGCGTGAACTTGCAAGGCCAGAGGTCCTGAGACTGGCCGGCTGCCGGGCTTTCCTAAAGGAAAGCATTCTTTGTGTTCTAGAGAAAGTTTCCAGTGAGTTGGGGCCCATAAAAGCTTTTACCAAAACAGCCATCATCCAAGAGGCTTGGGTTTAACCCTTCCCCTGGCTTGTTGCTGATGTAAGCCAGCAACCAGGCCCGGGGTTGGGTTGCTTCTCTGCCGTGTGCCCTGGGGTGGGTAGGAGGCCTTCTGGCCTTCTTCTCAGTCTCTCTTACTGCCCCAGCAGTGCCACACAACTGAGCATCACAGAGCTGTGAAGCACACACGGGTCCTGTGCCACCTTGCTCTTACCTGGCACCTACTGTGTGACTTCTCCGTCTTTCTGTCTCCTTGCCTTGATAACCTTCCCTTTCCTTTGGCATACCCAAGAGTCTACAGAGTCCTCAGGCTCTGTTCCCAGGGCTCTCTACCCTGGCTGATGGCTGATGACTAAAGCTATGCTATCTGCCACCTGTCAGGTGTGACCAGCCTAGATGCTAGTGCCATGCCCTCTTAATCTGCACTCAAGGGTGTGCCACCTGTGACTCTAACCTGCTTAAGGGACAGATAAAACTGGAGTGAGGGCAGCAGCAGGGGTGGGCCAGGGCTTTGCTCCATTGTGCCTTTACCCTTTCCACCAGTGCTCTTGAGCGGAGGGCTGCCTTCCCCAGGCCCTTTAGGCTCCAGCATCTTCTGAGATGTCCCTGTAGGACCCAGAAACCGTATCTCTTGCCTCACCCTGGCTTTGACCTGTTGCTGCTCTGCCTGCCTCAGGCTCAGGTTTCCTGGGATCCCCTGCTATCCAGAAGCGAGTGGAGGAACCGCTGGGGCAAGACAGTGCATGGCCTCCTGATGGGGCCTTGGTGGTGTCAGTGCACGGCCTTCTGATGTGTCGCAGCTCCTTCTGCTGCAGTGACCTCTTATCTAGGCAGTGTAACAGAAAACTTAGAGCACAGCACAGACAGACCCAACTCCCAGCTTCCAGCTGTGATGAAGTGGCCTAAGCTATTCCCGCCTCTGTCCCTCTGTGTGTGAGCGGGTTGTTGTGAAGGTTGAAGAGGAAGAGTTTTGTGCAGGCTCAGCACAGTATCTGACATAGTAGAGCTGTGATGTGTATGTGCCTTTGACATTCTTTCTTCTTCACAAATACTTATTTTGTTTTATGTATACAAGTGGTTTTTGCATTTGTTTATTTATTCATTTATCTATTTATATTTCTTTATTTTGCTTGCATAAGTGTCTAGTGCCTGAGGAGGTCAGGGGAGGGTGTTGGATCCTCTGGAACTGGAGTTATGGACGGCTGTGATCCGCTATGCAGGTGCTGGGAATTGAACCCAGGACCTCTGGAAGAGCACCCAGGGCTCCTAACCACTGAACCATCTCTCCAGCCCCAGATGGCCTGTTAAAGAAGGACAATATGAAAACCATTTATTTAGTACTATTGGAAATTGATCCTCAGGTCTCGCCTGTGCTAGGCAGTATCGCCAGCCTCCGTTAATCTTTTTATTTTGAGATGGGATTTCATTAAATTGCCCACGCTGGCCTCAGACTTGCTCTGTAGTGCAGACAGATCTTGAACTTGCAGTCTTCCTGCCTCTGCCTCCTGAGTAGCTGGAATTAACAAGCTGTGTCACCGGGACCAGCCTGTAACAATAAATATAATATTTGTTTTAAGATGGGTTTTCATTATGTATCCCAGACTAGCCTCAAGGTCAGGGTTATCTTACCTCAGCGTCTCCAATGCTGGGATCACAGATCTGTGCCACCTCACCCCAATTTATGAAAGCCTTTTAAAGCATAAAAGCAAGTGCTATGCAAATTAGGGGCACTGTTAATTCCCCTATGTATTCAGCCATGCTGGCAGCCATTGCAGTGAATCGGCTGGGCCCTGGCTCAGGGAGCTACCACCTTTTCCGTTGGCGTGAATGGGCTCAACCTGCTCAGAGTCAGGCTAGCGTGACCACACTGTATAAAGGCCTTCCAGTCTGGTATGTGTGGTCTGCGTTTCTACAGTGCCCCACTGTGGCATATGCCACCTTGTCTCCACGATGAAGAACACATGAGCAGTCTGTGAACAGGTCTTGTGTGGCTGTACTTTTCCGTTTCTCTGGGTGAAATACCTGGGAGGGGAGGAATTTTCCTGTTCTCCACAGTGGTTGTGCTGTTTGGGGGAGCATCTTTTCAACAGTGGTCCGTGTTTGGGCCTTGATGATTGCCCTCTGGCAGAGCGGTGGTATTTCTGAGATCTTCCTGTCTGCCGTTCTGCCTGGCGTCTCTGTCGCCCTTGCGGTGGTGGGTGCTACTGTTTGCGGGGTCCCAGTGCCCTCGTGGTGGCTCAGAATGCCGTCTCTGGTGACCTTGCGACTCCCCTGTCCCTTAGATGGTGCAGTCACTGGGCTTCGCTGTCTACCGCGCGCTGGACTGGGGGTTGGATGAGAGCGAAGAGCGAGAGCTCAGCCCGCAGCTGGAGAGGCTCATCGACCTCATGACCAACAGCGACTGCGAGGACAGCGGCTGCGGGGCGGCGGACGAGGGCTACGGGGGTCCGGAGGAGGAGGAGGAGGCCGAGGGCGGCCCCCGGGCCGTGCGCACCTTTGCCCAGGCTATGCGGCTGTGTGCTTCCCGCCTGACCGACCCCCACGGTGCGCAGGCTCACTACCAGGCGGTGTGCAGAGCTCTCTTTGTGGAGACGCTGGAGCTTCGTGCCTTCCTGGCCCGGGTGAGGGAGGCCAAAGAGGTGAGCAGGATATGGGCTGCCAAGTGATTGGGCTGGTTCCGGGTGGAGAGAGGGAGAGAGGGATGGGAGGTGGGGAGGAGGGTAGGGAGGCGATGGGGCCCACTCTTGGTTGGCCAACAGGGGTTAAGAGCCTGTGCCTGACAGTACCTTCCTAGGAATACCCGTAACCTCCCTGCCCCTCCCCTCCCCCACGCTGGGCACCGTTGTTACCTCCACGCCTTCTTTTCACGTGTTTTCAGAGAAGGAAATCCGCGAGTGGCTCCTAGCCTTTGCTTCTGCCGTCTCACTCCTGCCGCCTCTAGATTAGCCATTACCCTCCCTGGCCCCACTTCCACCCCTCAGGGGGGAGACCTCCTTACTGTCTGGCCTCTTTGAAACCACAAATCCTTCAGAAAATGTGATGCAGACCCATGGGCGTGGAGATTTGGGGCAAGTAGGCGAGAGAGCCCCTTAAGGCTATTTGCTATGCCTGCCAAAGGCCTACGTCATATTTTGGTGGTTCCCCCATTTAAAAACGAACAGGTACCACCTCTGAGAGTTAGGGTACCCCCACCCCAGTGCCGAGTCTCTTTTCCTGTAGCCTAGAAGGGTCATAGCTAGCACTGTGACCCCTTGGAGCAGCCTGCATGGGCTTTTGGGGAAGTTTGAGTAATGGAGTCTGGGACCTGGTTAAGCCCGCTGATGTAACTGTCACATACCAACCTTGGGAGGCTCTTCTCTTCACCTCCTGCCTTCCCTCTCAGCATCTCTCTGGCATCTTAGAGACATTCTTCTGGCTATGGTCCCTGTGGCTGGTGGGTGGTCCTGGACTCCTGTCCTTTCCTGGATATGGTCTGTTCTCTTGCTCAAATCAGTTCCTCACCCAGACAAAAGAGCTGCTGCTTTAGCCAGAGCTGGCACCTCTGCAGTCCATTCCACGGATCCTAGAGACAGTCACGGAATGGGTGCTGGGGGTACAGGGTCCTGGACGGATGCACCTGGACCAGCCTGGGCTGGCTTTGTGGGCAGGAGCAGGTGCTCGGGGTCAGATGTAGCTGTTCTAAGTAGGACAGGGGAGCTATCCTCTAGCCCCTTGGCCTTGGGGTCCCATGCAGCAGTGTGTCTCAGAGGAGTTTGGCAAGCAGCCTGAAAGCCAGGGTCACTAACCGGTTCTGTCCCCACTGGGTGGGAGCTGCTGAAGGGCTTCTCTAGAGTGAGGGGTTGTGAGCTCCCCAGGCTGCCACCCAGGTCCAGAGCCACCAAGGCAAATGGGTCCAGCATCTTTCTCCAAATTCCCAGCTGCCTCAGTCCTGGGCATCTTTCCAGGGCGCTCACTGTGATGTTATCTGGGACTGCCCCCTAGGACCTGCTGGCAGCTCACTCTGTCACCCAGCAGCCACCAAGTCCACCCCTGTTTGCAGACTAACACTTGCTGCACCATGCTGGACTCAGGCAGTAGACAGCAGCTGAGGGAGCACACGCAGCTTCTGAGATGCTGGTCCTTGGTGACCAGCACAGAGTGGGCTGTGCATAGAGAAGCAGCCACAGCTGTGGCAAGAGAACAGCTGGGCTCCTGGCTTGGCTAGGATGCTGGGTGACCTGAGGTCTGGGGGGCAGCAGGCGATGCCCCCTCCTCTGCATCAACAAGCCGTCCAGAGAAAGGACAGTGCCTCTGTGGATCAGGTGGGAGCCAGGGCCACGTGGACACCAGCAGGGCCCTGCTGTGTCCCTTGCCCTGCCACTTCTTCACTAACTAGACATCTGGTCCCAGATGCTGCAGAAGCTGGGGGAGGATGAGCCACGGGTAGAGAAACCGCTGGCCGAGCTTGACCACCTGGGACACACGGACTGGGTAAGACGTGGGCCCCTCCCGGCCTGGGACAGAGAAGGGTACAGTACGCGTGGAAGGGTCTGTGCTGGAAAGGCCAGGCATGCCAGAGCCAAGGCCAGTTTCTTCTCTGGGCCAGGCCCGGCTATGGGTGCAGCTCATGCGGGAGCTCCGCCACGGGGTGAAGCTAAAGAAGGTGCAGGAGCAAGAGTTCAACCCACTGCCCACCGAGTTCCAGCTCACGCCCTTTGAGATGCTGATGCAGGATATCCGTGCCAGGAACTACAAGCTGCGCAAGGTCATGGTGAGCCCGCCCCACCCCTCGGTCCTCTGCAGCTCCCTTCTGCGGGTCCTCCACCCGCTGTCCTGCCCCCTGCTCGCTGCTAGCATCCCTTGCCCTTTTCCTTGTGCTTGATCAGAGTTTGATATTCCCCTGCAGCTGTGACTAAGGCAGTTGCAGCTGATCTTCCACAGGTCTTGGCTGCACTGGCGCACAGTATACTTAGGGCAAGGAGAAGGTCCTTGAGGATCGGGAGGGGCCTAAGAGAAAGACACATATTTCCATTTAGCACACATTTGATCCCCTGATGTGTACCAGTGTTACTCTTCAAATGTCATCCAAAGAAGTTCATTTCATTCTCCTGACAACCCATGAGCTGGGTCCTTCAGCCCCATTTCCTGAGGAATGTTTGGTTCAGATGGTTCTGGCAGCTGAGTTTAGGACTCATTAGGCCTTGAGTGCTGTGGCCACTGCTGGGTGTGACCCATGGATCTGTTACGTGTGTTAGGGAAGCAGCTGGGTCCCAGGGAACAGAGGCCATAGGAGGGAAGTTAGATGTGAAGACCAGGCTTTAGCCAGGGCTGTGTGGGCCTCTCCTGGTCACTTTAACACCAGCAGCTGGCTCTTGCAAGCTCAGGGTGTCTCTGCTCCTCCTGGCAGGTGGATGGAGACATCCCTCCCAGAGTGAAGAAAGATGCTCATGAGCTTATCCTCGACTTCATCCGTTCTCGACCCCCACTGAAGCAGGTACCAGCTCTACAGGCCCTCCTCTGAATATTCTGGGGCCTGCTGCTCTCCCAAGAGGTGTATGAGCAGGCCTGCTTCCTGAGGGTGGCTGTGGAGGACTCTCGAAGCCTGGAAGGCTGCAGAGATCCCCATTGCAGAGTCTGTGGGTCTGTGTCTTCTTCCTCTCGGAGGGGGGGGGTGGTTTGGCCATTCACACCTCACAGCTGCTGTGCACAAGGCCTCCCTGGGTAACGTTTCCTTTGGGGTTATGTGAACACCAAGTCTCCTGGACCGTCTAGATTTCCCCAGGGAGGGCCACGTCACCACCTGCCTCCCCTTCCTACTTAGCGTGTCATGTCGGCAGGTCTCGGAGAGACGGCTTCGCCCTGTGCCACAGAAGCAAAGAACACCGCGAGAGAAGATCCTGGAGGAAATCAAGCAGGAACGGAGGCTCCGTCCAGTGGGGGTCCAGCACCTGGGTGCCCGTGGTGAGCAAGGGCTGCAGGACAGGAGAGAAGGCATCGCCCAGTGGACCTAGCTGGGCCTGTGGAGCAAAGCCCTAAGAGCTTATAATATGGGATAATAATAGTATGGGAAAGGGACCCAGGGCATCTTAACTTTATGCTATTTTTATTTTTGTAAATCGAGGGGAGTTATAATGGTCTTGCAAAATCTTAAGCAGAGGTCTGTAAAAGTGAAATAATCTTGTACTCTAGACTTTGATCTGATTTCGCCCTTGTATGTCGTTGTAATAGACGACAAATTTCAACATTTGAGAGGAAAATGAAATAAGCAAGTTTCAGAGTGATTGGGAGCCAGGCATGTATTGAGATGCTGGAGGTCTGGCCTTTCTTGCAAAGTGAGGATGGTGACCTTCAACCCTGCTTCTGCTGGGCCTTTGGGAGGCTGGGTGGTCCTTTTTGGGCTAGAGTTACTCACTGTTAAGGCGACCAGCCTTCTGCTTCCTTTCTCAGTGGAGAATTAAACCAAGCAGGTGCTCATGAACCTGCTCACTTCCATGGTGGGGTTATCTCCCACTCAGTGTCCACTTCTGCACTTTCCTCCTCTTCCTTTTTGCTCACTGTCCACTCCTGCCCTGGGCAGCTTGCCTTCCCTAACCATCCAGTCTCCCCAGTCTCCCGTTGACCTTCATGCCTGCCCTATTCAACATCTATTCTTCTTTTCTTTCTTTCTTTCTTTCTTTCTTTCTTTCTTTCTTTCTTTCTTTCTTTCTTTCTTTCGAGAGGGTCTCACTGTGTAGCCGTGGCTGACCAGGGAGATCACAGGGGTGGATGCCTGCCTCTGCCTCCCAAGTGCACTTTCATCCCTAAGTTCAATGTCTGTTCTTGCCCTGGCCTCCCTGTCTTCCCCACTTACTCTCTGCTCCTGTCCTGGCTTCCTCACCTCCCCTGTTCACTGTCCACTCCTGCCCTGGGCCCCTTGTGTTCTTGCGGATCATCCACTGTGCCTGTGTGTTCCTTTCCCTCCCTGACCTCACCCCACCCCCACCTGGTCTCATTGCCTGCTCGGTGCTCATTTTCGTGCTGGCCCCCTCCCCCTCCCTTCCCCCCCGCCTGTTTTTTTTTTTTTTTTTTTTTTTTTTTTTTTTCCCCTGCCTTCAGGATTTGGTTCTCTGCCCTGCATCCTCAACGCCTGCTCTGGGGACATCAAGTCCACTTCTTGCATCAACCTGTCTGTCACAGATGCTGGGAGTGGAAGCCAGCGTCCACGGCCCCGGGTCCTGCTTAAAGCCCCCACCTTAGCGGAGATGGAGGAAATGAACACCTCTGAGGTCAGAGAACAGGGATTCTTCAAAAGCTCATACAGATGGTCTGGGAAAGGCTTAACAGGACAGGGGTCTGTTAGCTGAGTAGGTGGTCTCTGCAGCAAACCCTTGGGTGGCAGGTAGCTCACTATCCCTTCAGCTCAGAAGTAGCCTTGGACATATGGGGCAGTGACCTCTGAACAACAAAGGCAGAAGTGGAAGTGATTTTCCTCGTGTTGGGCAGATGAGTAGCTGGGTAGCCCCCAGATGTGAGAAGCTGGTCCCAGTGAGGACCCCTAGCCCACCGGGATAGAAGAGGACCTCCGTGCTGGCCTTTTCAGGGGCCTCAGCCTTCCTCAGAGCTGCCTCCTGCAAGATTTTCTGGAGGACCTCAGGGAACAGTTTGATTATTGAGACACTTGCCATGAACCATCCAAAAGACAGGAGGGCTAGTGACATTTAGAGGATAGCCCAGGGCCTCAGTGGGCCCAGTTAGCCAGCACCCTTGGATTCCCCACTGCCTTGGTCCAAGGATGAACAAGGGAATCTGGAGAAAGCCATCAGAAGTGGAGGTGGTTGGTCAGGAGGGGCCATGGTCAGGAAGGACTGTGCCTGATGCTCTTCCAGGAAGAAGAGTCACCATGTGGAGAGGTGGCGCTGAAACGGGATCGCTCATTTTCCGAACATGACCTGGCTCAGCTTCGGAGTGAGATGGCCTCTGGCCTACAGTCAGCCTCTCAGCCCCCAGGGGGTTCAGAGCCACCTCGGGCCAGAGCAGGCAGCATGCACTCCTGGAGGCCCAGCACCCGAGATCAGGGTAAGTGTCACCTTTACCAACACCGGCTCTTCTCACCTCCATCCCACGGACCTTGTGGTGCAGGCCTGACCTCACACCTTTAACAGGCAAGTACCCAAGGTGTGAGGCATGTGCCCTGCTCGAAGAGTCCAGAGTCTGTTGCCACCTAAAGCAAGCATCCTTGCTTTCCATCTGAGGATATAATCAACCACCTAGTCTGTATTCTTTACAAAACACCTTCTAAAGAACTCAAATCCCTGAGGGCCGGACAGAGGGCTTTGTGGTTAAGAGCACTTGATGCTCTTGCAGAGAAAAGGGGTTCGGTTCCCAGCACCCTCACGGTGACTCATCATTTCCTAGTTTCAGCTACAAGGAATCCGATGCCGACTTCTGGCCTCTGTGGGCACCAGGCACACAAGTGATGCACACACATACACTCAGACACATAGAATAAAAATAAGTAAATTAGGCCCGGCATGATCGCACACACATTTAATCCCAGCACTGGAAGGCAGAGGTGGGGGTGACTCTCTGAGTTCAGGGCCAACTGGGTCTACAAGTGAGTTTCAAGAGAGTTAAGGTTACCTTTCTTGAAGAGGAAGAGAAAGAGGAAGAGGAAGAGGAGGAGAAGGAATAAGTAAATGTTTTTGAAGAAAGCATTCAAATTCCTACAATTCTCTTACCCAGAGATAGTTATTATCAAAATCCTGAGATGGTAAGAGAGCTGGCCTGACCCTTTGTTCCTTTTTCCTTTGGCTCTTGAAGCACCTGCCTTGTCACCAGCCACTGTTCCCCCGCAGAGGACTCTCACTGGAAACAGTCACCGGCTTGGTTGCACAGGGTTAGTCCATCAGTTAGTGGCTGCACTCACGCTGAGAGCGGTCAGGGTTAGGAATGGGTCTGGGGTCTCGGGAACCTACGATCCAGTATTTGTTCTGCAGAAGGGTGCGAGGCCACATCAAATCAAGCAGTGACCCCCAGTGAGTTTCCATCTCTAAGGGGGTGCTGTGTCTCTGAGTGGTCCGGGCTCAGCCTTGTGTTCCTGCATAATTGGCTAATTGAAAGCCACAGTTGATCAGCAGAAAGCAGTTTTCAGCACTGAGTGCAACCCTGAGCACATATTTTGATACCAGGAAGTGAAAACTGTGGAGGAATCTGAGTTTCTGTCATGCAGCTTTCCTTATAATTTTTTAAAATTAATTTTTAAAATTTAGTTTTTACTTTTGTTTTTCAAGACACAGTTTCTCTGTGTAGCTCTGGCTGTACTGGAACTCATTCTGTAGACCAGGCTGGCCTTGAACTCAAGAGATCCACCTGCTTCTGACTCCTTAGTGCTGGGGTCAAAGGTGTATGATGCCATTGCACAGCTTGATTTAATTTTTATCTTATGTGTATGGGTGTTTTGCATATATGTATGCACCATACCATGTGTATGCATGTCTGTATTTGTGTGTGTACCACATGCGTGCCTGGTGCCTGCTGAGGTCAGAGTCAGGTACTGGATCCCCTGGAACTGCAGTCATGTAATGACCCACCATGTAGGAGTTGGGAATTGAACCTGGGTCCTCTGCAAGAACTGCTGAGCCAACTCTCCAGCTATCCACTGGACTTTTAGGTTGCTCTCCATCCCCAGTCCCCATTGTCCAGGTGGCACGGCTCTCCTGCCAGGTACTCTTCATGGGCCTGTGTTCTTCCTCCAGCTTTCTGTCCTGTGAGTGACCAGGCCCAGCCTTATCCCAGCTCCGCCTTGCCCAGCAGCTTGAGCTCAGTGGATAAAACAGAGGCTTCTGCGACAGACACCAGACACCTGTGGCTGGTAAGTGACAAAGGTAGATTGCCTGGATGGCCTCTTCTGCGTCAACCTCATCTTTTCCCAGGACAAGATACCAGCAAGGGAGTCAGGCAGCCTCAGGATGTATCTGGGTTCTAGTCCTTGTACCTGGTGAGGTTGTTCTTTGCTGCCACTTTCTGTTAGACGTTGGTACTGCGACCCCAAACCCACAGACTTGCTTTTCAAGTGGCTCCTCAGGCGTAAGTGCTTTGCTCAGTTTCTGTGGGGTCAGGATAGATTGTGAGCCCTGGCTCGTGGGACTCAGGGCAATACAGCATTGTAAGTAGTATGTTATTTTGTGTTGTGAGATCTCAAAAAGCACTTTCTGGAAGACAGGCTTTCAAAATCAGAGCTGTCCTGCTGCGACTTGAGGTGCCAGGGTGGGCTGGTAACCCTTGGGGGCCTCCCCTTATTTGAGAAGGAGGGGGGACAAGAAGAGAGGGGTGTGAAAGTGGGACTGGGAAGAGGAGGGAGGGGGCTGGGATCAGGCTGTAAAGGGAGTAAATAAATAACAAGATGTAAATATGAGATTTGGGGAAAGGAGAAGGAAAGGCTATAGTTTATTAATAAAAAGATATTTGTCTGTCAAAAAACAAAAACAAACACAAAACTGGAGAACCTGGTGGCCTTCAGTCCTGCCTGAGTCCCTGCATTTGACATGGAAACTTTTAAAATTTACTTTTATGTACATTTGGTGTCTGGCATACATATATGTCTGTGTGAGGCAGTTGGATCCACTGGAACTTGAGTTACAGACCAGGCAGTTGTGAGCTGCCATGTGGGTGCTAGGAATTGAACCAGAGTCCTCTAAACCGCTGAGCCATCTCTCCAGCCCCAGCATGGAAACTCCTGACTGCAGATAACTAAGAAAAGAAAGAAGCTGGGAGTCCTGATGCTGTTCCAGGACTGAACAGTTCTGCCCAGGTTACCCACGACACACCCAAGGAAAAAATGCATGATTCCCATCCTTGTGGCTTGCTCATCCCTACCCTACCTCCACAAAAGACAGCTATCATGTTGAGTTCTGTGTGCCTGGTGTTAAGGATTATATGTTGTGTTACCTCAGGAGAGCCAAAACAACGCCATTTTACAGAAGAAGTGGGCTTAGAAGGTCTAGTGTCGAGTTTTACGTAACACACTAATAAGGTTAAACCAGGATCGCTTAGTATAATGCCAGTTAGGGCAGATAGTATGCTGGGGACAGAAGAGCACACTCAGGGCCAGGCAGGCGGAGGATTCCCAGGGCTCCTGGGGACAGTACAGATCGGGGGCAGAGCAGGGAGGGAAGATTCAGTGGTGAACACTTCCAGGGAGAAAGAAGGTTGGAACCATGGTATGTGTTTGCAAGCAGGAGATGGAGTTTTTCTGGGATGGATGGGAGTCAGTGGGGGCAAGGTCAGGGTCTGGGGGCCACAGGACTGGGAGCTTTGCTACAGCAGCAGGGCCTTCTTGAAGCAGATCCAGTAGTAACTGAGCTGATACACAGACTTCAGTAAGTTGCCAGGTTGTTTGGACTGAGACCAGAGAACCGGGATCCCTAGGGTGCTGAGCAAGCCGGACCCTACCCGTTGCCCCTAGGAGTTCAGCCACCCTGTGGAGAGTCTAGCCCTGACTGTGGAGGAGGTGATGGACGTGCGACGGGTGCTGGTGAAGGCCGAGATGGAGAAGTTTCTGCAGGACAAGGAGCTCTTCAGTAGCCTTAAGAGGGGGAAGGTGAGACTTGGGTGCCCAGGAGCAGGGCAGGGATGTTCTGGGCACTGGAGAGTGGGAACAAGCGTCTGGGGCTTGCTCAGTGGTTGTGTAGAAGGCCTGAGGCAAGCGCTTGCCGGGACTGGGCTTGGACTCCAGTGGCTTCACACACTCATGCTCTAACCTGGCCTCTTCCTGCAGATTTGCTGCTGCTGCCGGGCCAAGTTTCCCCTGTTTTCCTGGCCACCCACCTGTCTTTTCTGCAAGAGGTGAGCCTCTGTCAGCACACAGACAAGGGGGACAGTCCCCCACACACAGCCAATTCATTATTCTCTCTCTCTCTTTCTCAGATAGGGCCTTACTATATACCCAGATTGGCCTCAAACTCATAAATGGCTGCCTCAGTTTCTTGAGTATAAGGGACTATAAGGTTTTTTGAGATGGCGTCTCCCAGTTTATAGCCTTGGCTGGCCTGGACCTTACCATGTAGGCCAGGGTAGGAGCACACAGAGATCCACCTGCCATTGCCTCCAAGGAACTGGGACTAAAGGCATGTGCCATCACGTCTGGCCTAGGTTAAACTGAAATAGTGAAAGGACACCCATGTTTAGCCAAGATGGGCTAACAGCCACTTTCTAGTTGAAACAGCCCTAAATAATCACACAAAGGCTGTAAAACAATAGTCTTTAAGACACTGGGCATCAGACAACTGTGGGAAGCAGATGAGGGGCTTGTGCTGGCCTGGGGACATTTCTCTTCACTAACCGGGGCAGGAGGCCAGGGCAGCTGCAGGTCTTAGGAAAGGGGTGGGAGAGGGGAGAGCAGCAGAGAGAGATCTGGAGAGCTGCCTCAGAGATGTCCTTGAGCATGGAGCACTCACATGCCCCAGTCCTCCAGGAACTGAAGCAGGACCATGAATCTGTGACTAGTCTGAGGTGACAGAAAACTCATTTGAAAACTCGACTAGTTCAAAATAAGGCAGAAAATGAAAAAAGGAACAAATACATGTTAAAAAAAAAAAAAAAGCAAGATGGTAAGTTGAAACAGAATCCTGTCTAGCTACTATGTCAGCTGTAAATGGCCCAAACAACCCAATTAAAGTGTGCGCTGCCGCCTCTAACCTGCCACCTGCCGACAAGCTTTGCAGAAGAGCAATGAGTGTAGTCCAAAGTGCAAAGTTTATAGATGACAGTGTTGACAGGCTGGACACAGGAGCTGGAGAGATGAGTCAGCAGGTAAGAGCTCAGACTGCGTCTGCAGAGGACCTGAGTTTGATTCCCAGCACTCACATGGCCACTATTACTCTAGTACCAGGGCACCTTTGCCTCCACAGGCACATGCAGGCAAACACATGCACACAGAGTAAAAATAAAGGCTAAGCATTAAAAAAAAAAAAAAAGGTCTGGAGTCTGGACATGCCTGAGTTGTACAGTTTCTGCGTTTGAATTAAAAAAAAAAAAAAAGCAAGACCAGGCTGGAGAGATGGTTCAAAGGTTAAGAGCACTGGCTGTTTTCCCAGAGGTCCTGAGTTCAATTCCCAGCAACCACACGGTGGCTCATAACCATCTATAGTGAGATCTGGGACCCTCTTCTGGCATGCAGATATACATGCAGGCAGAATATTGTATACATAATAAATAAATATAGTACTTAAAAAAAAAAAAAGAAAAAAACCAAGAGCCAGGTATAGTGGCTCCTAACTGTAATCCTGGAACTCAGGAATCTGTGAATGGAAGGGTTAGCATGAGTTAGAGACCAAATCTTGTCTCCAAAAAACAAAAACAATGAAGACAATAGATTTTAGAGCCAAGACTATTATCAGCGATAAAGCAGTTCATTCCATAGAGAATTACAATCTCTATCAGTAATAATGACAGATACTCAAGCAGCAAAAATGATGACTGCGAGTAGAAATAAATGCTCGTTCATAATTAGTGACCTCAGCATTTCTCAACAACCAATAAAACCAACAGACAGAAACCAAAGGAAACAGATTTGGACAGCATGTGCTTGAAATGTTCCAACAGCAGCTGAATTTGCATCTTTGTGAACTCCATGTGGTACATTTATCAAGGTTATTGTCTTGGGCCACAAAATAAGTCTCAATATTTAGTTCAAGCTGAGCATGGTAACGCACGCCTGTAATTAACCCTTGGGCAATAGAGGAAGGAGGGTCAGGAATTCAGGGTCATTCTTGCCTACACATTGAGTTGGAGCCTCTAAGCAATGCTTGAGACCGTTGTTAAGTGGGTCTGTGGGGGTGCTGGAGAGATGGCTCAACAGCTGAGAGCACTTGTCGCTCTTAGAGGACGTTGGCTTGGCTCCCACGCCCACATGGTGACCCACAACCATTCCTAACTCCAGGTCCAGGGGATCTGACGCCTCTGACCTCCACAGGCAGCAGGCATTACATGTGCATATAGACACACATAGGCAAAACACTAATACACCGAAAATTAAATAAGTAAGTCTTTAAAAACTGTAAGGCATGGTGGCATATGCCTTTAATCCCAGCACTCAGGAGGCACAGGCAGGCAGATCTCTGAGTTCGAGGCCAGCCTGGTCTACAGAGTAAGTTCTAAGACAGCCAGGGCTACAAAAAAACTGGAAAAGAAAATATATATATATATTAAGAAAACCCCTGCAATATTCAACTCACACAAAATGAGTTTCCTGGCTATAACGAAATAAAATTAGGTTAGCCCAGGGATTCCCCCTCCATCTTCACTCTGATGCTTAGTTTAGGGCTGGTGGGCAACACTCTGCTGTTGAGCCACACTCCCAGCCCAGCCCAGGGATTTACTGACAGGAAATTAGTTAGAGGAATCCTTTCCAGGGAACATGGTCCATCGTCGCGGAGAAGGCACTTTGACAACTTTCATTAAAATGGAGACGAGCCCCTGGTACATTTATAGAATGGTTTGCACAATGTCTCATTGTAACGTATCATGTATGTTTCATTGGTATTCTATTCCAGGACAGTCTAAAAGCTGGATCTCTACAGAACGGTTATCTAGATTTAGGGTTGAAGTTTTACATGAAGGAATTTGTTATTTATTATGAGACAGGGCCTCAACTATATAGCTCAGGCTAGCCTCTCATAATCTTCCTGCCCTTTGGAATTCTAGGTCTGTGTCACCACACTTGCCAGGCATTTACTTCTGAAACTAGATATGGGATTTTTTAAAAAAATACTAATTGCTGCATAAAATTGGACATCCTACTTAAAGCCCTTTTATTTAGATGATGCCTCTATGGTAAAAGGTACCAGAAATACCCAGGCCATTGAATGTCATCCTAGGGAGATGAAAGATTCTGGAGTAAAATGAAAGCAAAGTACTGAGTCAGCAGGGATCTGGTGAAAAGTGATGGTGGCTGACTCAGATATGTGGGGCGGACGAAGAAGCCGGGAAGGTGCTCTTCCTCCCCAGGCTTCCTTACCACTGCTGTTGCCTTCTCTCTCCCTCCCAGAGCTGTGTGCCCCTCCTGCAGCGTAAAGGTGAGGATCTGGGGAGCCTTCTGGTCGTGGTGGGATGGGATGGGGGCACTGCTGTTTTCAACTGGATGTGTCGGACAGTCCGCCTCCCTGTGAGGCACTTCACCCACTCCCTTCCAAGAATCTGTTCTTCTACTTCCCAAGACTGCACTTAGTCTTGACTGTAAGATGATGTCTCATAAAGTCTAGGTATCTGAGGATGACTCTGAACTCTAGTTCCTCCTGTCTCTGCCTCCCAAGTGTTGGGCAGGAACCACACACCTGACCCAAGGCTGGATAGAGGTAGGTGTGTGTGTGTGTTTCTTTTAGGCAGGGTCTCACTATGTATCCCTAGCCGAGCGGGAACTCACTATACCTGGCCAAGACTACAATTTCTTAAAACACTCATAGGTAGTATTTTATATTTTTGAGATAAGGTCTTACTGTGTATAACACTGGCTGGCCTAGAACTGGCAACATAGACCAAGCTGGCTTTGAACTCAGAATTATGTCTGCCTCTGCTTTTTTTTTTAAACCCCATTTATTTTTTTATGTGCATTGGTGTTTACCTTGCATGTATGCCCGTGTGAAGGTGTCAGATTTTGGAGTTACAGTTGTGAGCTGCCATGTAGGTGCTGGAAATTGAACCCAGGTCCTTTAGAGGAGCAGTCAGTGCTCTTAACCACTGAACCATTTCTCCAGCCCCAGCCTCTGCTTCTTGAGTGCTGGTTATAGGTATACACCACCTTGCCAAGTCCTTAGAAACAGTCTTAAAGTTTGTTTTTAAGAGAGATGGCTCAGAGGTTAAAATCACTTGCTGCTGTTACAGAAGACCTGGGTTTGGTTCCCAGCACTTACAGCCAGCAAGTTTCTAACTCCAGTTCCAGAAGAGCAGACACCTTCTGTCTTCCAAGGGCTCAGCATGCGCACAGTGCATCAACACAAATACAGGCAGAACACCCACACACAGAAGATAAAAATAAACAAAAACATTGTAACCATTCCCCCCCCCACACACACTAAAAAGTCTCCTTCAGCAAAGCCAGGTTGCATCTGGATGTGTCTAAGGGACAGAAACCCCTGGAAGTGCACTAACCCCTCAGCTCAGAAAGAGGAAGCTACTTTTCTCAAATTCTTTATAACCTGTCCCTGGACCACAGGAACACTTCATCCTTGTCAGTGTGAAGCACTGGCCACAGGCAGAACCTAAAATTACACCCTTGTGGTTTAAAAAGATAACAGTTCCTAGCCCCTAAGAAATTACAGCTCTGATGAACAGGAAATGTAGTTGGGGTGTGACAAGGGAGGCACCCACGCTGGGTCCTCAGATGACAGCGAGGGGCACCACTTTCAGTCTCTGGTCCCGAGGGGTGCGGAGGATAGCTTGCGGCACCTTGTCCACACCCCTCCTCGTGTTGCAGATGAAAATGCCTTCCAAGAAGTGTGCACACATCCCTGTCTACACGCTTGGTTTTGAGAGTCTTCAGAGGGTGCCAACTACCAAAGCCACGCCAACACTGAGGAGAGACGCCTTCCAGTATGTCCTTGTTGCTGTACCCTGTGGTAGTAACTGGGAAACCGGGGAGAGTTCCTATGGCACTGTGTGGATTTCCCCAGGGAACATGTCAAGTCATCTGGGTCTACAAAGTTGGAGGGAACTGAGGCTTGGGTGGTCTGTGCTCAGACCTCCGTGCCTGCCGAGAAAGGGCATTTACCAGGATAGACACTGTCTTCTACAGATGAGACCTGAGGAAGGAGGAAGAGGCAATCTGGAGGAGGGGTGGCTGTGGACACGGAGAGCAAGATTTGGGGTGCCGAAGGGGAGGGGCAAGGCCTCTGGGGGACCCTGGCCCTAACAGGGCTCTTTCTTCTCACGGTTCTCTCCTGGCATCTCTCTCCAGATCCCTGCAAGGACCCAAGTGGCGGAGCGTGGAGGAAGAGTTCCCCCACATCTACGCCCATGGCTGCGTCCTAAAGGATGTGTGCAGTGATTGCACCAGCTTCGTAGCTGACGTCGTGTGCTCCAGCCGCAAGAGCGTGGCCGTCCTCAACGCCACTCCACAACGCGGCCGCCAGACCCAGTCCCTCTACATTCCCAACACCAGGACGCTCGGCTTCCAGTGACTGCTGTGCTGGCCGCCCTGCACCCCATCTGGAACACAGCTGCCATGACTCCCTTGCGCATGTACATATATACATATATAGATACATTTATAATATATACACGGCCTATATATTTATATACATTGTCTCTTTGCCCCACAGTTCATTCAGGGCTAAGCTTACTCCAGCCCCTTCCCTGTTTCTCTTCTCTCAGGAGTCCCTGGAAAGGCTGAGAGGGCCTGGGGGATGCAGGGAGGGCAGGGGACTTCGGCTCTTAGAACTCTGGCACAGCTTCCGCCTCGGTCCTCTTCAGTAGTGAGCATGTGGCAGCTTCTCTCCCCTGGGACAGGGTGCCTTGGCTCTCAGACCAGGTCTACCCCTGCTGTCTTTTCAGGGCTCAGTCGGCAGAGGCACATGGGAAGCCTCTGGGAGTGTGGGGTTCTGCTGAGAGGAAGCCCGGACACCCAAGCCAGGCTCACTCTTGCTCCCTTGCTGGCGTTGACTCTCCCTAGGGAGATACAGACAACCCAGATAGGGCACTGACAAAGAATAACTTGGTGAACCAATTAGCTTACTGAGATTCACAGCCCTGTGCTGAGGGGCTACTCACAGGAACGTAAGTGACTCTGGCAGCTACAATACCGCAAAGCCCCACCCCAGCACGGGTGACAGCTCTCGAAAACCTTGTTACTGTAATTCACAGCCCTAGACAATTTCTTACTTCCTATACCAAGTCCATGGTGCAGCTGGGGGTGGGGGGTGGCAGGCATCTCCTGTGAGGCTTGATGAGCTGCTTCCTCCCGGGGAATGTTAGCAGCCCTAACTCATTATCACGGGCCTACAGATTGTTATAGTGTGGTGTTTTCTTCACTGCGTGGCCACAGGCCAGTGTGCTCGATGATGGTGGTCACGTTCCTTAAACCGAGGCAGCACCTACACCTGACCGGGAAGGGCCCGTGCGAAGCACCCGACGGCTTACACACAGCCAGGAGGTGGGCTGTGTTGTCGCCCCACCTTACAGATCAGGAAACAAAGGCTCAGTCAAGTATCTCAGAAGAGCCCAGACTTCAACTGCAGCCTGCTCACTGAGGCCTGTTGCTGACTCCGGGCTTTAACATCCTGCTTAGGACTAGAAGAGGCACCAGATGCACAGAACTGTGGCAGATAGGTCGGCGGGAAAGAGCTGTCCTTGAAATTAGAACACCCAATAAAGCGGCTAGCGCCCGACACTCCTCTGAGCACCTCACAGACAGCGTCTGTATTTTCTTTCCAAAATTTCAAAAGATATGCTCATTTACGTTACATGTCTGCTTGCATTAATTTATGTGCACTGCATTAGCCCACGGAAGCTATGGAACTGGAGTCGCAGGAAGTTGTGAGTCACCATGTGGGTGCTAGGAACTGAACTCAGTTCCTTTGGCCTGAGCAGCAGGCGCTCTTAACCACTGAGCCATCTTTCCAGCCCTTCGTTTTGTTTTAGAATAGGCAAAGCTGGGTGCGGTGGCACGCACCTGTAATGCCAGCACTTGGCGAGGCAGACACAGGAGGACCTAAGTTCAAGGCCAGCCGGGTCTACAAAGGGAGTCGAGGACAACCAGGGCTACACAGAGAAACCCTGTGTCTTGGAGAAAAAAAACCAAAAACTTAAAAACATAAATAAATAAAAATAAAACAGGACAAGCAGAGGTCAGGAATCACTGCTGTCACTCAACCAGCAAGAAAAACACGTTTAACCAAGTGTGGAGGCTCACACTTGTTATCCCAGCAATTGGTAATTAGAGTCAGGAGGATCATTAATTTGAGGCTAGTCTTGGCTCTGTAGCAAGTTCCAGCGAAGTCTGAGCTATATAGTGAACTCTCAAACAAGAACACCCTCGTGTTTGTGCAGTGCTTGCAGGGACAGCCACTCCGGGGACTAAGTACAGCTGCTGATACATAAAAGCAGCCACATATCCAGCTCACAGTCCCAAGCACAGGGCCACCCAGGCTCTGATCCTCAGAAAACACAAACAAAAGCAACACAAGCACATCCTGGGAAGCAGCCAGCTGAGCAGAGGGTAATGCCTGTGGGTCCTACCGTTCCCTAGAGAACATCTTGTCCTTCTGTCTTACTGCCCCCTGGGGTTGCTGGCCTCTTCTAAACATTTGGTTGCATGTCAGCCCACTGAGCCAGCCTCAGTGATGTCAAATAGAGATGATGTCAAATAGAGCCAATTAGAGCCGAGATTCCTAAGCACCAGCTCTACAGCAGTTCAGGGAGGCACATTTGGAGCTAGTGGTTCAGGGAAAACCAACTCCATCCTTCAGTATCCACAACCTCTGTCTCAGGAGAAGCAGTTCCAGACTGAGACCTCCCATCTTATTCATAGGTAAGGCTACTGGCCATACTGCTTGACCATGGCTGACACAGAAGCTAGCCTGGTCCTGAACAGACATGAGGGTGGTTGGTGTTCTGAGCATGATGCGGAAGAGGTTATGACTTTTAACAGTGACCAGTAGCAGGAAGGGGGCTGTGGAGGGACACCTTGAGATAGTAGCTATAGGCTATCAACTTTGAAATTCTAGCATAGCTTGGGCAGAGCAGCTACTTCAGTCACCAGGCTCAGCATCCAACCTAGGGAGGACCCAAGATCCCTGGGAAAGGCAGGCTAGAGCTCACGGACAGTGGCTTTACAGCAGGGATGGAACACGGATGATGCCCTGCCCGCCTTCTCTGTCCCTGCCAACAGCCTGCCTTGTTTGCACTTTGGGAATCACATAAATGCAAAACCAGGTTCTCTCTGGACTACTTACTCATTAAGTCAGTTTCTTCACGTGTAAAAGATCGGAATTTAGAACAGTGCCCTGCCTAGCTCAACAGTGAAGGCTGTCTCCACAACCGTACAGCCCTCTCCCCTGCCCTCAAGGTGGGAAAGGGTCCAAGCCAACACCAGTTCGTTTTACACTTACTTTGGATTTACTCAATCCTGGCCCGTCTAGGGACATTTGTCTACAGTATAAAAAACTGGACATGCAACAGCTTTGTAATCCCCGCCCGTCAGAAGCAGAGGATTCCTGTGAGTTTCAAGGGCAGCCTGGTCTACAAAGCTCCAGAACAGGGCTAGAGAAGTGGCTCGGAGGTTAAGAGCACCGTCTGCTCTTCCAAAGGTCCCTAGTTGAATTCCCAGCAACCACATAGTGGCTCACACCCATCTATGAGATCTGGTGTCCTCTTGTGGAGTGCAGGTGTACACGCAGACAGAACACTATACATAATAAATAAAAACGAGTCTTTAAAAAGGCTGCAGAACAGCCAGGGCCACCCACAGAAACCCTTTTTAGAAAATGCAGAAAAACAAAAGGAACGAAAAGAAAACCAGATCCACATCTGTGCAGAAACTCCCTATATCCTTCGCGAATCAGAATACACGAAGGGCTGACCACCGATCCACACCTAGAGAGCTACCCCTCACCCAATACCCCCGTAACATCAGTATCCCCTGTCGCGCTCGCGACCAGAAAAAGCAACTGCGAACGCCCAACTCGATCCCGTGCACCTCACGGAGAGGAGATGTCCGGGAAGGTAGCCAGTCCCGAAGAAGTTACACTGTTTCTATTAGGGCACACTCTGTCTCTCTGCCCCCGAGCAGCAGTCAGGAGGTGGGGAACACCGAAGGTCGCGCGGGTGGGCTACGCAGAGAGAAGAGTTGCGGACCCCGTGCGTCGCTCCTCCGTCCTATTAGTGTCTTCCCACGCGGGGGGTTGCGGGGCGCGTCCGAGCTCACTCCCTCCTCACCCGGCCCCGCCCGCCAGCCCCGGGAGTCACGTCAGCGGCGCGCAGCGCTCCGAGCCTGCGCGTTTCCATCCGCGTCCCGGCTGGCTCTCCGAGCGCCGCTCGCCTGGGAAGCCGGTGCCGCGCCGCCGCTGGGGCCCAACTCTCGCGAGATCTCCCCGGGCCACCTTCGCACCTTCCGAGGAACTTCCGGAGGAAGTTCCGGAGAGCCGCGGCGCGTAAACGCGACACGCCAGCCCTGCGCCAGCGCGCCGCCAGTGCGCAGGCGCCTCCACTCTGCTGCTCTTCCTCGTCCGTGTGTCCACTGCCGGCCGTCGGGTCCTATGTCGCGCCGGGCCCTCCGCAGGCTGAGGGGGGAACAGCGCGGCCAGGAACCCCTAGGCCCCGACGCCTTGCGGTTTGACCTCCTCGAGGACGATGACGCAGACGAAGAGGGACCAAAACCGGGGTTGGGTGGCCGGCGCCCCGGGGCCGCAGGGAAGGAGGGAGTCCGTGTCAACAACCGGTTCGAGCTGGTGAGGAGCTGGGCCACCGGAGGCGGGGGAACAGCGGGGGCATGACGTCATACGAAGAGGCATAAAGTTGGGTCTGGACCGCAGTCGAGTGGGCGGAGAGAAGGGACTGCGCCGCATCGGTGGAAGGCGGGTCTCCGGGCGGGCGGGTGGGGGGTGGCGAGGCAGTGCGGAATTGCGAGTCGGGGTGGTGTCGAGGGGCGACGTTCCCCATCCTAGATAGGTAGGGTAGGCTGCTGAGCGGAGGGGCTGCTAACGTTCTCGGGCGGTGCTGTCCAGGGGCTGAGCGATGGGACTTCACTGCAGCATAGGGCGTGTCTAGGGGCAGTGCCGGGAGGCGTGGTGTGACGTCGGGGCAGCACAGGCCCGTGACGTCAGGATGGGCGTGGCGTGACATCCGAGACCAGCTAAGGCGGAGGGCCAGCAGGGATGGCGAGTGGGAGATGGGGTTCTGATGAGGTCGAGGCTGTCATGGATGGTGCTGTAGTGGGGTAGGGCCTGGCTTCATATCTGCGACGTGAGAGAGATCCCTGATTCTAGCTCTTTACAAACACTTCTGCTTATTCGTCACAGCACTTGTGTCTGTCGCAGCGGGTTATATACCTAGCTCTTGCCTCTCAGCAGGAGTCTGACACAGAACAATGCGTAGCGCTTTTCAGTCCCTTGTTTTTCCTCATAACTGACTGACCTGTGTCTGCAGTTTCATATGTGAATGAATTACGGTTCTGGCTTCATGTGTGGACAGATAATTTGCCTATTTTGCTCGTTTGTATCTCCAGCGTGGTAAGGCTTCGATGATCATTTTTTGAATAAGTGAACATTTGTAATGAGTCTAAAAGTCCTCTGTAATACTCAGTCTTGTGAGTTGTCCCCAGTTTTTTATCAGTTGGCAAGTTTAAAAATAGCAAATATTTTGAGGAATGTGGGAAATGCTGTGGAAGTCTGTGGTGCTGGTGAAACAGGTCTCTCCTCGGTACTGTCAGAACTCTTTGATTTTTCAGCCTGAAAGAAACTCCCCTTCCTACGCTGTTTCTTGTCCTTTCTTTTTAACTTGAAAAAAAAAAAGATTTGTTTATTTATTATTTATATGGTGTTCTGTCTGCACACCAGAAGAGGGTACCAGATGGTTATGAGCCACTGTGTCGTTGCTGGGAATTGAACTCAGGAGCTTTAGAAGTACAGCCAGTATTCTTAACCCCTGAGCAACTCTCCAGCCCAATTTTAACTTTTTATTAGGTTTAATTAAATTAATTGTCATTATTATTATTTTGATTTGTTTTGTTCTTTCAAGACAGTCTTTCTGTGTGTCTCCTTGGTTGTCCTTGAATTCACTCTGTAGACCAGGCTGGTTTCAAATTTAGAAATTCACCTGCTTCTGCCTCCTAAATGCTGGCATCAATGGTGTGAGTCAGTACGTGCTGTCTAGCTTTAATTTTAAACACACAAAAAAATAGGAAACTACAGATAACCGGTATGTGCCCATGGCCCAGTAACTGGCATTCCATCAGTCTGCCTGTTTTTAATATTGTTTTATTCCCTTCTCTCCAAGAGGTGACTTCAAATCAGATCTTAGATATCACAGCATTCACCTTTACACAAGTCTTCCTCAGTGTTGGGATTCCTCCCTTGACAGCAGCTGGTGTTAGCACTCAGACCTTAGGTATCTGGGTCCATTGGCCTGGAAGATTTTACAGCTCTCTGGAACTCTTCCTCCAATGACCAAGGCCTGCATTTTGTCTTCCCTGCCTCCTTACAATTTCCTGCCTTGAGCTTCAACTCTTGGGTCTCTGCTTCTGCCATGCCTTTGTTCCTTCCCTGCCACTTTCTCAAACTGTTCAGATGCCTCTTTTTTAGGTGTCAAGCAGCTGGCTGCCTTGCCACTTTTGGCTTCCGGACTGCTGACTGCTCAGCTGCTTCTTTGTAGTACAAGCTTAGCCCACACTACTGAAGAGGGCAAGAAAAGGGGCTGGAGAAGTAACTCAGTGGGTTTCCAGAGGACTTAGGTTTGGGTCCAGGGGATGACCTACAAATCAAAAATAAGGCTCCTGATAGTAAAAGTGATACAAACTAGCCCTTCTTGGTGGCCCTCTCCTTTAATCCCAGCACTTGGGAGGCAAAGGCTAGAGGATCTCTGAGTTTGAGGCCAGTTTGGTCTACAGAGTGAGTTCCAGGGCAGCCAAGGTTACACAAGAAACCCTGTCTCCAAAACAAAACACACACACACACACACACACACACACACACACACGGGTACAAACTGAACAATATTTTTGAGGCTACATGCATCTTAGGAGTCTGAGCAATCACCTGTGATCATAGTGTAGTTTTTCAAGGCTTCTGGAATGTTCAAAGGAATGTTGAATATGGATAGTGTGGCTTACTGTTTAACAGACGGCTATTTTCCTCAAAGCATCTAGGGAAGAATTCAACAGTTGCCAGTTAGAGAATCAAAATGCTTCATCCCCCAAAGTCTTTGCTTAGTTATAGGAAAATTAACATCAGGTTTTTGAAGATGTTACTAACATTCATAGTGATTCTAACTGATTTTAACAGTGTCTAACATTGTACAGTGCCTGGGGCAGAGTGAGACCCCTTCATCTGCCTGAACTTCAGCTGCACAGGGAGTCTTCTCTGCTGTTCCTCCACATTCTATCCTGAATACAGAGCTGGTAGCTCTTCTTTCCCAGCAGTTCTCAGGGCCAGATTTGTGCCATCTGCCGAGACCCTTCTCACGACCTCATCCTTTTCTAATATTGCTCAGTGTTTCAACCACCCTGGCCTCCCTTTGCCTCCCGCTCTGGCTGCAGCCCCTTTGTTGAGATATTGACATGAGACTTTGTCCCCCTCCATGGGCATGCTTTGGTGTTATCCTGCTACTGTCCACTCTTACCATCTGACTAAAAACACAACTATCCTCATTCATGTTCCTTTTATTCTAGTCTTTTTCCTTCTCCCCTGGCAGTTACCACCAAACACATTATTCTTTGTGTGTGTGTGCTGTTTGCCTCCCTCTGCTGGAATGTACGTTTCTTAGAAACAGACTTTGTTACTCACTGATGTAGCACTCAGAATGTATGTCCATCTGTGCTGAATTTAATAAGACAAGTTACTAGCCAGGCGGTGGTGCTTGTCTTTAATGCCAACACTTGGGATGCAGAGGTGGGAGAATCTCTGTGAGTTTGAGGCCAGCCTGGTCAACAGAGTGAGTTCTAAGACAGCCAGAGATACACAGAGAAACCCTGTCTCAGAAAACAACAACAACAAAAAAAAAATTGTTTTAGGCATGCATGCAAGGCTGTGGAGTCAGCGGAACCTAAATCTGTATCCTGGCTGTCCCTCTTTGTAGTTGAGAACGCTTGGACAGGCTACTGGATGAACATTTGGGGATGCTTTTGCTAACTCATGGTGTAGCCTGTAGCATATGCTGGGCATGTGATCGGCACTCACCAAATGTAGATGTGTGCTTTTGGAAGTAGAAGGGGACAGAAGAACTCTAGAAACACATGACTGTAAGTGGTTCATTCGAATACATTCTTAGGGGCTGATGATGTCCTCCTAGGGAAGGAAGCAGGGTAAAGATGGCCTGGGGCCACTCCTGACTGAAAGAAACCAACTTATTGAAGTTATATAATAAAATGTATCTGCTTGAAGGATCTAGTATGAATTTGACATTTTCAGCTGTGCAAATTGTTCATGTTTTAGACATCTGGTATGTGCTCACTTGTGCCCGGCCCCTTGCTCAGAATATGCTTATGAGATTATTCAGTTTTGAGTGTTTATCGTTTGTTCTTTCTTACTGCTGAGTAGTAAGTAGTATATTGTTTGTTTTGCAGGGGTGGGGATTGAACCCAGGGTCTTGTGCATGCTTTACATTCTTTTTTATTTATTTTTAATTTTTAAGATATGGTCCCCTGGGCATGGTGGCACACACAGAGGCAGGCAGTTCTCTGTGAGTTGAGGCTAGACTGGTCTACATAGTGAGTTCTAGAACAGCCAAGGCCATTTATAAAGTTGCTGTTTCCGAAATGCCTCTACTATGCACTATACACAGACTATAATATATCATATATGATAGTCTGTGTATATGTATATATACTATGTATGATATATATTACATATATGCTTAATGTAAACAGGTAATATAGGCATATATAAGTAAATACAATATAAAGTAAATAAATATAAAAGTATAAGTAACAAGATAGTTAATGTGTAAGTGATAAAAATACATGCTTAGTGTAAATATATAAGTGCTATAAATATATATTTCTATTACATAGTTATTTATATTAAGTATATATTTATATGTACTGTGCATATATATGTACATACATATAAACTTGGGGAAAAAAGACAACAGTTTTTTAAAAATTTGACTCAGAGTTGGGTGTGGTAGCATATGGAGGCTAATTTGGGAGGATTGGTGTGAGTTCAAGGCTAGTCTTGGTTACATAGTGAGATTCTGCCTCCAAAAAAAAGCTTGGATGGGCTGGAGAGATGGCTCAGTGGTTAAGATCACTGGCTGCTTTTCCAGAGGGACCTGAGTTCAATTCTTAAAACAACTGTCTGTAACTCCAGAACAGCAATGTGCATAAAAATAAATAAATGGTGGTGGTGGTGGCACGCCCCTCCAGTCCTAGCAGAGGCAGAAGCAAATGGATCTCTGAGTTCTAGAACAGTCAGGGTTACACAGAGAAACCCTGTCTCAACAAAAACAAAACAAACAAAAAGTTAAATAACATGTTGTGCATGTCACAGTGATTTTATTATACCATAAAAATTTGTAAATCAGGTACTAACCTCATATAAACCTACATGAGCATGATTTCCCCCAACAACTGCAGAGTATGAGGGAGTTCATGTGACTGCCCTTCTGACACCAGTTCCAAATGTGGGGGTTCTCAGTGCCATCTTCCAAGTTCAATAATGTGTGAGAAATACAAAATTCACTTTGTTCTTGTAGCCTGCAGCAGGGAGCATGTACAGATTATGCAAGGGCAGCCCGCAGAGTGGCGCTCCAGAGGTGGTGCCTGCGCAGTTGTGCACAGGCAGAGCCTGTGGTCCTCCTCACATGCTTGACAGGGCCAGAGTATTCCCAGCCAGGGAAGGGGACCTGAGCTTCCACGCAGGTGCTCTGTTGTCAGCATCAGAGGCAACAGGATGACCGTGTACACAGTGGGTTGGTGGAGCTGCCTTGAAGGGGCTTTCCTGTACAACTTGCCTGGCTCCCCTGGGTCTGCGTGTTTCAGGAGCTTGAGTTTCTGTCTTATGTTCCCACCTTAGATCATGTTGCCACCATCTGATATGGCCTCGGGGCCCCTACAAATCCTCTGGTCAGCGTGGGCTGAAGCCCCAGTAAAGATGTTACTGTGAGAAATTACCAGAGGCTTAGATGTTAACTCCCCAGAAGCCAGGGCAAAGGCCAAGCCTTTATTTGGATGGGATGGGATTTATTATTATGTATCTCTAAAGGGAAACTACATTCTTGTTGCCAAAGCAGTGCATTCAACGGCATGAGGATAGCATGAGGATAGTGACGGGCATGTTCTTTTTAAAGACTTACATTTCCGTGTGTATGAATGTGTTTTGCCTGCATGCATGTCTGTGTACCACATGTGTGCTGCCCACAGAGACTAGAAGAGGGCATTGGAAACCTGGAACTGGACCTATGGAGGGTTGTAAGCAGATAGGTGGGTACTAGGAATCAAACCTAGCTCTTCTGGAAGAGCAACCACTACTCTTAACGGCTGAGCTCTCCCTCCAGCCCATGCCTGTTTTTGTCCTCCACCCTGATAAAGCTATCTTTAGCAAGGTTTGCATACTGAATAAGGCTGTGAGGAAGAAAGAATATGTTAGCATTCTATTTGTAAGAGTTTTTCAACATTGAAAAATAGGCAGACAGCTGCCATCCCTGCTTCCCTGGTGCATATTCACTCTTCACAATGAAGGGTTCTGCTGGCTTCTTCTGCCAGTGCAGAAAGTAACTTCTCTTTCAGTAGCCCATCACAGGGAATGTGGTACCTTGTCTGGCAAGTCTAACAGTTAAAAATAGTTTATGGAAGCTGGAGATGGCTCAGTGGTCAAGAGCATTGACTGCTCTTCCAGAGAACCCGGATTTGATTCCTACATGGTGACTCACATCTGGCCAGTTCCAGGGAATATGACACCCTCCTCTTGTCTCCATGGGCACCAGACATTCATATGGTGCATCTATATGCATGTACAAAAAATAGCCATACACAAAAAGAAGAAGAAAAAAGCTTAAAGTTTGGGTGGTGCTCAGTAAATGGGGTGATTACAGCGTGGGGGTTCTGAATGTCATGCCTAAAGACGAGGATGCACCATTCATGTATCTTAGATGCCCTGACTGAGCCAGAATTCATTAACAAGCTCAGAAATGTACTGGTCCTGTGTGAGTATTAGGTACCCCTTTCCTCTCACTGCCCCACCCTCAGCCCATTCTCAGTCCTCTCCCTTTTCAGCTTCATAGTGTCTCCGTGAACACTGGACTATGGTGCTTAGTTGCTCTCATTTCTTTCTTGTCTTCTTTCCAGATAAACATGGAGGATCTTGAGGATGGCCTTGTGGTAAACGGGGAGAGGTCGGATGCTACCCTGCCAGACTCTGTGTCATCAGGGAACAAAGGAAGGGCTCAACGTGGAAACCCAGAGACCAAGCAAGATGGGGATGTGGCCAACGCAGGGTTCCCGGAACAGGTATAGGTTATCACCTGGTGATGGGGAAACTGAGCGTGTCAGAGGTGAGCCCAAGATACACATACACTCTGTGCTTCCAGTGTCTTACCTTCTTATGAGCTTGAGTTCATTAACTGTTTGGTTGCCCTGGGGAGCCTGGATGGGATTTCTGTAGAAATCTGAAGGCCAGTGATGGCTTCATGGGTACCATACAGAGTGTTTGCTTGCCTCTTTTGGGAGTGTCTGTGCCCGATCAGAATATGCAGTCTGGTGAGGGCCGAGTTCTCCCAGAAAGTGTTGTGGGAGAGCAGGGCTGGGGTTCACTATGAGGCACCCTAGCACAATGAGTCCTTAACTCCAGGACAAGTGCAGCACAACAGGGAATGGTCGATAAAATGCTATTGGTCAGGTGGCTGGGTGGTCCTGTGAGCTGCCCCAAAGCACATCAGGGCAGGGGGTGAGATTCTGGGGAGGACCATGGTGTTTCATGGTGCTGAAATGCAAGTGACTTGGAAGGACTTGAGGGTATAGGAGAAGGAGTGGGGACTACTGCACTGGAGATTGAACTTGTTGCTTACATTTTTATTTATTTGTTTTGTTTATTTATATATTTATTTTGTTTTGTTTTTGAGACAAGATTTTTCTATGTAGCCTCGGCTGTCCTGGAACTATATAGACCAAGCTGACTTTAGACTCTAGAGATCTGCCTCTGTCTGCCTCCTAAGTGATGGGATTTAAGGCATGTTCCACTAGTCCTGGCTGTTGTATAGTTCCTAATGTTTGTGATTTTATTTCTTTCCATTGATTAAAACATCTCCTTCTATTAGTCCAATGCAAGTGGCAAACTCCGAAAGAAGAAAAAGAAGCAGAAAAATAAGAAAAGCTGCCCAGGAGAATCTTCGGTATGTTTTCAAACTGGCTGCTTCCTCCGTCTAAGCCTCACTGTTCCTGCTGGTACCTCAGGCTGGTACCTCAGGCTGGTACCTCAGGCTGGTACTGAGAAAGTGTTGTTTAGTGAGCTCTCTGATTGCTTCCCACTGACCTGAGAGGTCAGGAGAACAAAGAGCAAAAGCACAGATCTTACTTCTGGCTTGTGCCCTTTCTTCCCTGGTTGTCAGACCCATTCTTGGGTTCTGTGTTTTGAGGTGAGTGTCCCTTGCTCAACTTACGTCTTATCCTGATGGTTTCTGTTGGTAGTGAGTGTAGAAGCCACTGTGGACTTGCTGTCATCAGGCGGCACAGTTCCGCTGTTGCCTCATGCCCCATGGCTAACTGCTAGTTCTGGAAAAAGCCATAGCTTTGCTCCTGTGGTGAGGAGTCATGACTCAGCTTACCTGGGAGCCAAGCTGCTCTAGAAAATGCAGTGTGCTGTTTTGCCCTGTTATTTTCAGGGCCCTCTGAGCCTGTGCCCCAGCACTTCTGGCTTTCTCTAGTGACAGTGTCTCCTTCCTGAATGTACATGCAGTGTATGATATCTTTTAAAAAGTAAGTTAATAGAATCATTCTTTTTCAAAATAACTTGCTCTGTCGCTGATGGTTAGAATCTTGAAAGTAAAGTCAGAACCAAGTATGGTCCATGTCTAGGGACCTAGCAGTGAGTCAGCACAGTGATTAACAGGTTGTTCTGGCTTTTAGGAGAATGGTCTAGAAGACATTGATCGCATCTTAGAGAGGATTGAAGACAGCAGTGGGTTCACCCACCCAGGGCCCCCTCCACTGAGCTCCAGGAAGCACATCCTATATGTGGAGCACAGGTACAGCCTCGCCCTCACCTTAGGAGAGAAAAACAGTATGGGGGAGGGGGAAAGAGAAAAAAGTTTACTACTTTTTTTTTTTTTAGTTAGGTCTGGTGATAAACACCTGTAATCCCAGTCCCAGCCCTTAGGAAGTGGGAACAGGAGAATTAGGAGGTTAGTGCTAGCCTGGACTGCTTAAGATGAACTCAAAAAAATGAAAGAAAATGTAGCATTGTCTTTTTTTGGTAAATGGTCAGATCTAAGGGTGCAGTTCAGTGGTAGAGTGCACACCTCACGTGTGGAGTACCCTGTACCCTGTGCCACAAGCTTTATACTCAGTCCATCAGAGAGCAAAATAAAACAGTGCTGGGTGTGGGGGTTCATGCTTGTGACCCGCCAAGGGCAGCCTGAACTTCAAAACCCGCTAAATCACATTTATTATTAAACATTTAAGAAAAACGAGAAAGAAGAAACCGTTATCCATATTTCAGAGGACTTTCAGGCTTATGTATCTTGGATGCTTGAGCCGTGTAGAGCACTATTTCACAATGGGATGAGTAGGCATCTGTCGGTCTTACAGACAGTGTGCTCAAAGCTGCCCAGGATTCCTGCTGCTCCTGCCTCAGCCTTCCAGGTACTGAGATCACAGGCGTGCGCCACCATGCCCAGCTCCCCTACGTTCTTCTGTGACTTATGAAAGTGCAGAGTTATTGTAGAAGAATATAATTCTTGCTTCTAAACTTTTTTCTCAGACACTTGAATCCAGATACAGAACTGAAAAGGTATTTTGGTGCTCGAGCAGTCCTGGGAGAACAAAGGTGAGGCTCTAGTCAGTCTGTGTTCTTCGTGTCAGGTCAGTCTTTCTCAGGCTCCAGAGGGAAGGAAGGGTTGAGGAAGACTGAGGCAGAAAGGATGCTGTGAGTTCTTCGTAGAGGGAAAATACCTACATCCAGAGTGAACAAGTCAAACTCTTAGCACTGGGTCCGAAATGACTCAAAAGAAAAGATTTGTGACATCATCCATCCTCTGTCCCTCACACCTTCTTCTCTAGGATATGCACCCCATCTTTACAAAGATGCTAAAGACGTGGATACGAAGTCCCATTTTTGTTCAATCAGCAGCTAATGTGATCCAAAGTTGAAGTGAAATGAGACATTGTGTCCGTGCTGATTTAATAGTTCTCAGTGTCAGGGCAACATGCCACAGGGGATGGAGTGCGGGTGTCCCACGACTCCCTGAAGGAAAAGAGGGTACAAGGGTCCACCTCCGGGAACCCTGTTAGGACGCTGTGTGTGATCTCTCTGCCTCTTCATCAGAATGTCTAGAAAGCTTTATGTCTGCTTGTTATGATAGGGTCTGTGTGGCCCAGGACTTGAATTCTCTGTTCTTCTGCCTCAATCTCTCAAGTGCTATAAAGGCTAGCTTAGAGCTGTCTTTTTTTTTTTTTTTTTTAAGATTTTACTTATTATTGATACTGATAAGGTAAAAGTATAGTGCTTCATTATGAAAATGCACTCGTAAAGTGCTTGCGTGTTTGAAAATGTGCCTTGTACATGCAATACCCGCAGAGGCTAGAAGAAGGCATCTGGTCTTCTGGAATTGTGGTCTTCTGGAGTTGGGAGTGGAGTACACTGTGGTGCATACATGTGGGTGGAGAGAGCCAAACCAGTCCTTCTGCGAGAGCAGCAAGCGCTCTTAACAGCTGAGCCTTTTTTCTAGCCTCTACCGTTGTCTTTTTAAGTGTTTTTCTCCCTGGTGGTAAAACAGGTGCTAAAAATGTAATCAATTTAGTCATTCAACCTTTGACTCTCCCTCTCTCCCAGAACCCCCAGGTTATTTTTGATAATTGATGGATCAAGTATTGGAAGGAGCACATGGCGATATTTGCTTTACGTGGCCATGAGAGAATTCTATTGGCACTGTAACAGCCTGCTTTGCATATCTGGCTTTCTAGGCTGTCGTTCTCTGTGCTGTGGTGTACCAGGGTTGGCTATTTACCCCAGATGTTGGGTTTGTGTGGCTCTTGGCTGTAATCCCTGTGCCTGCACAACATTTTGTGAAAGTGAGAGCTGCCTGCTGCTGAGCCCCTCTCCGAGGAGCTTAGATTCACACTCCACCCGGTGTCAGCCACACCTCCTCATAGCAGACACAAGAAATTTGAGGGGTTTGGTGTCATCTCTACTTTATTTCTTAGATTATAACTAAGTCTACTTGTTTCTCTTCTGCTGTATGCTCCTACTTTCATTGTGTTTCCTATGGGTTTTTGTTTGTTTAGACTTTTTATTTTTTTGGTTGTTTTTGAGATAAATCTCACTATGTAGTCGTAGGTGACTTGGGACTTACTGTGTATACCAGGCTATCATGGAACTCAGAGCAATCCACTTGCCTCTATTCCCCAAGTACTGGAATCAAGGGTGTGTATCACCATGCCTGGCTTGCTTATTTATTTCTTGCTTTATTTATTTGTTTGTTTCGAGACAGGGTTTCTCTGTGTAGTCCTTGCTGTCCTGGAACTCACTCTATAGGTGAGGCTGGCCTCGAACTCAACGTTAGAGATCCACCTAGCTAGGATTAAGGATGTGCAGCACCACTGCCCAGCTGCTCGCTTTATATTTTTAGCGTTACATTTTTATTTTTATGTCTTCTTTTGAGAACATTGATGAAATGTTTATACATTAAAATGTCCCCTTTTGGGGCTGGGTTTCTAGGCTTATTTAATAGAGTGTTTGCCTAACATGCTTGGAGGCCTGAGTTTGTTCTTCAATACCACAGAATCTAGTCACAATAACACACACTGTCCTCCTAGCACTTGGGAGGAAGAGGCAGGAGGACTAGGAGTTCAAAGCCATCCTCAGCTGCATAGTGAATGTGAAGCCAGCCTGGATTACATGAACCCTGTCAGTCAATCAGTCAATCTGCTGTTTTCTTTTACCCTGGGCCAAGTTTTCTGTTTTCTTGTATTAGTTACTGTTCTTGCTGCAGTGACAAAATACATGACAAAAGAAACTTAAGGAAGGTTTCGTTCTGGCTCGCAGTTTGAGGGGACACAGTTCATCATGGTGGGACAGGGATGGTCACAAGAGTGTGAGGCAGCAGGTCACACTGCATCCACAATCAGGAAGCAGAGAGAGGCAGACTCGGGGCCCAGAGCCTTCCTCCTTTTTCATTCTTCACTGCGTCCAAAGCCCCAGCCCGCAGCATGGTGCTGCTCACATTCAGGTGAGTCTTTCTGCATGGAGGTGTGTCTAGGAACTCCAGATAGTGTCAGACTGGCAGTGAGGGTAGCCCTAGGTCCTGTTTCAGTAAGTGGTAGTTACTGATATGCATTAATAATTACATTTATTTCATTCTATCTGGTGCTAGGGTTAGATCCACAACCTTACAAATGCAGAGGACACATTGATCATCCCTCAGTCCTGGTCTTGATCTCATGAACTCAGCACTTGATCCTGGTCTTGAACATGGCTGGGACTGTAGACTGGCACCACCATGACCCCGGTCCACTAATTTCTTTCATGTTGTTTTACTTTGAATACAAATATAATTTTCATGTTATACTTTGTATGTACATATAATTCAAATATAAACATAAATCTTTAAAACTTTAAGTTGAGCCATCTGGGGAGATGGCTCAGAGGTTAAGAGCACTGTCTGCTCTTCCAGAGGACCTGAGTTCAATTCCTAGCATCACATGGTGGCTCCTAACCATTTATACTGGGATTTGATGCCCTCCTCTGGCATCCATGTATACATCAGATGAAACACTTGGGCATGAATTAAAACAAAACAAAAAAAAGCAAAAAACTTTAAGTTGAACCAGAGAGTGGCCCAGTGAGTCAAGTTGCCTGCTCCCAACTTCATTCGTAGAAACTGACATAATGGAAGGAGAAACCAACCCTCCCAAGTTGTACTCTAACCTTCACAATGGACCTACGGTACATATAGGCACATATGTGCATGACTGTGAACACACATGCGTAGATCAATTTTAAAATGTAAAAAAATGGGCTACAGAGCTGACTCAGCAGTTGAGAGCTTTTGTCGCTATTGCAGAAGACCTGGCTCTTTTCCCAGCACCCACATGGTGGCTCACACCCATCCATAACTCCAGTTCTGGGGATCCAACACCCTGTCCTGACCTTCACAGGTACCAAATGTGCTTATAGTGCACAGGTATACAGAATATTCATGTCCATAAAACAAATCTGAAAAATCATTTTACAAACAAAAGATTGGCTAGACATGGTCGGTTTGCCTATAATTCCTATGCTTAGGAATCTGAAGCTGGGAATCTCAAGTTCAAGGCAGCCTTGGCTACATAGAGTGGTTAAGAGCACTGGCTGCTCTTCCAGAGGTCCTGAGTTCAGTTCCCAGCACCCACATTGTGGCTCACAACCATCTGTAATGGGATCTGATTTCCTCCTCTGGTATGTAGGTGTGCATGCAGATAGAGCACTCACATACATAAAGTAGATAGCTAGATAGCTAGCTAGCTAGATAGATAGATAGATAGATAGATAGATAGATAGATAGATAGATAGATAGTAGATAGATAGTAGATAGATAAAAGATTCCTACTAGAAGCTCTGGTGTTTTCCCTTTTCATGCTCTACCCTTCTGCTCTGGGCAAATGCTGGGGCCTTCTCTTCTCCCCGTGTAGCCAGTGCTCTTTGGGGAACTCAACTTCATGTGTGACTGTCAGTTCAAAGCTCCTCCCCAAGCCCCTCTGAACATGTCCCCTACTCTGTGGGTATGAGAACCTCCAGGTGTTTCTCCGGACCCTTTTTCTGCACCTCAGGTCCCCTCTAGGGAGGAGGTTCGGTGCAGTGCTAGACAGCTGGCCTGTGGGCCTGCAGACTTGGGCAGCTCACTTGTCTGCCTCCATGGGGCAGCTGCGTGTCTCACTCCTCCAGATTCAGCTATGCTCATCAAATACACTTGGCTTTTTTCCCTGTAGTTATTTTATTTCTTTTTGAGATTTAAAAAACAAAAACAAAACAAGCTTTTGTATCTTGTTCCTGAAAGTGCAACTTGTTATTCATTCTGTTTGTTTGTTTTTGTTTTATTTTTTGTTGTTTCTGTTTTTTTGTTTGTTTGTTTTGAAACAGTGTTTTTCTATGTAGCCTTGGTTGCCCTGGACTCACTCTGTAGACCAGGCTGGCCTTGAACCCACAGAGAGCCACTTGCGTCTGCCTCCCAAGTGCTGAGATCACAGGCGTGGGCCACCATGCCTGGCTACCTGGCTTATTCTTCTTATTTTATTTTAGGCTTCCATTTGTTTGTTTCCTTATTAATGCTCTTGCCTTTTTGTTCAAGACAGGGTCTCACTGTGGTCTTTGGCTCTCTGGACTAGAGCTCTTTATGTAAGCCAGGCCAGCTTCAAACTCACAGAGATCCGCCTGCATCTGCCTCCTGAGTACCGGGACCACACCTGGCCCTTCTATCTTTTTATTGGACTGTTTGAGCTTTCCCTTTTATTTTGTGGTTGCTGAGGATGAACCTAGAGCCTTACATGTCCTGGGCACGTGTGCTGGACACGTGTACAGAATGTCACCTCCAGCCTGCATCTTTTTTCTCCTTCTCTGCTTATGTCGTGGCGGCTATTTCTGTGGCTGATGCTCTGTTCTGTTCGCCGTAGCCTTGCCTGCTAAGCACGCTGCTCATTGCTCTTTCCTGTATCTTCCCTGCCTGCAGTTTGACACTCACAGTTCTCGTGGCCGTTAGGCAGACCAGCCTGGTCCCTGTCCACCATGGAATGTAAAGCCGTGCTGTATTCTGTGCTTTCCAGGCCTCGACAGAGACAGCGTGTGTATCCCAAGTGTGCATGGCTGACAACCCCTAAGAGCACTTGGCCCCGATACAGCAAACCAGGTGAGGCTGCTTGGTTGGGCTTGGCGTGGATTCACTATGATACTCTCAGTTCCCCGGGGAAGGCAGAGTTATTATATTTCATAGCAAACTACCAACTACATGTCATTTAAGAAAGAGGGCAGCAGTTGAGAGGCAACAGGGCATGAAGTAAATTCCTCTGTAGGTGTTGGCCTGGGTGGCATGGAAAGTGTCCAGAGACCCTTTTCCATTATCTTGATTGACAGGCATGAGAGCCCCTCAGAGGGCTAGGGCAGGGAAACCTGTGGTGGTGTGTGATTGTGCTGGCCAGAGTGGTGTAGCGGCCCTGCCCCTTCCCAACAGTCCTGCCTCTCCTGTGCCTGCAGAGGCCTGTGGAGGAACTCTGGGCCTGTACACTGCTGCCTGACTGTGGCTCGTTTCTGCCAACAAGAGCACCTGTGCACTGACCATGTGATCCTGCCAGAGTCTGGCCTTAGGGAAACTTAGGAGCCTGAAAACTACTGGCCTGCTTCAGAGGAATTTGTCAGGGAAAGGTTCCTGCACACCCAGCATTGTCTACCAGGAACAGAGACAGTGTCTAGTCGTGATCACCATCACCTGTAGGACCTGGTGTGGTGTTCCCTGCTGCCACTTTGGAAGTTCATCCCCAAATCTGGGCATAGTGTCTCCAGGCAGGTCACCTGTGCTATAGTCTCTAGCACTGCTCCTAGACAGCCATGAGGACCTGGCACATGGCCCTTTTGTGTACACTCTGGGTGGATCTGATGAGCCAAACACCCAAGGCTCTCAGTCCTAGTGAAGCTCGCACAGTTTGAGCAGGCCTCAGCACTCTGCCCCAAGCTCTTGGCAGATGTCAGCTTATAGCATGCCGGTAGCATAACTCAGAGCTGGTCAGCCAGTACCACATACTCAAGTTGAACTGTCCTGGAACAACAGGAGGGTTGTCACTGCATAGAGCTGTGGAGTCCTGCCAGGTGCCACAGCCTGTCCCCCCACCCCCTTCCTGAGCAATATTCCTTACAGGTCTGTCAATGCGGCTGCTGGAATCCAAGAAAGGCCTTTCTTTCTTTGCATTCGAGCATAGTGAGGAGTACCAACAGGCACAGCACAAGTTCCTGGTGGCCGTGGAGTCTATGGAGCCAAACAACATTGTGGTGCGTGAGGCTGCAGCTCCTGATGGATGGGGGTGGAGCAGTGTGCTGCCTGGGCTTAGACTGGGTCCTTCTGTGGTTTGGGGAGGCCTGTCTGAGGGCAACTGCTTCCCCAGCTATGGAAGATGCCTTTGCTCAGAGGAAGTGTGCTTGGGACTAACAGTGTAGCCTGTCCTCAAAGGAGAGCCACACTGTGCACTCAGGTCCCTTCTGGGAACTGTGTGTAGAGCATTGTGGGATCTTTCCCAGCTGCCTTTGCCTTTAGCTTAGCTACAGTACATGGAGTGCCAGTCCCTTCCATGACGCAGCAGCTGTGTTATATCTGCTCCAGGGTCCTGAGTCCATGCCAGCTCTGTGGGCCTCAGTTGAGTTTGCAATCACTGAGGACAGTGTACCTGACCCATGAATGCTGTCACATTCCTTTGGAGAGAAGAAAAGTGATGGTTTTCTTTGCTTTTGGTCGGGACATAGAGAACCAATTAGGCCAGTTTCTGAGTTCCTAGAACTAGAACCTTGAATCAGATCAGCGCTTCACCTGAGCCACAACACCACATAGCTTGAGTTAAAAGTAGAGAGATGGCTCTGTGATTAAAAGCACTGGATGCTCTTCCAGGGGACCAAGTTCAATTCCTAGCACTCACATGGCAGCTTACTACTGTCTGTAACTCCAGTCCCAGGGAATCTGACACCCTCGCGCAGACATAAATGCAGGCCAAAAAAACAGTGCACAGAAAATTACACACTTTTTTTTTTTTTTAAGTAAACTATGAACTGGGCATGGTGGTGCATACCCATAATTCCTGGCCCTTGGGAAGCAGAGTCAGGTGGATCTCTGAGTTAGAGGCCAGCCTGGTGTACATAGTGAATTCTAGGCCAGCCATGGCTATATAGTGAGACCCAAGTCTCAGAAAACCAAAAAGTAAAAACAACAATTAAAAAACAAATTAGCCAGGTGTAGTAGTATACACCTTTAATCTGAGTACTCAGGAAGGCAGAGGCAGGCGGATCTCTGTGAGTTCAAGGCCAGCCTGGTCTACAGAGTGCAGGATAGCCAAGGCTACACAGAGAAACCCTGTCTCGAAAAACAAAACAAAACAACAGCCAAAAAAATGAAAACCAACCTAACAAACTAGCTGTTTTACTGGTGACCATTACTCCCAGCATGGGGCCTGGCCTGGTGCCCTCGGGATGTTTCAGGAGAGTGCTGCCTACACCTTTCTCTCGGCCATCTTTCCAACAGGTTCTGCTGCAGACAAACCCCTACCATGTGGACTCACTGCTGCAGCTCAGTGATGCTTGCCGCTTTCAGGAGGATCAAGAAATGGCTCGAGATCTCATAGGTGAGCCAGCTCACCTGGACCTGCCACGCGAGCGAGTGACTCCAGCTCTCAGGCAAATGCTACTCCATGAGATGACAATAGAGTCTCATGGAAAGAAATAGAATTCATATGCCACAGGAGTCACTTGTGTAGAATATGTACAATTTGTTGTTTTTAGCGTATGCCAGTTGCACAGCCATCACTACAGCTGCTACTGTGCTTTGCTACTGTTCTTGAAGTGTGGCTCATGCAAGCATGCGTGCGGCCTTTGTGTGGCTTCCTTCACTCACATCTTTATTACTCCTGTTGGAGCATGTATCACGCTTGCTCCCTGTTCACTGCTATATAATACTCTGTGTGTGTGTCGACAGAATTTTTAGTGTCAGTTATCAGTTGATGGACATTTAGGTTTTCTGGCTTTTGGAAATGGCGCTGCTGCGAATATGCATGTGTGGGTTTTGTGAGGATCCGTGTTGATAAACATGTGTGGGTACTTGGCGTTAGCACATCACAGCATCAGTTGTATCTCCTTGCCTATGAGGTATTTCCCTCTGGAGCTTATGGATGCATGTTACAGTAAACTTAGAGCCACTAAGGAATGCCAGGGAAGTCCTGTATGTGCCCTCTCTCTTCCAGGGTCCTAGTTACATGCCCCCTCCTTCCTTGTTCTGAGTTGCCGGAGGAGTCACAGCCCCTGTGTGTGTGACGCCCTCCTCTGCTGTTTGTGGCCCACAGAGAGAGCGCTGTACAGCATGGAGTGTGCCTTCCATCCCCTGTTCAGCCTCACCAGTGGGACTTGCAGGCTGGATTACCGAAGACCTGAGAACAGGTGAGTCTGCTCCACTGGAGAGCAAGTAACGGGCTCCCCAAGGCACGGGAGTGCCTGCTGAGTTTAGCAGGAACAGGCAATGCAAGGCCACCCCGTCCCTGAGGATGAGTCAGGGCCTGAAGGTCCAGGGTGCCTTTTAGGCTTCAGTGTGTTCACAGCTGAACTGCAGAGGGCTGGTTCAAGGAATCAGGCATCTGACTGGTCCAAAATTAAACGTATTCAAATTATCAGTGAGCCTGATTAGCCACAGAACAGTGAGATCCGGAATCATGCTGCCCATGTGTTCGGAAGAAAAGGCCCGTTCCCCTGATGTTAAGCTGTGCACTTTGTAGTTGTGGCTCCTTCTCCTTAAATCTGAAATGAGTGCGGCTTTGGCTTGACTTCAGTGGTCATGCGCAGCATACTCTGCTTTCTGGGTTTCCTAAGTCCTGGGCACCCTCTGGTTTTAGCCCTGTGTGACTCCTTCTTCCTCCCTCACATCTGGTACTCTGCCTCTCTGTTGTCCCTGCTTTGCCGCAGCAGGCAGTGCCCCACCCTAACCACAGCCGTTGTCCACTCCCCTGCCCTGAGTGCTGGGTCTGGGTCTCCTTCTCTGGGTTCCTGTGTATTGCTTTTTTTTTTTTCTAGTTAAATTCATACTTCTTTGAAACAGGTTCTGAAATTAAGTCACCAGGATAACTAAGGCCACCCAGCTTTATGCATCCATGTGTTTGGGCATAAGTTAAGATTATAATTACATAGGTTTTAATTAACTTCCTTTAAATGGTAATCAGTAAACAACTAGCAAGAAGACAGGTTTTGCCAGGTCTGGTGGCACATGCCTGCAGTACTGAGAAGCAGGCATCTCTTGAGGTCATCCTTGATTACACAGTAAGTTTGAGGTCAGTCTGGGGTACATGAGGTCTCCACCTAGGAAACCAGAAGAGAAAAAAGAAGGAAAGATGGGGTTCACATACGCTTGACTGTAGCCTAGCATTGTGGCACCTGTGTAAAAACTTGGCATTCTGAAGCAGAAGATCTCTTGAGCCAAGGAGTTTAAGGTCAGACTTGGCCACATAGTCAGACCTTGTCTAAGCCAGAAAAGCTTGCTTTTCATGTGCAAGTACTTTTTAACTGAATAACGAGGAGCACGAACCTCCTGCAGACACACATAATGCTCACAAGCTCTGTATATGGCCACTGAGGAAATGGCATCTCAACCCAGAAGGTGGATACGGGGCTGGGCCTCTCAGTTGTCCTGCTCTGTTACTTTTCTAACTCATGGGGAACTGTTTTTGATGTAGGAGCTTCTACTTGGCCCTCTACAAGCAGATGAGTTTCTTGGAGAAACGAGGGTGCCCACGCACTGCGCTGGAGTACTGCAAGCTCATCCTGAGGTGAGTATGTGCTGTGGCTGCAGGGCCACCTGCCATCAGCGCCGAGGCCCCCGGTCTGTGGGGTTCAGCCATGACAACGCTTCCTCTGTCTCCTTTGTTCTCCACTCCCTGCGCTGCTTCTGGAAGCCTGGAGCCTGACGAGGACCCCCTGTGCATGCTGCTGCTTATTGACCACCTGGCCTTGCGGGCCCGGAACTATGAGTACCTGATCCGCCTCTTCCAGGAATGGGAGGTATGTGGAAGCCAGGGACTTGAAGGTGCAGCTTTTTCCCTTACCTTTCTGATTCACGCCAGATGTGCACGTTTGGGGGACCATCTTGTGATAAGATGGGAGAGCAAGAGTTGGAGGTCGGGTAGATCCCCAAGGGCTTCCTGTTTTTGGCCTTGTTGTTACATCTGCTGAGCAGCTGTGTGGGAGCCACTGCTCACAGGCCTACCCGGAGCATGTGTGCACAAACATGGGTGCCAGTGATGGCGAGTTGGGAAGAGCAAGACTCGCTGTGGTGCACACAGGAATTGCAAAGCAGAGTGCCATATGGGATTGACACGGGAGCCACAGCACACAGACCCACATCTGCAGAAGTCCTGGACAGACACACATATACTCATTACCACTTGTGCCTTGCCAGACGTGCATATCAGTAAAAATCGAGGCTGGCCGGGCACCACACTGCTGCCATCTGGCCAGCTGCTGTGAATGCTAAGCATACCTCGGGTGCTGGACAGAAAACAGACTGTCCAGGAGAGAAAACAGACTGTCTTCCTGTGGTTGTGCACCTGTGTGGGAGTGACAATTTCAGGGTATTGGGTTAGCGACTGAGCCTTCAGACCAGCTCTGCTGTTCTCCGTAATGCAGCTGCTGGACAATTTAAAGGCACACGGGACTCCCATCCAGCCCGTGGCTGGTTCTTGAGAAGGGGGGTGCTGGGCTTAGTTGCTTCCAGCAGGGCCTAGAAAAGAAAAAAGGGGACAAGCCTTTGTTTTCTGTTTCTGTTCTTAAGTTTCTTTCACATACATATTTTTACATTAACAACAGCAACAAAAAAGATAAATCTTTTTGAGTTACATAGTGCTTAGTATAGTTGGCCAGGATATTTTGCTTCATGGGGTCTGGCTTTCAGAATCCTGGAGCTCATGAAAGCTTGGCTGCAGGAAATGCAAGTAGGGCTGCAGGGGAGCAGTCATTATGGCTTATGTGGTTGTGGAGTTCTGTGACGATGAAAACGGCTGTCAGGAAGGTGCCCACTGTGCAAGAATGAGGACATGAGTTTGGACCTCCAGAACCCACTTAAAAAGCAGGGCATAGGGATGCGTGATGTAACCCGTTACTGTAGGGCAGGTGCGCTGCTGGCTGCTGGCAGACGAATGATAAGCTCTGGGCAGGCGAGAGGCTGTGTCTGAGAACCAGAGATGGCTTAACAGGCACAGCGCTTGGCAGCATGCCTAATGACCTGAGTTTGATTCTTGGAAGGAAAGAGCTGATTTCTACAAGTTGTTCTTCACATGTGCTGTGTGGTATGCACGTGTACATACACACACACAAATAAATAAATAACTTTTAAAAAATCTAAATACTGAAAGAATTTAGAGAACAGTTGTGGAAAGACACCAATATCAACCTTCAGCCCCTGCACTCGTGTACAGGGTTTGTGCTCCATACATGCATAATAAAGAGACACAACAAATCATTTGTCTTCTCACAAACACAGAGAAGGAAAGGGAGGCCCTGGGAAAGCCTTGGAGGGTTGGTGCAATCAGATCCAGCTTTTGCTAGATTGACTTTGTGAGCCTTCTTCATTTACCAGAAGCAGGCTTCCCTGCTTCCAAAGCCAAGAGCCTGCCAGAGTGGCAGCACCAGTCACCTGAGTGGCTGGTTCCTGCCTCTCTGTGTCCTTTTGTCTATTTTGCATGTGGAAAATGGGTTTTCTTGTCGATTAAAGTGAGAGGCCCAGGAGGAAGCAGCTGTGGGGCCGGCCTGGTGTCCGCTGCACATCTGTAAACCACGTTTTGTCTTCAGGAGCTCAAGGCCCCAGACTTTGTTTCTCCATCCCTTCTAGGCTCATCGGAACCTGTCCCAGCTACCAAATTTTGCCTTCTCAGTTCCATTGGCATATTTCCTTCTGAGTCAGCAAACAGACCTACCTGAGCACGAGCTCACCTCTGCCAGGCAGCAGGCTTCCCTTCTGATACAGCAGGCGCTCACTATGTTCCCTGGAGGTGAGTGCCACCTCTTGTCATCTTCCTGGGGAATGACTGCAGATCAGCCCTCCACTGAGGACTGCATTCCCTCAGTGACTAAAGACCTGCTGTGGTTCTAGTTAGACAGCTAGTCCACCTAGCTCAGTTCTAGTTAGACAGTTAGTCCACCCACTCTAGTTCCTAGTTAGACAGTTAGTCCACCCACCTCAGTTCCTAGTTAGACAGCTAGTCTACCCATTCCAGGGAACCTGCTACAAGCTTGTTGAAGGGTGAATGGTAAGAGAGACAGCTGTCTTGGCTAGGATTCAGTTTCAGGGTGGGAAAGCAGGGCATTTTCCTGAACACACGGTGTGTTAGATGGCCTTCGGTACCAGAGGAAGAAATAAGTAACATTTAGAAAGGCCTTTGGCTAGCCCAAAGGCAGTTCGGAGGGCGTTGGTTATGAGTAGCTAAGAGGAGGCCTCTTGTGCAGGCGTTCTCTCAGGCGTGTGGCCAGGAGAGGGAGGAGATCCGTTACTTGTTCAGACATTTCCCAAGAGTTTACACAGAGCGACACCAGCAACAGAGTGTGGGGCCAGCTGCTCTTCTGTTACAAAGTCCCAGAACTGGTACCACATTGTACATTCTGACTTCCTTGAGCCTTAGCCAGAACTCTGCCTACCAGCCAGACCTGGCAGCCTCGGGCAGAAAGAGTGCGTATTTGCTGAGCCAGTTACAGTCAGTTCCATCCCTTAGAAGCTGCCTCTGATGTAGCTAGCAGTGCCTTTTCTGTTGCGGACCAGCTGGAGAGGCATGGACTGGGAGCAGGCACCACCTCCTCGCAGGCTGCTGCGCATGCCCCAACATCCCAGAAAGAACTGTGTTGTGGTAGATTACCAGCGTGCAAGCTACTTAGAGAAGCTGGCACTTAGGTGAGCAGCGCTGCACGCAGGGTAGGTCCAGGTAGGCTCTTTTTTAACAGGCCACTGATCTGAGCCTGGTCCCTACAGAGTTATTAGCTCTTGCAGGACAGCCAGCCCCACTCTCTCTAGTCTACCTTCAACTCTGACCTCCATGTGATTGAGAGGTGACAGGCAACTCTTCCTGGATACTGGTGGGACAAGAGTCAGCTGGACATGCGTCCCGTCCCCAGAGTTCAGAGGTGCCGTGGAGCCTAGCGTGAGAGACTCAGCCTAGGAAGATTTGTAAGTGGTAGTTACAGTGACCCCTGGCTCCCCAGCCCTTTACCTCAGGAGCACTTAAGTGGTGTATATGACAGGGATGCATAGACCACTTCCAGTGTCTCTTCTGCCATGGCACTGGGAGCCAGCACAAGGGCTGCACAATACATGGAGCCTTTACCTTTTTTGCAGTTCTTATGCCATTGCTGGAGTGTTGCAGTGTGCGGCCTGATGCAACAGTCTCAAACCACCGCTTCTTTGGGCCAGATGCTGAGATAAGGTAAAGATTGCTGCAGATGTGAGACTTTAGGCACGGTTCCCCTCACCTTTAAGGAACAAGAGGAGTCTGTCCTAGGGGACTAATACCCACCCAGAGTAGTGAAGGAAGGCACTGGAGCCCACTTCCATATGCAACACAGCTCCCCTCTGTGTGGCTGTGAGGAGCCTCTAGTCTGAAACATGAGATTCACAAGATTCTTCCTTACAATAGTTGGGGGCAGGGCATGAAGCCAGGAGACAGCCCATGTGAGGAAGGTGGAGGTTCATGACCTTTACTATCATTTACTTTTCCCAGAGTTCTGTATTGTCATATTTCTTATGAACAAGAAAAAAACACAGAAGGAAAGAATATATCATGGCTCCCCAGCCTTCTGCATGCCCTCAACGGCAGCTGGAGGTCATCCTTGGGTTCTGTTCCACACAGAAAAACATACTCATTCATATGGTTGTTTTGTTTTTTCGTTTTTTTCACATTTCTGACAAGTGATTTGTGCTACTAAACTCAAGCCATAAGAAGTGTGCCAAGCCAGGCAGTGGTAGCACACACCTTTAATCCCGGCACTCAGAAGGCAGAGGCAGGTGGATCTTTGTGTTTGAGGCCAGCCTGGTCTACAGAGTGAGTTTTAGGTCAGCCAAGGCTACACAAAGAAACCCTGTCTCTAAAAAAAAAAAAAAAAAAGAAGAAGAAGAAGAAGAAAAGTGTGCCCAACTACTCAGAAGGTGGAATGTCCCTGGTCAGCAGCTAAGGGATAGATAGCCTCCTTTGCTCCAGGGCTTTAGGCTTTTCCTGGAAGCCCTTTGCCCACCATGGTACTGACAAAGGCCCACTGGAATCCTCGCTCTTCCACAGCCAGCCCCCTGCCCTGAGCCAGCTGGTGAGTCTGTACCTTGGGAGGTCGCACTTTCTTTGGAAAGAACCTGCTACCATGAGCTGGCTGGAGGAAAACGTCCGTGGGGTTCTGCAAGCAGTGGATGCTGGGGACCCTGCCGTGGAGGCCTGCGAGAACAGGTGAGCTGAGTCTGACAGACACATTAGCACCTAGCTCCGAGAGGGCACCCTGCTGGCAGGAGGTCCTGAGCAGGGCTGCTGCTGTCCACACAGGGCTGTGGAGGGTTGTGTGGCTGTTATATACCCTTGAAGTTTTGTTCAGTTTGTTTCTGCTTTTGTGCTCTGTTTCCATATTTTCATGGTGATAGCTCTTTTTACCCTTCTTGACAAAAAAATGGAGCCAAAAGGAACCAGAGCAAGCTGCTGGCCCCTTTCCTGCATGTGGGGTCTTTTGTTGCTGGGGCTGCATTTGAGAAACGGCCGCTTTGCCCATTTGTGCAGTTTTGTTCGTGGTCCTCATCAGCCTCCTGCTCTGGGGCCAGCGACAGCCGGGCTGGCTGGTTCTGAGGGTTCTGCTCTGTCTTGGCTATGTCATCTCCCCGAACCATGGAAAGGAGGTCCATGAGGCCAAATTCTAGACTATCTGGGGAGGTGAGAAGAGAAAGTACTATTGCTTCCAGCCCTCTCAGTCTTATGAGTACTGTGTGGGCTGGATACTTCTCCCTGCACTGTTTCTCAGCCCCATGACCATCAGGAGGCAAGCCCCATTCAACAGCAGTGAGGAGTAACACACCCAGGGATTCCATTGTGGACACACACTCAGTGTCACCAGCCTACCACAGCTCTCCCCACTTTCATTTCATGGATGAAGGGACAGATATCAGGCCGAGCTAGAGTTTCCTTATCAGAGTCTACTTTTGCCACAGGGCTATGGGCTGGTGGCACAGCTTCCACCCAGGAGTGACAAGAGAGGCCTTACCAGAAGCCAGTCCCTTCTGGGTATTCCCCAGGGTGGATGTGGGTGACATGCATTGTGGGTTCAATGGATCAGTTTCTCCGCTGTTGCCTCCTCTGACCACAGGCGGAAAGTGTTGTACCAGCGTGCACCCAGAAACATCCACCGTCATGTGATTCTCTCTGAGATCAAGGAGGCTGTTGCTGCTCTTCCCTCGGTAAGAGAGGGGTGCTGAAAATGGGGGCTTTGTGGTGTACCAGGGACAGAATCGCCACCCACAAATTGGTCTGCATGCCAGGTGGAGCTGGAATGGGTCCAAGAGGACTCTTCTCCTCGGCCAGTTTCTCTGGGTCTTCCTCACTGTGTTATTGCCTCAGTGAGCTATTCCAGCATGGTGTCACACCCTCTGAGGGAGACCTGGCCCTTCCTCACAGACCTTGCAGCAATAGTTACATAGCTGAAGAGCCCTGGCTCTACTTTCACATATCTCTGTGTTTTCTGTTGGCAATCTGGGTGTGAGCCAAGGCTGGACCAGTTGGAAAACCAGCACCTCAGCAGGACCCAGTCCATGGTCTGCAGTCAGGAGAGTCATTTGTGACATGAATATAGACAGTGGCACCTGTGTAAAATGCCCTTTGCCCTGCATCCCACTGACAGGGGCAAAATGTCATACACATTCCCCTGACTGTTCTCTGGGAGAGCCTGTTCCTAGTTCAGCTGGAACAGAAATAGCCACTTCAGCCAGGTGTTGTGGCTGCCTCCTGGCAGATGGGTCAAGTCTGGTCTGAGACCAGCTGAAGCTTGGGAAGGCAGAGGCTGCCCGCTGTGCTCCATAATCTCTGTTTTGTGTCCCCTCCTAAAGGACGTGACCACACAGTCTGTGATGGGGTTTGACCCTCTGCCTCCCCTGGACACCATCTACTCGTACGTCAGACCAGAAAGGTACCTTTCTTGCTTTGTCCTCGCACCCACACAAACCCACTTTGGTACTCTTTGGGCTCACGGGGGTTGCCCTTATAGACTAGAAGGAAAAAGGAAAACAGGCTAAAAGGTCCAGTCTGCACAGGCGTAGGGAGACCCATTGGAACATGGAGCTGCCTCTGAGTCCAGCAGAGGTCTGCACACATCCCTGTAGGTTTGGTGGCAGGTTGAGAAGTGCAGTGGGAGCGAGAGAAGGAGCCGCCTGTAACCTGGTGAACACAGATAGCAACCTAGGACCCAGAGATAAGCATTGGGTCAAATCTACCTAGGAACCCATGGGAGAGAGCGACCAAGAAGGACATGCCACAGCTGCTTTGTAGAGAGATGTGCTCATCCAGACAGAGGGTGGCAGCTAGGCCTCTTCCTCTCGAGTAGAGTGTCAGGTCCAGTGAGTGCCGAAGGAAGGCTCGTGTGGCTGAGCCAGAATGGGGTAAGAGGTCATGCATTAATAGGAAGCCTGCTTCCCAGGCCACCATGGGCATGGGGGCAGGGTTTACAGTCATGAAGAACTCATTTCCCGTGCCTCCTGCCCTCACAGTTGCCTCCATGGTCCATCTCAAGCCAGGAGCACAGGCCTTGAGAGCATGAGTAGAATGACTCCCTTAAAGGGTTAGATGTCGACCCAGAACCATCCTGACATCTGTCACAACTGGCCGCCTTGGCCTTTGCTCTGCCCGTGCAGTCCCCAAATGCAAGTGTGGTGACGGCTGAGCAGCGCCCCTGCAGAGACCTCCCTGGAGTGCCCTGACCTTTCCTGCCTGCCCAGCCTTCGGGCGCTCTAGTCACCGTGTCTTCTTTCCATGCGACCTAGCCGGCGAGGTCCCTAAAGAGCCAGCACTCTGGGACACTTTTCCCTCCTTTCCTCATGGCCCTCGGTGGCCACAGCTCCACCCTAGGCTGGTTAGTAGTCATCACTGCATACCCGGATCCTGATCTGCACTTCAGGGCTTGGAGCTGTAGCTCCACTCAGAGGCTGCCTGTCCCCAGCAGTCGGAAGCTTGGGTAGAGACAGCTGACAGTGTCTGCTGACCTTCTTTTCAGGTTGAGTCCAGTCAGCCACGGAAACACAATCGCTCTCTTCTTCCGGTCGTTATTGCCAAACTACACCACAGAGGTATGTTGATTGAACACATTGGTCTTTCCCTCCCAAGTTGATGTGGGCAAGTCCTGCTCAGGGTGGATGCAGGAACGGCTGAGTCTGAGCCTGCCAGTGGTGCCATGCGTAGGAAGTGGGGATGTGGCCTGCTGGAACTGCAGTAGCCATTCCAAGGTGAGTGGTGTGAGGCTCACGGTAGGTTGGCTCTGGTTAACCGTGTGCGTCTGGCCTTCTAGAGCTTCATCTTCTGGGCAGGGGCCTTGGGAGGGGATAGGACCATTCCTGGGTCTTGAGCTGCTTCAGACTTCGGAACCCCGGATCTCAAGTCTGTAGACAGCCTCCACTTAGATATGTCTCATTGTTCAGGGGGAGAGGCTGGAGGAAGGAGTGGCCAGGGGTCCGAACCGCAATCAAGGCTTGAACAGGCTGATGTTGGCCGTACGTGACATGATGGCCAACTTCCACTTCAACGACCTGGAGGTGCCTCGGGAGGACAATCCTGAGGGCGAGGGGGACTGGGACTGACCTGTCCAGATGCTGTGCCCGAGCTGTGCAATTATGTTCCTGATTTCTTTTCTGGTTGGAATTGACCAGTTCCCTGAGTAGAAATGCTGACCATGTCATTTCCCTGTGTCTTTTGTTTTCCCTTGAATGGGATATGCTCTGCTGTGAGTGCTCTCAAAAATAGTTCCAGGAGCAGTGAGCCCCACACTATGTGCACCCTGTTGTGTAGAATTTGTAACATAGTGCAGAGAAAGGGCTTGTTCCAGAGTCCCCAGTGTGAGGACCCTTTGCGCTCCTTCCTAGAGGGCACTGAGCCACCCCGCATGTTTGCATGGTGGGGATTAAACCCGGGCCTGGCACATCATCTACCACTGCCTGACAGTCCCAGCCTAGGAATTTTATCAGAAAACTTGGAGGGCTGGAAATGTGTCTCAGTTGGTAGACAGCTTGCTTAGCATGCACAAAGCTCAGGATTCGATCCCAGCACAACACAAACCAGGGTGGTACTGGCCACCTGTAATCTCAGTACTCATGAGGCAGAGAGAGCAGCAAGAGGATTATGTCATCCCTCTGTAGTGAGTTCAAACAGCCTTACCTACAGGAGACCCCATCTCAGAGGGGGTAGGGCCACGAGGGACCTAGAATTAGAAGAGAAGCCAAAGAAGCAAGTTTGAGGCGGAAAATTGTCCTAGGCAGATCAGGGATACTTTATAGAGATTAAAGGGTGTTTGATCTAGGGAGGAGTGGGGAGGCCTGACCAAGAGCCCCAGTCCAGTGCAGGGACAGAGGCCCATGTTTCATAAGCTGTGTGAGTGTGGGAAGGTCCAGGCTACTGAGATGTTATAGGCTGTGTCAGGTGTCTCCTATCTTGGCTGAAAGACTGCCAGTCTTGGTCCATTGATTGCTTCCTGAGGGTTCAGATATTGTTTCAAACATCACTGGATGCATCTGGTGTGGACTAGGTACAAATAAAGCATGCTTCAGGAATGTCCTGAGGGCCATCAAAATGGCCCAGTGAGTAAAGGGACTCGCTGCCAACCCTGATGACCTGAATTCAATGCCCAGGGACCATATGGTGGATGGAGAAAGCTAACACCTATAGGTTGACCTCTGACCTCCACACACAAATTGTGGCATGTACACACCAAATAAATGGAAAAGGGGCAGCTTGGGGTTAAAAGCCCTTGCTGTGTTGGCTGCTCCTGCAGAGGACCAGGGTTTGATTTTAAGCCACCATGGTGGGTGGCTCACAACCATCCATAATTCCATCTCCAGCCTACAGACATATACAGAAATAAAAAATATCTTTAAAAAGCAGGTTTCCATAAGGGCCCTCGGGCAAGGGGCCCAGGCCACTGCCCCCTGCACAGAACATCGAGGGCTGAGTTGTACCCACCCAGAGTCGGCCTAAATGTCACAGCCCATTTCTAAGCTGGCCATTTGCAGGGGGAACTCTGTTCAACATAACTGCCTGGTGAGAGTCACATGTCGCATGAATTGGTGCTGCGTCTCTGTTTTTTCTCCAGCATGAATTGGCAAGGCCATGGAGTCTGGATACAGGTTCTACTACTTGTGCTTGTGGGTCAGCAGGGGCCTGGGGAGGGCAGGCCTGAGGGCACAGCCCCTACCAGTTGCCTCACCTACTCCTGGGTTTGTTGGGAGAACAGTCCTGGGAGCGGGTACTGTTGAGATGGTTCTAATTCAGTGTCTGAATTCCAGTTTCCAAGTTGGAATGCCTGTGGTGAGTTTCTGCTAAGGGGAGGAGGGATTGGCTAGGAATGGGTTTGTGTTCTGGAAATGACAAGCAAGCACAGAAAACCTGGCATCCTGCCTCTTCCTTTCAGCAGCTGTAAGTTCATCCAGATGAGGATGTGATATCTGGAGCTGCCGCAGCTATTCTACGACCACGAGGCAATGAACTCCAAAGTGAAGAGCCAGTGTACTAGGAACAGTGAAGCAGACGATGCCCCAGGCCTCCGGGAGACTTCCTGCCCCCGGGCCTGTTCCCGAGAGGCCAGGATGATCGGCTTCACAGGTGTTCAGACTCGAGTAATTGTCAACTGAATCCATTTCTAATGGTGAAAAATAAAAACCAGTCACTCACATCATCTGTGGATCATCGGGAAAAGTAACTTTTTGAGACAAAGTCTCAACGTGTAGCCCTCAATGGCCTGGAGCTTGCTATGTAGACCAGGCTGGCCACAGAGACCCACCTGCCTCTGCCTCCCAAATGTTAGGGTTAAAATCGTGTACCACCACACCTAATCTGCATGTCATCTAAGAGCTTTAAAGTCCGGCCTGCCGCCCAGGGCGGTGATAGTGTACCCCGCTCCTCCCTGGGCCCTCCTCAGTCCCAGCAGGAGGTGCCTGCCTATGTACCCCTGTGCAGAATTGTTGGTTATTGTGCATTTTTGTGTAGTCAGGGAGAAAGCCTGTTTGCTGTCTCCCGGAGAAAGTTCAGAGGAAATGAATGACTTTCAAACAAAGACATGGTGACTGGCCTTTTGGACTTTTATTTTCTCGCGTGTACAGGCGTTTGCCTGAGTGTGCGTCTGCACCATGCCCACACAGTGCCCATAGAAGCCAGAACAGGGCGGATAAAAAAGGACGTTGGATCCCTTGGGACTGGAATCAAAAAACAATCTTAATTTTTTGTTTGTCTATTTGATTTTCAAGACAGTGTTTCTCTGTGTAGCCCTATCTCTGTAGACCAGGCTGGCCTCAAACTCACAGAAGATCTGCCTGCCTCTGCTTTTGGGATTAAAGGTGTATGCCCCTTCCACCCAGCTATCACAAACATTTCTTAGTCACCATGTGGTTGCTGGAAATCAGACATGGGCCCTCTGTGCTCTTCACCACCGAGCCATCTCTTCAGCCCCAGGCATGAGCTCCTTGAGAAGCTGTCTGTCCTGTGTGACCAGAGCCAGAAGGGACAGTTCACACCACCCAGGGCTTTGCAGATCTGAGGGACGCACTGAGCCTCTCTCCAGTGGGTCTGCATGTTGGCGTGGGCCTGCATGTTGGAATGCAGGCTGCTTTTTGCTTCATGAAGACAACCCCTCAGGTAATGCCCACTGCTAAGTAGGTACTTAGTAGTAGAACTAATGACACTCCTATGTGTCATTTGTCTTGTATGTTTCCCAGGGCCACTGAGAAATCAAACTTGAAGTATAATTAGGCTTAGAGTACTCAGCCCCACCACAGAATAGCACAAGCTGCCTTTCTAGCTCTGCCCTACTGTTCCCTTCTCTGAAGGTTCTAGCACTTGTGAGTTTGCAATCCAAATGAGTCCCATGGCATGGTCACCCTACTCTCCACCCATCAGCAGGGTCTCGCCAGGGAGGATGTGGCTGCCTCTGGCAGAGACTGTTTGGTTGTCCTGCCCTTTGAAGTCAGATTGTCTGGAGGGCGCGCTGCGGCTACCTCAAAGAGTTCATTCTGGAGCCAGAAAAATGAGCATCTCTGAAATGTGACAGCACAGGAAGTCAGGACAAGGAGTTCTTGCTCTTTCATGTCCCAGAAGTGAGAAGTGGCCTGCAGTTACAGGGTGCATGGGCATCATGTGGCCAGCTGTGGCATAGACCCTCCTGCCTCCACAGCCATGGCTCTATGCATCCCGCCGACCTGGGGCCCTTGTCTAGAAGCAGAAGAAGGCCCAAGTTGTGGGCAGCAGACAGCGGGGATGAGTGTGGCAGTGCGAGCTCCCGCCTCTGTAAAGGCTTCTGAGCAGACGTAGGACGTGCAGGGCCGCTCTCTCGTCCTCCACCTGAGGTGTGAACGCAGTTGGTAAAACATGTCCACCAATCAGGGAAATGGTTTGGCTGGATCTGCTAAGGCTGAAGATTGACCCTACGCCTGCAGTGTTCTGGCGGTAGGTATTGCTCAGCATGAGCACACACCCGAGTCTGCTTGGGGGTGCGCCCAAGACCCACCTGCAGCACTGATCATGGTAAGGTCGGCCACAATCTGCAGATGTCCAGCCTGACTCATCCACATGGTGCACACACATAGCCTGAGTGCTGTAATTACCCAAGTAACAGGGTGACTCCTAGTATGAACAAAGTATAAACTGGAAGATTCTGTGTTACACTGTGCTATGACAGACAAAACTAGTGCATAGTGCTGAGGCCCAGGAAGGGCCCGACATAACGCTGCTGTAAGTTGTTGTATTTTGTTTATCCACCTGGGAAGATGGTCCTGACCATACTCAGCTTGGATCACGTCCCTTTTTATAGTTTTCATCTACTGCGGGGTTGCTAAGTGAAAACAGTAAGTGCAAAATGCAGATGTAAGAAACTAACAAGCTGGGCGTGGCGGTGCACGCGTTTAATGCCAGCACTCAGGAGGCAGAGGCAGGTGGATCCCTGGTCCACAAAACAAGTCCAGAACAGCCAGGGCTACACAAAGAAACCCTGTCGTGAAAAACCAAAAATAAGACTAGCATTCGTCAGTGGATGCTCACATAGTTCATGTGTGTTTTCACAGTCGCTGTGCTGTGTGGGTACCTGTGGCCAGAGGATGCCACGAGTTGACAAGAGAACGAATGGGCGGTTAGCTGGGCATGATGGTGTGCACACCTTTAATCTCAGCACTCTGGCAGCAGAGGTAGGCAGATGTATGTTTCAGGCTAGCCTGCACTACCAAGTGAGTTCCAGTTCAGGCAAAGTAAGACCCTATCTCAAAACAAAATAACAAGAATGAACTTTTAACACGAGTATTAACATGCACTGAAAGTGCACTCCAGCCAACTCCTGCCTCTAACTCCCCTGCTGCCTTTCTTGCTGTATTTTCTTCACCCACGTATGGAAGGGGACACCCTGTGCTAATGAGAAGGCACTGGGTCCCATGGAGCCAGCCCAGCAGCGGCTTGATACCACCCCTGTGTGCTGCCCTGACCACCATGAACAGTCACATGCCCAGCTGCTGGCCTAAGAGGCCGGAGACAGAGATCTGCCCTGCTGTGGTTCCTGGCTCCAGGGCTAGCATGTGCTCCTCAGCAGAAATCAGAGTCCTCAAGGGAAGGACTTTGCCCTGGGGAGTTGGGGGGGGGGGGTCCATGAGAGAAAAGAGAACTAAAGAATGCTGCTAGATAGCCTTAGGGTCCCCTCTAGTCAGTCAGCTCCCAGGAAATGACAAGCTTCCTGCCACACCCAGAACTGTCTCTAAAGGAGGCTTCGGCAAACCTGGGGCCTTGAGGGCCATGGCGTGGCCTTAGTCCTGGCAGAGCTCGCCTGAGCCCATTGGTATAGGGCTCTTGTCTATGTCAGCCCTGTCTATAGTGCCTGTAGTTGCTGCCGGTTGTGGAAGTTTTCCTTGGTCGAGCCCCTAAAGCTACCTTGACATCAGTAGCTGAGTTGGTGCTGTTCGTTCACATCCTCTGCTTCAGGTACAAATGCCACTGCCCTTGGCATGCTTGTAATGGAGAGTTGTAGTGAGGGTGAAAGGTGGGGGTGCCTAGTCCACAGCCTGTGACTGCTAGAGGCAGAGCATCATGGGAGAGGGAGTAGGTAGTGGACATCACAGGAAAGTGACTTTGAGAAGGGCTTGGCAGTTTAGGTAGGGCTACACAGGCAGGTCCTGGTAAGGGTGGATGCCTGAAAGGGACGTGACAAGTCTACAGGGCCCTGAGCACAAAGGGAGATGCCGTGTCCTGTGTGCGACTGCAGCTGGGTTTCCCAGCGTCTCCACACAGCTTATGCCCTCTAGAGGCAGTCCGAGGGGCTGGGCACTTAGGCACATGCCCATCATGTGGCCACCCTCAGGGGAAGGGCCTCCGAGGACAAGTTAAAAGATTCCGAGAAACGCTCCATTCTTCCCCAGACCTCAGCCCAGCCTGGCTTGGGGAGGCAGGGGACCAGATAGCAGAGGCAAGTGACCAAGAAGTTGGGAGGCCTCGGCTTTAAAAATGTCAGTACCTCGGGAAGAGGCAGGGAGAGCAGCAGCAGGCTGGGCTCAGGGTACTAGCCAGGCAGTGTCTAGACTGCCTATGCCATGACTAGGCTGCCTTGTCCAGCTGGAAAGAGTGCCTAGATGGAAAGAGGCAGGTGTGAGGGGTGTCAGAGCCTCTCCGACGACACCATGGGCTGAGGAGGATGCTGGGAAGCTGATACCCTTCAGAGCCGGAGCCTCCACTAGCTGCCTCCTACTTCCCAGACAAGACTATGCCCACTCTGGGGCCCCAGAAGAGGCTTCTGGGTTCACTCAACACCACCTCCATGGCCACCCCGCACCTTGGACTGGCAACCAACCAGACAGGGCCTTGGTGCCTGCAGGTGTCTATCCCAGATGGCCTGTTCCTCAGCCTGGGGCTGGTGAGTCTCGTAGAGAATGTGTTGGTCGTGATAGCCGTCACCAAGAACCGCAACCTGCACTCGCCCATGTATTGCTTCATCTGCTGTCTGGCCCTGTCTGACCTCATGGTGAGTATAAACATCATGCTGGAGACCACCATCATCTTGCTGCTGGAGGCAGGTGCCCTAGTGACCCAGGCTGCCCTGGTGCAGCAGCTGGACAATGTCATTGACATGCTCATCTGTGGCTCCATGGTGTCCAGCCTTTGCTTCCTTGGTGTCATTGCCATAGACCGCTACATCTCCATCTTCTACGCACTGCGTTATCACAGCATTGTGACCCTGCCCCGGGCACGACGGGCCATCGTGGGCATCTGGGTGGCCAGCATATTCTCCAGCAGCCTCTTTATCACCTACTACAAACACACGGCCGTGCTCCTCTGCCTTGTCACCTTCTTCCTAGCCATGCTGGCTCTCATGGCAATCCTGTATGTCCACATGCTCACTCGAGCGTGCCAGCATGCTCAGGGCATCGCCCAGCTCCAGAAGAGGCAGCACTCCATCTACCAAGGCTTCTGCCTTAAGGGTGCCGTCACCCTCACCATCCTTCTGGGCATTTTCTTCCTGTGCTGGGGCCCTTTCTTCCTGCACCTCTCACTCATCATCCTCTGCCCTCAGCACCCCACCTGCGGCTGCATCTTCAAGAACTTCAACCTCTTCCTCATTCTCATCATCTTCAACTCCATCGTTGACCCCCTCATCTACGCTTTCCGCAGCCAGGAGCTCCGTGTGACAATCAAGGAAGTGTTGCTGTGCTCGTGGTGAGCAGGGAGGTGGCCTTTGGTCTCACGGCCAGGGCACTGGGGAGAGGGTGACAGTGGCCTGCATCCTGTGAGACCAGATACTTGTCTCTCCTCCCCGATCTCCATGTGTCCAGGTGTGGACTAGGTGAACTTTAAAATAGAAACACAGACTGCCAGAGACCAGAACAAAGGGTCAGTATGACCGCAGGGGTCACCCACCCCACAGCAGCTGTGGGAAATGGAGGAAGCAGCGGGTGGGGACTGTGGCCCTGAGTGAGCTTCACCTCTACACACTGACAAGGCAACTACCACCCGGCCCTTCAGGTCACTCAGGCTGGACTCTCTACTGTTGCTGGGATGGCTAGGAAGTCCCTGAATTAAAAGAATGACAAGAGCCATGGAGGAGCACTGGTCCTGGTGAGGGCTTCTGGAAGGGAGATTTGTGGCTAGGAAAATCCAGCCTTTAGCCATGCAGTAGGCTCCGTAAGGAAGTGAGGCCCTTCCTCAACTAAGGGACCAGAATTGCAGAATGTACGTCTCGCATGGGGGTCTGCACATCTGCACAGGAGGTGTGGCTCATGGGAATCCCAAGAGGTGGGGACCCAGCTGCTCACACCCAAAAGGCTCCCCCAGCCAGTGCCTTCTCTGTTGGCCTATCATCGTCCACAGCCTGTGGCTCTGGGCCAGGAAGCAGTCGAAATGCTAAATTCAGATGGCTCCTCTGCACCACCTGCCCTAGCTCTGTCCAGAAGTTGCTAGAAGTGTGGGTGGGAGAAGGGCAGTGGCAGCAGCCATGTTCGGGAGTCTCAGAAGTGGTGGCTGCCTGCCTGAGTTAGGAACCATGGTCCCAAAGGGCACCAAGGACCCCCACCAGACCCCCTTGGCTGCCTCTATATGACTATAAACCCCAGAACAGAGCAAGGGGCTGCAGGGTCAAAAGCCCCCCCGCTTGCCTCGGTGGTAACAAGCCTCAGTTCAGGCTCCTTCCAGCTCAACCACACACAGCAGCAGGACCACAGTCTGAGCCCCTGATGTGACCCCTCTGTAACCTGGGCCAGAGCCTGTCCCTTTCCTGCCCCCATTGGTGTAGCACCTTCATCCAGCTCTGAGGAGCCCACAGCTGGAGCTGCCCTGAGGCACCTGTGGGGTGGATCAGGGACTACGATCTATTTGTGCCAAACACTGCCCTTCTGGGGATGGGGGTCAGTGCCCTGCCATGATGTCAGCACTCTGCCAACATTGGAGAATATTTAGACAAGGCCTCTCAGGATAGAGGATGGCACCTCCTCAGAACTCAGGGGAGTGTGATTCCAGGGGAGTGGCACCTGAGGTGAACCACACAGCTTGCTGCTGCGAAGTGCCAGCTCTCTGGGCCTTTCTCCTGCTCCGACCTGGGGCTCCTGCTGCAGAGCATACCTTGGTCCCCCACAGATGCTGAGCATTCTGTTGTCCTCCTCCTCAGGGTGGCCTCAGGCTGGGCTGAGATGCCCTCAACCTCCTCCACGTCAGGAGGTGGCACCAGGCCAGGGCCTGGGCACACTCTCAGCTGCAGCCCTGCTGGACTGGGGTTGGAAGCTGGTTCCCGGCAAGGCCAGCCTCTGCTGGGAGACAGATAGCTCCCTGGAGACATGGATAGCGCTGGCCTGGCCTGACGTCATCTGGAAGGGAGGCAGCTCAGGCCTCTGGATGCTTCCAAGCCACCTTCCCTGTCCAGACAAGGAGACAGAGCCAGATGCTCACCCAGTCCTTCTTGAACCAGGCCAGCTGGAAAGCAGCCACAGAAAGCCACATCGTGGACACATTGTGGGGGAGGGGCATCTCTTGAGAACAAAAGACCCATTTCTAGACTCAGCTAACTTGGAAGCTTATCATCAGAGAAAGTTGTATGTGCAGCCACTGTATCCAGCACACGTCGTGCAAACTGGACAAAGGCATCTGCAGGCTGTTTTTAGTTGCTGGTGTGAAATGAACGTTTGTGGACCAGCCGTGTGTGGTAGCACTGTCTCAGGTCCTTCCAGAAGGAATTCCTGTCATTGAAACATGAAAAAGTTCTCATACGGTGTCACTCCGGAGGAATATTAAATCAGCGTGTGTGTGTGAACCCACTGCACATCCTCTTCTGATCGGTTGACTCTGCCCCCCAGAGAGCCCGCCCTGCACACACACAGTCTCCTTACCTAGGTAGCTCCCGCTCGTACCGAAAGTGCAAGGGTACCCATGAGATCGGGAGGGTTCGGACAGAGCACACGGCTCAACACCCTCCGCTGACGGGGGTGGGGGTGGGGAGGTACCTGCTTTGTACTATGAGTCCTCACACCCCAGCTGCCTGTGCGCCCTCGCGGCAGCCCCCTCTCTTCCAGAAAACGGTGACCTCAGAGTTGGAGCTGCAATCCCCCACCCTCCCGACTTGCGTTCCCAGGGCTGCCCAGAGGTCTCAGCTCCCCGGCCTCGCCCACCCGGAGGGACCCAGCAAACCCAAAGAACACCGACCGGCCTTAAGCACACGAGAGGAAGAAAGACCCTCTCACAAAGCTGCAGGGTGGGGTTGGGGCCGGGACGAGATGGGGGGGCAGCCACTTAGGGTGGGGCACTGGGGGCCTAGGCTCTATTGTCCCCAGAGCCGCTCGCCCTCGGCGGCCCCTCCTCCGAAGGCGCGGCCAGACGGGCTCCGCATTGTGCGGGCGGATCCTGGATGCGCGGTGCTGAAGCTGCAGAGCCTGCCGCATTCTGCCCGCTCCGGCATTGGCCCGCAGCCCTGACATCAGCCAGCGAGGGCGGGGCAGCCCCTTATAAGAGGGCGCCCGGGAGAGCGCCGCTCCTCCGCAGCCCGCTGTCCGCCTGCTTCCGTCTCGAGCCGTCTGAGGTCAGCATGAGGGAGATCGTGCACATCCAGGCCGGCCAGTGCGGCAACCAGATAGGGGCCAAGGTGAGCCGTCCGGCGTCCCGAGTCCCCGGGAGCGCCGGCCCCAAGGAGGGAGGGAGACAGCGGCTGCTCCGGGAGCCCGCAGCCGAACAAAGGGGAGAGCCCAGCCTCTTGCGGGTCTCCTGGGACCCCGGGGTCCCCGCTCGGCTCCCCTCAGCCGCGTCGCTCTGCTCTGCGCCCAGGTTGCAGCGGACGGCTGGGGGAGCCCTTTTGACCCCCACTTCCATTCATTCTGCGCACCCCCCCCCACCCACACACACCGCGGTGTCAGCAGGTGCAGGGAATGTGGTTGGGGGCGCCGGCTGGGCGTGGCCTCCTTCGAGGCTGCCACTTTAAACCCTGAGTAAGATGGGTGTGTCGGGCAAGGTTGGGTGGGGCTCCCCCTAAAACCATAATGACCGAACATGCCCGAATCCCCGCTGGAGAACTGGACGGTCTTCAAGGCGCGGGGCCGCCCTCACGCCCCCCACCTTGCCCAGCTCGCCCTCAGTTTCCTTGCCCCACCCTGTTCCTTTGTTGGAGGGGTTGGGCCTGGACTCCAGTGACCTTGGTCCAGAACTGGACTCTTCCTATCTGCAACTCTCCCACCCCCAGCTGGGCCCTTCCGGGGCCTCGCAGCCGGGACGGAGCCCGGAACAAAGCTGACTCCAAGGATTGCCTTTACTTCCCCGCTATTGTTAGCCCACCTCCAGGTGTCGGAGCCGAGGGGGAGGGAGGGTGGCGCAGTGACTCTGCATTTCTACTGTGATTAGTGAGTAGTGAAAGAGCTGACCTGTTTCCAGTCCTAGCACGCTGTTCCTTACCCAAGGTCACACAGCAAGTGGAAGACAGACAGAACCACTCGATTCCTGCAAAAGCCCGACCTCGGCTTGGGTTGGGTCTGAGTGGGTGGGGTCAGCTTCCTCAGTCTTCTGAACAATGAGACGGAGCTTTGTCCAGACGGATGCTGGACGTAGCTCAGGGATGGTGTGTAGCTAGTTCCCAAAGGAGGAGGTGGGGTAGACGGGCCCTGGAAGGGAGGGGAGGAGGCAGAGAGAGGACCTCTGGAGGCTGTTGCCATAGAAACCAGGCAGGAACAAAAAAGCTAATTACCATGGGCTGGGGCCGTCACGTGGCTGACATGTAAATTGCAAGTTTGGCGCTAGGGCGGAGGTTCCTCTGGCTGGGGGGGGGGAGGGAAGCAGTACGGGGAGACTCCCTAATCACAGAGGAGACAGCTGTTCCCATTCCACGGGGGAAACGTGGTGGGGGAGGGGCATGCAGGGGGAGCCTGAGGCAGGCCCTTCCCATCAAATCAGGACCCCTGGGCTAATCGCTGACAGCTGCCCTGGCCTGAAGGGAGGGGGAGGGCGCATTAATGTGGCCACAGGTGCCGGGCCCCTGGAAGGGCCAGGGGTGACGGGGGAGGGAAGGCTTGCAATCCTAAGGGCTGCTGGGTGACCCTGCCAGAACCGCGGCTGTGCCTTGCTCCCGCAGGGTCTCGGGTTCAGCAAGGACCTAGAAGTCAGGCTCCCTCCCTCCCACGCCCAGGCTCCCTCATAGTTAGCACTTCCCACCCCGCCCTCTGCCCTGGAAGAGCTGACTGGAAGATCTCCCGGCGACCGGCCCGAAGGCCCAGGCCCTGTGGGGATTTACCTGCTGAGTGTCTGCCCCAGGCGATATGAATGAGATTCATTGCCTATTTTTGTAGCTGGCCTTAGGGCCCCTGGAGTGCGCTGCAGTGGGGAAAGTTTTTTCCCTGCCCCCTACAGCAACTGAGGGCACGGGCGAGGGTGGCGGACCGCTTCTTGCCATTATTGGTGCTTGGGTTGTGCCTGTCTTAGCACAAAGGGCCCCTGGCTCTAGGGAGGTGATGGGGTGGAAGCATGGTGGGGTGGAGTCAGGAAGGGAGGTGTGAGGCCACGAGAAAGTACTTGGAAGCAGCAGCAGAGGAGGCATTAGCAATCCGTGAGGTTAGCACCACCTGTGAGTGCGTTGACGAGCCAGGCCGGTGCCCTGTCAGGCCTTGTGAGGTGAGTGCTGTGGGTGGCGTCCTCCCTTAAAGCCGAGAAAGAGGAAGGTTCTGCGAGTTGAGTCACTTGCCTCTGCTCACAGCGTTCGGTGGATATGGGCAAGGCAGCAATTTTAGTATGGGTGTGTGTGTGGCTGTGCCAAGGTGACGTGTGCCCACACCACCAGGAGCACGTGGGACTGGGTCACTCTTTGTTGCCCCCTTTGTTAGGGCCTGAGACCCCAGATGCAGTCTCCCTCATAAAGGGTCCCTAGAAATGTCTACACCTCGTGCCTGTGCCCCACCAGCTGCCAGAATGCCTCCCCTCCCCCCAAATAGGAGCCTTCAAGGTTGGGACCCGCCTGAGAGCCAACCTGGTGAGGAGGGGACTCTTTGAGTCCTGTTGTGGGAGCCTCGTAGCCCAACTGCGCTCCCTCGCAGGCTCACTACCATGCTGCGCTCAGAGCAGGGTCAGCACCTCGGACAGCAGCGCCGCCGTCCGCCCTGTGAGACTTGGGTCTTAGCGAGGCTGAACCAGGATGGGTTCCTTACGCCTGGTGCTTTTCTTTTCTGTAGTGATGCTACTTAATTTAAACAATTCTTTTCATTTAAAGATTAAATATTCTTCTATGTAGTAATACTTCCTTATAAGGTTTTTTTTGTGTGTGTGTTATGTTAGCAGCTCAGTTGGAGCTCAGACTGGCCTTCTAACCACTAGCTTTACAGCTGTCTGCCGCTGCACCGGGGAAGATTTATTTTGAATTACATTTGTTATTTTTAATTTGCAAACGCAGTTGCTGATATATTTTTTCACGTGAAAGCTGAGACGCAGGCTGGAGACGTGGCTCAGCGATAAAGCCCTCGTCTTGTCTTAGGTTTGATCTGAAGCAGACTGAACAAAAACAAAATCTGGAGTGCTGCAGGGAGCTAAGCTCGCTACCGCACACCCGTAGCACCTCCCCCTCACCTGGGGAGGCTGAGGCAGGAGGCTCAGCAGGGCTTCATCAGCTTGGGTGAAGGAGCAAGATCTTGGTTCTAAAATAACAGTAACAATAAAGGAACACTGCAGAGGAGGTAACCCACCCATCATATGCTTTCAATGTCGTGTGTGTGTGTGCGCGTGCGTGTGTGCGCGCACGTGCACGCACGTGCGTGCCTGCGTGTATACATGCCTGTGCAGACAGAGTTCAGAAGAGGCATCGGATCTCTGAAACTGGAGTTATACACAGCTGTGAGCCACCGTGTGTGTGTATGTGTGTGTGTGTGTGTTGCTCAGAACTGAACTTGAATCTTTTGTGAGAACGGCTGTGTCTCCAGACCCTTTTTTTTTTTTTAATTTAAAAAAACGTATCCAGGTGGTGGTGATACACACCACACACCCTTACACACACTTAGATACACACACACACACACACACACACACGCGCGCGCGCGCGCGCGAGTGTGCTCACACATACAATCAAAAATAAAACAAAACTTAAAAAGTACACAAAAGAGAAGATGAAATCCAGGCCCCTCTGGCCGGAGGTGACCTCTCTGGGATGGATCCCTCAGAATGAGCTGTCGGACCCCTGTGGGTTCCCTAATAATGATCTGTTTGGCTGTTTTTAGGGGTTTAAAGAAAACCTGTTTGAAAGGTTTTTAAAAAATGTTTTCTGCGTGTGGGTGTTTGTGCAAACAGTGCCTACAAAAGCCGGGGTGAGTGCGGCGTCCCCTGACGCTGGAGCCCACAGGTGACTGGTTGTGAGCCATGGCTGAGGGGAAGCGATCCTGGGTCCTCTGCCAAAGCAACAAGTGTCCTCAACTGCTGAGCCATGCCACCGGCACAGTTACAGATATGTTTAAGCATGTTTTCTTTTCTTTTTTTAACAAAAGCTTATGTTCACGAGACCAAAAAATATATATATATATATATAAATATATATATATATATATATATATATATATGTATTTATCCAAGAGCACAAGGGTAGACAGTGAAAAGCCTCTTTCCCTCAGCCCAACACCCAGGATCTCTAAGACATCCAAACACAGACAAGCACCAGTGGACTGCTCTCTCGCCTGCTTTCAGCCCTGAGCAGCTCTTTTCTCCACATGATCCCTGGTCATCGGCCTTTAGTGTCTCTAGGCCGTAATGTCATCAGCATATCTGCAAGATGCCTGAGCGCTAAGGGTGGCGATGCTGAGGGCCCAAGGAGGCCCCACAGGCCTGGGAATCTGTGTGCTCTGCCAAATCGTTTCCCTGTCTGCGGACCTTTCTTTCTCTCACCTACCAGGGCTGCAGAACAGTGGCGCTTCTCTGCCACAGCTGCTCCTACACTCTGGGCAGATGACTGTGTTCTCACAAGAGCCTGTGGTCCTGTAGCCAGCCCGTTGTATGGATGAGGACGCTGAAACACATTTAGCCCCTGTGGGTCAGCCGTGAACCCTGGTCTTAGGCCATGATCTGCCTTGTCCTGCTGAAGCGGTGGTAGCTGCGTGTAAGGTGCCTCCTGTCCTTGCACTGGCACTGAGGGCCTCATGTGGTGGCTGAGAACTGACCCGTCTCTGCTCTGCCACCCGCTCTGGGCACTGTTCTACATTCCGTGTGCCTTCAACTCCTTTCCTGAAAAGAAAGAGTAAAAACAGTCCCGAGAGATAGTTTGTGTACAGGTACAGAGCTGGGTAGACTCTCTCTGTATCTGAGTCCTAGCTCTCCCTGGGGGCCTGGAGACGTTAGCCAGCTCATGCAGAGAGTACTCCTTTCTAGAGCCTCATATTGGGCCTAAGGGCGTCCCAAAGTTCTAAGTTTGCACCGTAAGCTTTCAGACTTCAGAAGGGCAATGGCCTGGAAGGGCCTCGGCTCTCTGCTGAACCCTTTTCTGCTCTCCTTGTGCAGTTCTGGGAGGTCATCAGTGATGAGCATGGCATCGACCCCAGTGGCAACTATGTGGGGGACTCAGACCTGCAGCTGGAGCGCATCAGTGTGTACTACAACGAGGCCTCCTGTGAGTACCGCCTCCCACCTGCTGGGCCCTGGCAAAGGGGCCTTCTGCACAAACAGGGCCCTGTGAGCCATGTCTCTGCCTCTCTTAGTTGGTGATGGCTTTGTGTAGTCCGGGGACAGGCAGGAGACTGAATGGTGCATCCAGAGCAGGGGTCGCTGGGAGCTTGGTTGAGGCCATTTGACAGCGGGTACAGTATTAACAAAAACTACAGACCATGTGACTCGATTCCAGCTGTCCTGGTGGTCAGCCATCACTGCCATGACTGGGCCAGAGTCTACTATGGGTCTATGCCTATGATACAAGTCCCAGCCCTTACTTAGGGTAAGAGCAGGCAGGACACTGTGTATCAAAGCAGATGCTGAGACTCATAGCCAAACTTTGGGCAGAGTGCAGGGGATCTTATGAAAGAAGGGGGAGATAGAAAGACCTGGGGAGGACAGGAGCTCCACAAGGAGAGCAACAGAATCAAAAAAATCTGGGCACAGGAGTTTTTCTGAGACTGATACTCCAACCAAGGGCCATTCATGGATATAACCTAAAACCTCTGCTCAGATGTAGCCTATGGCAGCTCAGTATCCAAGTGGGTTCCTAGTAAGGAGAACAGGGACTGTCTCCGACATGAAATCAGTGGCTGCTCTTTGACCACCTCCCTCTGAGAGGGGAGCAGCCTTGCCAAGCTTCAGCAGAGGACAGTGCAGCCAGTCCTGATGAGACCTGATAAGCTAGGGTCAGATGGAAGGGGAGGAGGACCCTCCCCTATCAGTGGACTTGGAGAGGGGCATGGGAGGAGATGAGAGAGGGAGGGTGGGGTTGAGAGGGAATGAGGGAGGGGGCTATAGCTGGGATACAAAGTGAATAAACTATAATTAACATTTAAAAATTTTAAATAAAAAAAAGCAGGAGACTGGCAGGCTGGGGGTGGAGTTTGGAGGGAAATGGATAGACCCCTGACGTGTAACTCAAACCACTGACTTCTCTCTTCCCTCAGCTCACAAGTATGTGCCCAGGGCCATTCTGGTGGACCTGGAACCTGGAACCATGGACAGCGTTCGCTCTGGGGCCTTTGGGCACCTGTTCAGGCCTGACAACTTTATCTTCGGTGAGTTCCCTGGCTCCGGGCCCTGGGCCTGGCAAAGCCAGAATGTCTGGAAGAGGGTGGAACCAACCACTCTTCACCGGGGCCTTGCAGGGTGAAAGTGACCTTTCCGTCAGGGTCCGAGAACGGGTTCTGTGTGGGAAGGGATCCTTCCCACACATTTCTACAAAGAATGAGGTATAAAACACAGACTTTTGGAATTGCTGGAGTGGCAGGGACTTGAGTTTGCGTGTGTTGAGAGGTCAGGGTGTCCTTGAGACTATCCCGGTGGTGTCCTCAGCGCTCACACCGACACGGGAAGTCTCGCCTCACTTCTGCTTCTGAGATCCTAACACCATGAGCCAGTAAGGTGGCTCAGCCGCTGAGGGCTCGCTCTCACCTCATGGTCTGAGTTCGAGCCCAGGCGGCAGAAAGAGAGAATCGGCTCCTTCTGACCTTCACCTGTGTTCCATGGTACATGCACACCCACACGTGGACACACACGTTCTCTCTCTAAATAAACAGATGTGTTTTACTGTGATCGTTTTTAAAGGCCCCATAGACTAGTGGGTGCTAGTTCCCAGCCAGGACTGGCTACAACAGTCCTTCCATTCTGGAAAAGAGGAGTACTTGGCTCGGAGGGGGAGGTGGCTGACTGAGGGACAGCCCCCCTCTCCCTTCCACGTGTCAGCAGACCAGTGGAAGGAAGGTGAGTGAGAGAGAGGGAAGGCTGGCCTGTTTATCCAAGATGGCCTTGACCTAGCTAGGCCCTGGCCTCATCCCAGATTTTTCATTCCCTGTTCGAAGCATCTGCAGCTGGGATCCCTGGCACTCAACAGAGATGCCCAGGGTGGAAGTCATATTTCAAAGCGTGCAATTTATAGACTACAAGGGAAGCAGCTTTCTTCCGGGGTGCTTGGCAGGTCCTGGAGGCCTGCAGTGTAGACCTTTGACCTCACCTGTCACCTGCCCCTTCTCTCTGTAGGTCAGAGTGGCGCTGGCAACAACTGGGCCAAAGGGCACTACACCGAGGGCGCAGAGCTGGTGGACTCGGTGCTGGACGTGGTGCGCAAGGAGTGTGAGAACTGCGATTGTCTGCAGGGCTTCCAGCTGACGCACTCGCTGGGCGGCGGCACAGGCTCGGGCATGGGCACGCTGCTCATCAGCAAGGTGCGGGAGGAGTACCCCGACCGCATCATGAACACCTTCAGCGTGGTGCCCTCACCCAAAGTGTCGGACACTGTGGTGGAGCCCTACAACGCCACGCTGTCCATCCACCAGCTGGTGGAGAACACGGACGAGACCTACTGCATCGACAACGAGGCCCTTTACGACATCTGCTTCCGCACCCTCAAGCTGGCCACGCCCACCTACGGGGACCTCAACCACCTGGTGTCGGCCACCATGAGCGGCGTCACCACCTCGCTTCGCTTCCCGGGGCAGCTCAACGCCGACCTGCGCAAGCTGGCCGTCAACATGGTGCCCTTCCCCCGCCTGCACTTCTTCATGCCAGGCTTCGCCCCCCTCACAGCCCGCGGCAGCCAGCAGTACCGGGCGCTCACGGTGCCCGAGCTCACCCAGCAGATGTTCGACGCCAAGAACATGATGGCCGCCTGCGACCCGCGCCATGGCCGCTACCTGACCGTGGCCACAGTCTTCCGCGGGCGCATGTCCATGAAGGAGGTGGACGAGCAGATGCTGGCCATCCAGAGCAAGAACAGCAGCTACTTCGTGGAGTGGATCCCCAACAACGTCAAGGTGGCCGTGTGTGACATCCCGCCGCGCGGCCTCAAGATGTCATCCACCTTCATTGGCAACAGCACGGCCATCCAGGAGCTGTTCAAACGCATCTCGGAGCAGTTCACGGCCATGTTCCGGCGCAAGGCTTTCCTGCACTGGTACACGGGCGAGGGCATGGATGAGATGGAGTTCACGGAGGCCGAGAGCAACATGAACGACCTGGTGTCTGAGTACCAGCAGTACCAGGACGCCACCGCCGAGGAGGAGGGAGAAATGTACGAAGACGACGAGGAGGAGTCGGAAGCCCAGGGCCCCAAGTGAGGCGGCTTGCGGCTGGGGTGCGGGGCCAAGCGGCAACCAGGGCCAACACAAGCAGCATCTGTCCCCAAAGCCATCTGCTACTGACACTGCCCAGCCTTGCTTCCCACCAGCTCCTTCGGGCACCCTAGGCTCCCAGTTGACGCTCTTCAGTATTTATGGCTGTCCCCGCCCCACGCGAGTCCACTTGGCTCTGTCCTCCTGTTGAGGCCACCTCTGTTTGTGTTGCTCATTCGTCTGTTTCATTATGGGCCCGGGCCTAATGTTAATGGTTTGTTTTTTTACTGGGTTGTGTTTATATTTGGAGGGGGTTATAATTAATAAAGTTACTGCTGTCTGTCAGACGCCTCTGGCTGGTACTGGAGAGTTCTTTTCTTTGCCCTTTCCTGCCCCGCCCCCTTTTTAAGATAAGAACTAGGCTGAAGCATGTTTGATGTAAAGTTTTCGGTGGGGGGAGGGGAGAAGAGTAATTTAGATCTAGAAGGAAAGAGAACAAGTAGACTCAGCCCTTATCTCCCAGGCTGGTGGCTACGATTTGCACTGACATGGTCTCAGGTTGGATCCCAGGGAGGCAGGGAGGGGAACTAGAGAAGGAAGCTTTGCTTGGACTAAATCCCATCGCGGAACCCCTGGCACACCTCTTTTGACCCAGAGCAGCCTACCTTGTTCCTGGGCTCATATTCAGCTTTCTTCCTGCTGTCTGCGCTGAAAGTCAAGTGTAAGCAGCTATGTAAGGAAGCTGAAGCCCAAGACCTGAACCGAAGGGATAAGGAAGAGGAAAAAGGAGTGCTGGGAAGGTTGGGGCTTGTAGCTGGGACCAGAGAAATATGGGCACTGGCTCCAACCGTGTGCTGGTTCCGTGTGCCCCCTAGTGGTGGCTTCCCATGGTTTCAGAGCACCCAGTATGCAGGGTTAGAGAAAGCTCCTCATGGCATGAGATCCTGCCCAGCATTCTCCCTCCTCCTGGGGAGAAGACTGAAACCAGAGAGGCCACGTGCTCAGAGGTGCACCGTGAGACCGCACAGCTGGGCGAAGGCTCTCTGCACCCATTCCCTCGTGCTTGGTGGCACCTGAAAGAATTTGTTGTACACAGTACCTTCTCTCACCCTCTCTCCATGTGACCGTAGGTGATGAAGATAGTCTGAGAAGCTGCTAGCCCTGCCTTCAGATGAGGGCAGCCGCTCCTGAGAGGGTGTTTGATGTAGGCTGGGCCCTGGAGGTCAACACAGAAAAGTAACAAAGGCAACACTGTGTTGTCTCAGCTGCGGCTGTGAAACTTCCCTGAAACTTAGTGACCTGACCTGAACTCTAAAATAGCAATTTATCCTGTATTAATAAAGTTGTTGTTTTTTTAAAGCCAGCTGATGGTGGCGCACGCCTTTGATGCCAGTACGTAGGAGAAAAAAGCAGGTGGGTTTCTGTGAGTTTCAGGACAGCCAGGGCTACAGAGAGAAGGAGGAGGAGGAGGAGGAGGAGGAGAAGAAGAAGAAGAAAAGAAAAAGAAAAGGGCTGGAGCTATGGCTCAGTGGTTAAGAGCACTGGCTGCTCTTGCAAAGTCCTAAGTTCAATTCCCAGCAGCCACATGGTGGCTCACAACCATCTATAATGGAATCTGATTCTCTCTTCTGGTATGTATGAAAACAGCACTCATGCATATGAAATATATAAATAAATCTTAAAGAAAAGGCACTTATTAAAAATAGTTGTTTTGTTTTGTTTTTGGGACAGTGTCTCTTTACATCACCCTGGCTGTCCTGGAACTCACTGTGTAAACCAGGCTGACCTCCATCTCAGCCTGCTTCTGCCTCCCAAGCCCTGGGATTCAGGGCTGACGGCTAAATTACTTACTTCCTGCAGTGCTGGTTGGTATGACAGCGAGGTCCAACATGTCACTTGAGGTCCTTTGCTGGGAGGCAACCGAAGCGGTCCCTCTCTCTTCTCTGTGGAGGCCTGCGTGCGGCTCCTCAGTATCTCCAGTGTGTGGTGGTGGCCTCCTTCCTGCTCTTTTGTCCTGTCCTGAGGTGAGTGACTTTGCACTCCCTGCCATGATGGGAGGGACGACAGGCCCACAGGAGCATGGGCTGCAGCCTCCAGAACTGAGCAAAACAAGCCATTCCCCCTTACCAGCTAAAGAGTAATGAAAGACTGAACAGCAAACCACTTTCAGGAAAACGGTACTCCAAAGGTCAGGGCAGAGGCAAACACTCGGCCCCTCGGTTCTCAGAGAGGGCTCTCTTGGAACCCAGTACTATGCTGGTGGAAGCCCACACAGCTTAAGGGGTAGAGTGTGGGTGTCCACACACCCTTTTTAGGTGACTTCAATATGAGCCGCCCAGTTCCCCCAGGCAGGAGCAGGAATGTGTATAGGCACCTGCCCTTAGCTTTCCTGTCTACAGTGAAGGTACGCCTATCAGTTACGTCCTGCAGACCTTGTGAGTACACTGAGGGCTTCTAATGCCAGTAGGTGTGTGGGCAGTGGAGGCTCTGGTCTGCTTGCCCTTGGACTTCAGTCTGCAAGCACCCTTGGCATTCTTAGGTAAAAGGTGGGACAGGTCTAGAAATCAACCTGAGATTCACATACAACTAGCAAAGACTGTCCATGGCCCTGCTTTCCTCTCTTCCCATGGTGAACATGGGGGAAATGGCATGTCCTGGAGCCTTCCCATTTATGCCAGTTTTAGTGGTAGGCTAGTTTAGTGAAAGAGAGACAGACAGACAGGAACAGATAGACAGGGAGAACACAGTGCATAGTGGCACACGCCTTTAATCCCAGCACTCAGGAGGCAGAGGCAGGTGGTTCTCTACATAGTGAGTTTGTGAATTCCAGGGCAGCCAAGACCACATAAGCTAGATATAATTTAAAAAAAAGAAAAGGAAAGCTGGTTTAAAGGGTGGTTACTGTCACTGGACTGCTGCTTGTGTGACTAGAAATGGGTATATGAGCTCAGGCAACAAGACTCAGGCAGGAAAGGCTGCAGAGCAGAAATAGGCAGCATCAGGCCGGTCTTTGTTTCTGAGATGGAGTCTTACTATGTCCCTGGCTGTCCTGGAACTCCCTGAGTAGACCAGGCTGGCCTTGAGTGCACAGCCATCCCTTGCCTCTGCCTCCTGAGTGCTGGGATCAAAGGTGTGTGCCTCTGCTCCTGGTCTTTGAACATGCTCATCATGCATGTGACTGGAGCTATAATAATCCCATTTTGGAAAAGTGACCTTTTTGTGTGTGTGCACGAGTATCTGATGGGTGTGGGTTAGTGCCTGGGGTGCATGTGTGGAAGCTGAGGTTGAAGCCAAGCATCTTCCTCCACTCTTTTACATACACTCATCTTATTTTGTGTGTTTGGGTGTTTTTTCTGCATGCATGTAGGTGTACCAAGTGTGTTTCCGGTGCCCTGGAAATCCAGAAGAGAGCATTGCTCGCCTGGAACTGAAGTTGTAGGTGGTTGTGAGCTGCCTGGTTGGTGCTGGACACCGAACCTCAGTCTTCTGGAAGAGCAGCCAGGGCTCTTAACCTCGGAGCCAGCTCTCTCCAGCCTCTGTTCTTTTCCATCTTATTTCTCGAGACAGGACCTCTCGTCCGACCCCCGACCCGGGCATGATGACTGGCTAGACTCAGCAGCCCAAGCCCACAGCCATGTCAGCCTTTTACCTGGGTGCTGGAGAGCAATTCTGGCCCTTACTTTACCCCCTGAGCCACATCCTAGGCCCTCGGCAACCAGCCTGTTTTTAGATTCTGCTTGGTCATGCGGCTGCTCACACTACCGGCTGTTGTGTTCCTGTCTGTAGGACAAGAAAATTGGCTTCTTCCATTTGGTTTTGGGTTTGTCATTATCACATGATGAAGATGTTCAAAGACCAATCTGCCAGGAGTGGTGGCACCAGCCTTTAATCCCAGCACTTGAGGAAGGCAGAGGCAGGCAGATCTCTGTGAGTTCAAGGCCTTTCCTGGTCTACTCATGGCATTTGGGGCCAGCCAGGGCTACACAGTAAGACTCTGTCTCAGAAATAAAAACGGATCTAATGGTTGCCCATTTCTTACTTTGTTCCCCAGGCTAGTCATAGACTGGTCCCAGAGTTCCTCCTGTCTCAGACTTCTGGTTACTTTGTACTGCCAGCAATATTCTCTTTTAAGTAACAAAGAAGTGAAGCCTTTGGTAAATTTTCGGCCATAACAAAGTAAACTGGCCAGGCACAGTGGCACACGTCTTTAATCTCAGCACTCTGGAGGTAGAGGTAGTAGAGCTCTGTGAGTTCGAGGCCAGCCTGGTCTACAAAGCAAGTCTAGGATAGCCAGAGTTACACAGAGAAACCCTGTCTTAAAGAAAAACAAAACAAGAGAAAAGAAAAAAATCAAACTAATATCACCACCAGGGAACTTCTCTGCGCCCAGAAGCAAGTAAAACAAGCTAAAAGCCTGGTGTTCCTGCTTGATTTTGCACCTGTCTCTTTGTCATAAATGTTTATGTCAGACACCTGCTTAACCCTTATACATCTTAGTCACTCCAGGAATATTTGCAGATGTTGTTTAATTGACAGGGTTCTTGTCTACTATTCAGGAAACGCTATATTCCATCCTGGACAGTGCAACAAACAAGATGTGCTGGAATTCCACCGCCCAGAAAATGGATGTCGGAGGGTTAGAAATTCAAGGGCATGCTCAGCTACACACTGAGTCAGAGGCCTGCCAGCCTGGGCTTCTTAAAACTCTGAATAAAAACAAACAAACAAAAAATGTAAAAGGTATCCGGGCATAGCGGCACACACTGGTCTACAAAGTGAGTCCAGGACAGCAAAGGCTACACAGAGAATCCCTGTCTCAAAAAATCCAAAGCAAACTTTTTAAAGGTGCTTGAAACTCTCCAGTCCTTGCTGCAAACCTGTAAGGCTCCCTGAGTCCCAGCAGCAGCAGACTTCACAGACCCATCATTCCAAGATCAGAGCATCCCTTAGCAGGAGCAGTTATCCTACAGGAACCAGACTGTCTCGGCCAGCAGTGATCTTGCCCTGTAGACCAAGAACTGAGGTAATGATCACCCAGACAGTCTAAGGAAGGCTGTTTAACTGTGCCTCGTGCCCCTCTGCTCCAATTCTTTCTTTGTGTAAACCTAATGCTTATGTCCACATTCCAAAGATCAGCTGAGGTGCCTCTTGCCCAATACGGTTATATTTACTGCCTTTTTTTTTTTTTTTTTTTTTTTTTTTTTTTTTTTTTTTTTTTTTTTTGAGTCATGATCTTACATAGCCCAGACTGCTCTTAAACTTATGGCAATCCACCTGCCTCAGCCTTTAGTACAGGGACTACAGATGTGAGCCACCAGGGCAGGAAGAATGTTGGTTTATTTATTTATTTAAGACAGGGACCGATCATGTAGTTCCGGCTGGCCCGGAATTTACACAAATCTGCTGCCTCCGTCTTCTTAGTGCTGGAATTAAAGTTGTGAGTCACTGCACCGGGCAAGGAAGAAGCTTCTTAAAATGCTGTACTCAGGCCTGGCATAGCGGAGTGTGCCCAGTGCCTCCCACTGTGCCCTTGACCTTGTGGTAGGGAAAATTCATGAGCAGAGGGAAGTTTTAGCTAGAGAAGAAGAGAGCTTGAAGGCTCAGAAGAGGAAAGAAAGTGAGGAGGGGCAGGAATAGTGGGAAGGTGGGAGGAATCAGAGCCATGGATTTGAACCACCTGGCTCCTGGAGAGAGGATTTCATTTCACTGTGAGATCTCTTTCCCACTGGCCCTCATCCACCCTCCACACATTATCAGAGAGCCCCTTTGACAGCAAAATCATTGTCAGACAAGGTGTGTGAGTACCACATTTGGGAGGCTGAGACAGCCTAGGTTACATAGTGAGTTCCAGGCTAGCCTACAGAGTGAGCTCCTATCCAAAAAGCCAAATCCAAAATCCACCCCCTCCAAAAAAAGTGTTACTTTTCTGCTTAAAAGACAATGACACAGCAAGTGATGTTGACAAGGGAATCACTGGATACTAAAACTCTATGTAGTGGTTTGAATGAGAAAAGGCCCCATGGGCTCGGCCCACATGTTTGAATGTTTAGTCCTAGTTAGTGGAACTGTTTGGGAAGAATTAGAAGGCATGGCCTCTGCTGGAGAATGTGTGTCACTGGGGTTTCGATAGCCCACACTAGGCCTAATCTCGTTCTGTGCCTACAACTTGTGGATCAGATGTGTGAGCTCTCCGAAACTCTCCAGTGCCACACCTGCCTGCCTGACCCCTTTCTTCCTGCCATGGTGGTCCTGGATACACTAGCCCTCTGAAACTGTAAGCCCCCTAATTAAATGCTTTCGTTTAGCCAGACATGATGGTGAGTGCCTGTAATCCTCAGGGAAGCAGAGGCAGGTGGATTGCTGTGAGTTCAAGGCCAGCCTGGTCTACAAAGCAAGTTCAGGATAGCAAGGCTACATGGAGAAACCCTGTAGAGGGGGCGGGGGAGCTTTCTTTTGTAAGTTGCGTTGGTCACGGTTTCGTCAGGGCAATAGTAACTAAGACACCCTGCCAGGAGGAACGTGAACTGGCACAGTACCATTCAAAAAATAAAGTGAACAGTTTCCCAGAGAAGCAAATATTAGCTTACCATACCAGCTACCTGTTCTGCCGAGCATTTGTCTGGAGAAATAAAAGCACGTCTCCACACAACGATGTGCACATAGACATTTATAGCAGGTTTATTTTTGTCAGTGAACACTGGAAACAACCCAGATGTTCACGAGTAGGTGAGCGGCATATCTGTGCCATAAACCTAACAGTAAAGAAAGCAGAACATTGCCATTGGCTATGATGTGGCCAAGTTTTAATCATGTGGTGTGAAACAACGCAGAAAAACTGATAAATACTACTCGAATTCCTTTCTATAATGTTATAGAAAGTCCAACCTAAGGGCAAGGATCGGTGAGTTTCTCGGGGGAAAGAAAAGAAGGGGAGCTGAAAAGTGACTTGAAGAAGTCTTTCTCATGGTTTTCTCAGGCCTGCACATATGGCAACATTTCCCAAGCTGTGTACTTCAAGTATTATTTATTTACTTCTTAAAATATTTATTTATTTTATTAGGTATACAGTGTCTGTCTGCATGTATACCTGAACACCAGAAGAGGCACCAGATTTCATTATAGATGGTTGTGACCCACCACCCACCATGTGATTGCTGGGAATTGAACTCAGGACCTCTGGAAGAGCAAGCAGTGCTCTTAACCTCTGAGCCATCTCTCCAGCCCCTAATTTATTTATTTGAAGATTTTATTTATTTTATGTATGAGTGCTCTATCTGCCAGAAGAGGGCACAAGCTCTCATTATAGATGGTTGTGAGCCACCATGTGGTTGCTGGGAATTGAACTCAGGACCTCTGGAACAGCAGACAGTGCTCTTAACTGCTGAGCCATCTCTCTAGCCCAAGCATAATTTATTGTCAGTCTATTGCATCCCAATAAAAAAATACAAAGAAAGAAAGAGGAAATTTCTTATCTTGCCAATATCGGGGCCAGCACAGTTACAGCTAGACCACAGCTTTTGCCATCTGTTTTTAATTCACCTTGGGCCATGCTTTTAATTCTGTGGCTACAGCTCCTTGGGGCCTCTGTGTAACCTAGCTTCTTCTTTTCTGTTTTTGTCTTAGTTAGTGTTCCACTGCCGTGAAATGACTATGAGTGAAAATGGCCCGGAAGGACTCACAGGGAGTTGCATTCTTGGAGACATGGATTTGTGGGAGTGGGTGTGGCTGATTGTGCCTCTGAGGGTGGACTTTGAGGCTTTGGATGCTCAAGCCAGGCCCAGATCCCTCTTCCTGAGGTCTTTGCATCTGGAGGTAGAACTCTCATCTCCTTCTCCAGCACCGTGTCTGCCTGTGTGTTACCTTGCTTGCTGTCAGGATGACAATGGGCTACACCTCTGAACTGTAAGCCAGCCTGTGATGGCTTCCACAGACTCATGTGTTTGAATGCTTCGCCCGTAGGGCGTGACACTCTTAAGAACGGTGGCCTTGTTGGAGTAGTAAGGCCTTGTGGCCTTGTTAGAGGAAGCGTGTCACTGTGGAGGTGGCCTTTGAGGGCTCCTGTGCACAGGCTCCACCCAGTGTGGCTCAGTGTCCTTCTGCTGCCTTCGGAGGGACCCTCAGCATCTTCCCGGTGCCGTGTCTGCCCGCACACTGCCATGCTTCCGGCCATGACAATAATGGACTAAACCTCAGAAACTCCAAGCCAGATCCAATTAAACGTCTTTCTTTATACGAGCTGCCGTGGTCACGGCCTAACTACGACAGAGGTTAGTACCAGGACTGGGTTGCTGCTGCGATGGCCTGACCCTGCTTTTGTTTGGAGGGATGTGGGACACATCGGGACTCTGGACTAGGAGAGTGGTTGGAGACTTTAAGCAGGTCTCAGTGGGCCTGTGGGGAACCAACACAAGGCGTTTCAGAGGAGCAGAGTCTTGATTTGTGGCCTAGAGACCGTTCTTGTGATACTTTGGTGAACAATGCGGCTGCTTTCTGCCCTCGTTCTAAAAAATCTCCCTGAGGCTGACCTGAAGAGCAAAGGATGAACAGCTTTGGCAGAGGACATTTCCAGAAAAAAAACCAGCATCGGCTGTGAAGATGGCGCGGCACAGGAGCTCCCCCTGGACTACGGTAACCCTAACCACCTGTAAAAACTGCCTCAAATGCCCGGCCTGCCACCGAGACCCAGCCCAAGCTGTGGACAAGCCAGACACTGGAGAGTTGCCCGCCCCACTCTGCCTGATAAAGCAAGGCCAGCTCCCCAGGCTTCTCCTCCATGGAACGCCTCTCAGATATTCTGGACATGAGGGCAGAGGACAGGTGCTGCCCTGGGACCCCTGCCTCCAACAAAGCCGTCAACACCACTACAGACGGCGTGACCACCTAGGTAACGGGCAAGTCTCTGTCAATTTAGCTGGCTCATGGGCCATTTGGATTATACTTCCTGTTACAATTTATCCTTCTCAGATGTCTGATGGCACTGAGGCTTGGCCGAAGGCTTCCCTTGGAAATAGGCATTGGGAAACAATGTTTCGGTTTGCAGGGGCTGAGCAGGAGTGGACCGGAAGTGTGGACCTGGCGTTTTAAGGGTAAGGAGGGAGGTTGGTGGTGAGAGAGCTGGAAAGCGAAGTCTGAGGGAGCCTTCTTCCCTAGGACCCCTCCAACTGCTGGGCTGAGGATGGCCTCGAGGCTCAGAGGGAGGCTGACGAGAGCGTGGCTGTCGCGGCTGTGGTGGTCACCATGGAGTGGGGAAGAGGGGCACAGGTGGAAGTCAGGTCTCACAAAGCTTCCGGGGATCGAGATCAGGGATGCGCTGAAGGTTGGCCGCGGGTGGGACAGCTGAATGTCAGTGCTGGAGTTGTGAGGAGTCAGGGGTTACCACTGTGGAGCCATTCATTTGAGCGCAATTACCAGGGGGGGAGCAAGAAAAGGCAATGCACCCCACGGCGGCGCTGAGGCAGGAGACTGGAAGGCGCTCTGGTGAGCCAGGAGGGCAGCCGGTGTCATGAACCTCCTGGCCGGAGGCGGCAGCAGCGGGCAGAACAGCGGGTGCAGCGTCGTAGCTGCGGCGGAATACAGAGTAGCCAGCCGGTCTGGTACAATGTAGCCGCAGCCAGGTAAGCCGCGCGGCGGCCTCCGGGGGCGTCTGGTGGGTCTGGTGGGGAAGCAGGCGCGGGTGCAGATCTCCGCACGCAGTCGCCCCTGCTCGGGCTCCGCGATCCGGTTTGTGCGCGCACCCAGGGCGCGGAACTGGCAGAGGCCTCCAGCAAAGGCGTCCAGCTCCCGGCTGCCGCCTGCTGGCTCTCCGCTGAGCGCAAGGCCCCGATGACCTCATTGGTCCCTGCATTACGTGAGGCAGAGCTTAGCATTCACAGATGGGGGGCCCCCTCCCCCAGCCACCGGGTGGCTGTCAGAAGCTGCGCCTGGGACTCCCGGCCCAAGGACCCGCGGGGATGTACTCCCTCTACGATGTTGGGCTTCCCTGAGCCTCCGATTTCACAACTCTGAAATGGGTGAGGAAGGTGGTGGGGACCTGCGTCCTCAGAAGGAGCTCATCGTGTAGGGGGTAGAGTGTGAGTGAGGTGCGCTTGGCTGCGCCTGCTTGGGTAGCTGAGAATGATTAACGCCGGCCCTGCCCGTCCCGGATTACCCGTCCATCCTTACCGGCGGGAGCAGAAAGGATGTACCTTGTCCCTTCCCCGGGCCCCCTGTGGCCCTTGGACTAGCCCGCAGGAACTCACGGGAGATGGGCTCTCGTTTTCAGTGACCGGTCCGAAGCTTCCACCCAGGGCCTCTGATGCCCCACAGACCCTTGGGCTTTACTCTGAGGCCCTCAGTTGTCAAGTTGTGACTATTATCTGCTTTGGGAGACGCCTCCGTGGGGCTCGATGGAACGGAGTTTTGTTTTGTTCCCCCTTTCTCGAATCTCTTTCTCAAGGCCAACCGTGACTTCTGGGTGCAGAGCTCCGGCAGGCGGGTGAGGAAATAGGAGATGGTGTCATCCTCAAAGCTGTTGCTTTCCAGCAGCCCGCCTGTGCTGGGGTGTCATCTGTTAGTTCTCGGCTGAAAGGGCAATACGCTTCTCCCAACTGGTTCCAGATGAACTAGGCAGACGGGTCAAATGGCTCCATTGCTTAATTCACCCCTGCTTTTGTTCCAGGTCAGATGGCCATGCCAGTTAGGAAATGCGTAAGGGAACCATTTTCCTGGGAAAGTTGGCCAGAGGAGAGTTGCTGGCAAGGGTTTTTCCCAAGGTCTTTTGTGCCCCTCTAACTGTACTCTGAAACACCAGGAGGGTTCCAGAGATGGCTTCTGGGAGTGGCTCCCGCCCTACACACCCATTCTTCCGGTCAGCCTCGGCCTTCTCCCTGACTTCCAGGCAAGAGAGTAGGACCATACATTGATTGGTTTTGTTATTTTAATAAATTTTTATCATTACATTCATTTATTTACTTATTTTGTGTGTATATGTGTGTGGGCACAAGCATGTCTCTGGCCCACATGTGGAGGTCAGAGGACAGCTTGCAAGAATCAATTCTCTCCTTCCACCTTGTAGGTCCTGGGGTTCACCTTAGGTTGTCAGATGTGGCACCAAGTACCTTTAGCCACTGAGCCATCTCACAGGTACCTTACCCCTGGATTTAAATCAGAGTTGCCCAAGTCTCAAAAATGATGACAGTAATAATTGCAACTGGTGTTTGTTAGGTGCTCACCATATTCTGGTGAGTGTCCTTGGTTACATGTGTGTCTGTGTACCACTTACATACCTGGTGCCAGTGGAGGCTAAAATAGATGCTAGGTTCCAGAACTGGAGTTAAAGATGGTTATGAGCAGCTAGGTGTCCTGGGAATTAGATCCAGGTCCTCTGGAAGAGCAGGAAGTTCTCTCAACAGCTGAGCCATCTCCTCATCCCCCTGCTCTTGGACCTGTTTTATTAATGAAGTTAATCATTACAAAAATCCTGATACCAGAACCCATGGAGATTGTCCCGATGCTTATAGAAAAGAAGCCTGCCTGTGTGTGAGCTCTTAGGCTGAAGTTTTCATGGCAAAGGAGAGAATTTGGGAGAAGCTCATGCTGCCAACAGAGAAAAATGAAGGCATTTTGTAATTTTTTTTTCTTGTTTGTTGGTTGGTTGGTTGTTTTTTCCAAGACAGGGTTTCTCTGTGTAGCCCTGGCTGTCCTGGCACTTGCCCTGTAGACCAGGCTGGTTTCAAACTCAGATCTGCTCACTTCTGCCTCCTGAGTGCTGGGATTACAGGCATGCGCTGCTGTACCCAGCTTACAATTTTAAAGAAATGTCCTTCATCATGGTTGAAGGGGATTTTCCCATGTAAAATGGAGATAAGTGGCCAGTTTGTCCCTGGAGACCTCCTGTCGTTATCCTCCGCCTGGTGGGGTTTTCTCTTGCAGTAAGAGGATGGGCAATGGGCCATCCCATAGACTGCTAGTAAGAGAGGAGAGGAAATGGGTGACTAACAGGCTTTATGGATTAAGGGCCGAGAGTCTGTCTCTTTTCCCGTGAGTGTCCCTATTACTGCTTAGCCCTACATGGTATCATTATAATTCTGTATTTGAGGAGTGAGGAATTGGGAGCAGAGAAAGGCTGCAAGGCTGGCAGAGCTGGTGTTCAGGTTGACCTGACTGGAGTGGTCTATTAGTATCTATTTTGGCTGCAAGAGACAGAACTCCCCCCCCCCTTTGTTTTTTCAGAGACAGGGTTTCTCTGTATAGCCCTGGACTCACTTTGTGGATCAGGCTGGCCTTGAACTCAGAGAGATCCACCTGCCTCTGCCTCTGCTGGGCTTACAGGCATGCACCACGCCCCGCTTGCTCTAATCTCTAAGAGCAGGGAAGGCATTAGGGCTCATCTTATTCCTGACTGTAGTGTGGCAAAAGCACAGTCGTACCAGGCACCTATGACACAGCTCTAAACTCGCCTCCTGGCTTCCTATCCTAACAGCAAACCTTGAATAGAGGACTTTGTTTGTTTGTTTGTTTTTCAAGATAGGGTTTCTTTTTGTGGCCCTTGCTGTCCTGGAACTGGCTCTGTAGACCAGGCTAGCCTGTAATGCAGAGATCCACCTGCCTCTGCCTCCCAGAGTGCTGGGATTATAGGCGTGAACAGGTCTGTGAACTGATTTCACCCACAGTGACCCACTTCTGGATGGAGAAACAGAGGTGGAGAGAAGCTACGGAATGTGCCCTGACTAGATAAGCAGAGAGCTGCATTCCAACTGCTCCTGTTTCATTCAGACACAGCCCCTCCCTTTCTGCCAGGAACCGACAGCCTTGTGTTCCCAGTGTGGGCTGAGCCCTGGGGAGGGGAAGGAGCGCCTGGCGATCTTGATTTTCTGAGAAGCCGGAACGTGAACACTTCCTGCTACACAGACGGGACCCTGGGCAGGGAGCTGTGGGGAAAGCTTAGACCACGGGGTTCTGCAGTAGGGTGGGAACAGGAGCCTGAGAGGTACAACCCCACACTAGAAGCTAGTCACATTGCTGGGGCCAGGGAAGGGTGCCTAGGTCGCCCTGCCGGGAGCAGGACCTTGGGTTGAGTCCAGGGTATTCTCTGGTGCACACTCTAACACGGATGGTTCTTTTGGGGTGTTCTGCTTTGTACTGAACACCTCAAGGGATAGGAAAGACGATCCCATTTCAAGAGGTGTGTCCTAAAGGCATCGGCTAGCAGCAAAGGGCCCAGCTGGAGTGGGGCCAAGTGAGAAATTGGTCATCTGAGGCCTAGCAAGGAGCCTTCTGAGGAGCCCCAAGGCTGCACTGGCCCCACAGCAGCTGGTACCGAAGGAGCCTCTGCACAGGGGCGTGATCTTGGGGTCCAGACTTTCCCTCAGGCAACTGGGATAAGCCTGTACCCCTGGGCTGGTCCTTATTACTGGGGGTTCTTCTGCGAGCATACTGCCAGGGGAGCACAGTTGGGATAGCCCAGGTGGCTTGGGGGTTAAGGATCGAGGCTGCTTTGGGGGGCTGCCTTGCACTAGCCCTTTACCCCCAGCTTCTGGGAAGTGAAAGAGGCAGGGCATTAGAGAGAGGGTAAGCTGTGGGGAGCCCGGGACCCGGACGCTCACCTCGGCCGTGCTGGGCCCTGCAGGTGGGATGCTATGGAATATGATGAGAAGCTGGCTCGCTTCCGGCAGGCCCACCTCAACCCCTTCAACAAACAGCCTGGACCAAAGCATCATGAACAGGAACCCAGTGAGAAGGCCCAAGAAATCACTTCCGAAGGTGAGCATCTGTGCAGGGTGAGGGCTGTGTAGACTGTCTGACACTTTAATTCATTTGCTTTCTTTACCAGAGTGGACACTCAAGAGCATTGGTTCTCGACCTGTGGGTTGTGACCCCTTTGGGTGGGGCTTAACAACCCTTTCACAGGGGTCACCTAGGACCATCAGGAAATACAGATCTTTACATTGTGGCTTATAACAGCAGCAAAATTACAGTTGTGAAATAGCAATGAAAATAGTATTTTGGTGGGTGGTCACCACAGCATGAAGGGCTATTTTAAAGGGTTGCAGTGTTCGGAAGGTGGGGAACCACTGGTCTAGCGGGCAGGGGTCTGAGTCTGGAGGATCGCCGCTGAGGCCCAGGAGGTTGCTCTGTAGACATTGGAGCAAACTCGGGGCTGAGGTCTAGGGAGACGAGTCTGCCGGATGCAGTGTCTTTGGGAGGACCCTCACCTTCTTGGGTTCAGAGAGGCAGGAGGGCAGGGATTCTGGGTAGGGTAGGCAGGGGGTGCTGGGGTCAGGGTGGTTGTTAGGGTGACCACGAAGAACTTAATGAAATTTGTGGTATAGTCAGTCAGCGCTTTCCCTTCTAGCTGTTCACACAGGGAGCATCTGCCTTAGAAATTGGGATTATTTATTTGTTTATTTTGAGACTGGGTCAATCTATGTAGCCAAGGCTGGCCCCAAACTGAAACAGGTGAATCTGTGTCAGCCTCCCAGATGCTGGCCACACCCAGTTTGGGATGCTTCTATAATACTATCTTGTGGGCCACTCTGTACTTCCCAGTGTTGGTTCACAAGTCTTTTTTTTTTTCGGGGGGAGGGGAGGTTGGGGGAGGAGAAGCACACAAGAGTCAAACTTCCTACGAGAGGATCAGAAATGGGAACCCCACTTCTTCACTGGTCTTCACGTTGAGGCAGAGTCCTTTACAAATGCGGACCAGACGAAGCAAGAGTGGTGCCTGGCTTTCCCCAGCCCCCACTTTCTGTGGGCTCCCCTGCACCCCTGGCTCAGTCCTATCCAGCCCAGCTGCCTCCCTAGGTGATGAGGAGACAGAGGCTGCAGGTGGACCTCTCCATCCTTCATGCCTATGCTCTTTCTCCAGAGACCCTGCCTGAGCTGCCGGCCGGGGAACCTGACTTCTGTTTCTCTGAGCGCGTGATGGATCTCGGCCTGTCTGAAGACCACTTCTCCCGCCCTGTGGTAAGCTGTGGAGTCTGGACCCTGAGGTGTTACCCTCCTGACAGCACTTGCAGGTGGCCAGTGGTTCAGACACTCGTGAGTTGGTATAGTTTCCCTTCTGGCTAGCCACTGCCATTGGGTCCCCAAGTCACCTGTGTTTAGACTCTGCACCATTTACGGCACCCGGCCCTCATCTTCCAAATCTGAGAGTCTGGAGACAGCTTGGGTTTGAGGAAGGAGGTGAGGCTTCTCTTTCCTCCTCGGTTTCAGGATCTTCAGAAATGAGTGTGAGAATGGAGACTGTGTGGAGTCCCCAGGTGTCTTGTATAAATGGTACTTTGCAGTGCCGTGCTGTCCGGCTTATTCTATATTATGTTCAACAGAGGCTTGTTTTGAAGAGAAAAAACGAAGTATGTTTGAAAGCCCTTTAGTTTTGTGCAAAGCATCTCTACCTTATTTGAGAGAAACAGGGTAAATTTATCTATCTATCTATCTATCTATCTATCTATCTATCTATCTATCTATCTAGTATGTTCAGACAGGGCTTCTCTGTAGCGATGGCTGAAACTCTGTAGACCAGGTTGGCCTTGAATTCAGAGGTCCACCCACCTCTCCCTGTGCTGAGATTAAAGGTAATCCTTTAAACCTCTGAAGGTGGTGATCCAGCCTTCAACTTGCTCTATGGCACAGGCTGGTCTTGACTGTTTTATCCTTCTGCCTCAGCTTCTGAGGTAGTTGGATTGCATGTCCACGTCATTCAGCCCAGAGAGTCTGACATCTTTTGTAATGTGTCTTGCTCACACTTCTGCTTAGCCACAAAGTGAGCTCCAAAGAGGAAGGACATCACTACCTTTCTGCCTGAGCCTTTAGGAAGGCTATCACATGGAAGGAGGAGGGTATCTTAGCACAGAGTCGGGTGACCTTCCCAGTGGAAGCAGAGCCTTCTAGGTGTGGCCTTAGCCAGACTCAGAGCTTCTGGGTCAGTGTACGAGGAAAGCACCCAGAAGTGTTGAGTCTGGGGTGAGTGTGCACAGTTAGGCTGCTTTGCTAGCTTCCTTTAAGCCTTCCTCATTTTCTCAACTTTTCTTTTTAGAAATGAAACAGCACAACTAAAAAAGCTATGGTGGAAGGGTTTCTAAAGAGGAAGTGTCTACTTGTGTGTGCAATCTTGGGGGCCTCTGGAATGTTAGATAAGCATGCTGGGAGCAACACCCCTTGCTCTTGGAAGTCATGCCCAAGACAGGGTTTCTCTGTGCAGCCCTGGCTGTCCTAGAACTCACTCTACAGACCAAACCAGCCTCAAACTCAGATCGGCCTGCCTCTGCTTCCCGAAAACTGGGATTAGAGTTGTGAGCCATCAGGCCCTGCATTTTTTAATTTTTTTCTTAATTGTGTGTTTGGTGTATGTGTCTTACACAGGCTCATGTGTATATGACACGTGTAGAGGCCAGCTGTCAATGTCAGGTGTCTTCCTCTATTGCTATCCACCTTACGATCTATCTGTCTATCTCTCTCTCTCTATCTATCCATTTATTTTTTCTTTTTTGGGTTTCTCCGAGACAGGGTTTCTCTTGGTTTGGCTTAACTTGGCTGTCCTAGAACTAGCTCTGTAGACCAGGCTGGCCTTGAACTCTTAGAGATATATCTGCCTCTGCCTCCCAAGTGCTAGGATTAAAGGTGTGTGTCACCATCTGGTTTCTCTCATCTCTTTGAGATAGGGTTTCTCTGTGTAGCCCTGGCCGACCTGGAACTCACTCTGTAGGGCAGACTGGCCTTGGATTGATTGGAGATTCGCTTGCCTCACTTGCTCTGCCTCATTTATTTGTTTACTTTGAGACAGTCTCTCACTGACCTGGAGCTTACTTGTTCAACAAGAATAGCTGTCCAAGGAACTTCAGGCATCATCCTGTTTCCATTTCCCCAGCGCTGGGATTACAGATGTGGCCAGCATTTGCTCTGTGTGCTGGGGGGTCATACAGATGTGGCCAGCATTTGCTCTGTGTGCTGGGGGTCATACAGACGTGGCCAGCATTTGCTCAGTGTGCTGGGGGTCATACAGATGTGGCCAGCATTTGCTCTGTGTGCTGGGGGTCAGACTTGCGTGGGAAGCAGCACCTTACTGATTGGGTCATCTCCCCATCTCCCCAGCCCCTTGTTTTCTCTTTAAGATGGTCTCAAGTAGCTCAGGTTGGTTTCAAACTTGTTATGTAGCTGAGGATGACTTTTAGCTCCTCCCCCCCCCCCCTTTTTTTTTTTTTTTTTTTTGTTTTTTTGAGACAGGGTTTCTCTGTGTAACAAGCTTTAGCTGTCCTTGACTTGCTTTGTAGACCAGGCTGGCCTCGAACTCACAGAGATCTGCCTGCCTCTGCCTTCCTGAATGCTGGGATTAGAGGCTTGTACCCCCAAGCTTGGCTGTTTGCTTTTGTAAGACAGGGTTTCTCTGTGTAACCCTAGCCGTCCTGGAACTCACTATGTAGACCAGGCTGGACTCAAACTCAGAGATCCACTTGCCTCTGCCTTCCCAGTGCTGGATTAAAGGAGTACGCCTCCACTGCCTGGTGTGTGGGTTCTTATGTGTCCCTCACTCTCCTGGGCCTTGAGCTTGTCTTCATCTGGGTAGGAAGCTGAGGCCTGCTCTGTCCCTTACTCATGAGGACAGGCTCACCTTCCACTGGGAGGCACTTCCAGGCGGCCCTCTGAGCGCTGCATTCCAACCTGGGTAGGGTCTCTTCCTGGCCTCTGACGTGGAGCAGCTGCGGCAGGCGATAGAAGAATGCAAGCAGGCGATCCTGGAGCTGCCCGAGCAGTCGGAGAAGCAGAAGGATGCCGTGGTTAGGCTGATCCACCTCCGGTTGAAGCTGCAGGAGCTGAAGGTGCGTGCTGACCTGCTCTCCCTCAGAGAGCTGGAATGACGGGAGGCTGCGGGACAGCGAGGTCTCCACTCCTCCTGAGGTGGCTCTTCCCTGTTTGCTGAGAGGCCAAGGCAGGGGTGGAAAAGCCAGGTGAAAGCAGAGGCTAGCTGCTTCCCTGATAGGACAGCCCCTCTTGATTGGGAGGAGCCAATCTAAGGAGCTTACAGCGAAAAAGAATTGTTTTGTTAACCGTTTGCGTGGAGGGGAGCTTCCACAGTGTCTTTCTTTCTGCCTGGTGTTTAGTCAACCTTCAGGCATCACTCAGAGGTGGCGGAGATGGCCTCGGCAATTGATACCCGTCTTCCCACAAGTCCTTCTCAGTGTGGGCAGCTCAGTCAGGACTGATTGGCTAGGCCTGGGTCACAAGCTTAGGAAACATTCACAGTGATTGGCTAGAAATATGTGCTCATTCCTGAAACCGTCACAGCCGTGGGTTAGTTTTGTGATCACCTACAGAGACAAGTGTGTTGACCAACTCCTCTTTGAGTTGTATGACCTAGGAGGGGAGATCACCTGAGCGTGTCAACCAGAGGAGATGGTGTGTCACGGAATCCAAACCCCACGGAAGTTCAGGATCAGTCCTGAGTCTGTGGTTTTTGGCTCGGCTGTGACCGTGCTCCCTGTCCCGACTCTGGGCCTCTGGGAGTTTAAAGCGCAGTATTGATTAGGAAATAGGTGAAGATATGCGTGGTAGGAAGCACATCCCAAGAGACAGTGGTTCAAGGAGATATACGTGTAGTTTTCCTCAAGAAAACTGCATAGTTGCTCCAGGCAGCAGCCAGAAATCTCAGGACCCTGAGGCATTCTTTCTGCTACTCTGCCAGATCCTGAAGGGAGCGCAAGGCACCCGGCCGAAACAAGGGCCGGAAGGGCGGAGGTACCTGCCCTCCTGTCTACAGCCCCTGGGTGCAAAGAGGCTGGAGAAAGTTGTGTGTGTTCTCAAGGGTTGATACCTAATTTAGTTGCTGAAGAGAGACGGGAACATGCATAGGCTGACACTCAGAATCTCTGCAGCAGGCAGTGCCTGGAAGGCCTGGGTTGGGGATCTGGCACGAAGGGGAGGAGCTGCAGCTTAACTCACCCGGGACTGTGCTATTACTTTGCCCCGCAGGATCCCAATGAGGAGGAGCCCAATATCCGGGTTCTCCTGGAGCACCGCTTCTACAAGGAGAAGAGCAAGAGTGTCAAGCAGACCTGCGATAAGTGCAGCACCATCATCTGGGGCCTCATCCAGACCTGGTACACCTGCACAGGTGGGCCACGGCCCAGACCCCTCCCGCCCAAGCTCTGCTCCCAGACTCTAGACTGGGCCGATGGCAGAGCTTGCTGTGCCGGAGATGAGGGGAGACCAGCGTGCCCGCCTTTGCTGGCCCCGCGTGCGTCTAGATCTGAGCTGTTTAGTATAGTGGCGAATCACAGGGTGGCTTTAAAGTGTAAGTCCGCCGAGTTGAATCCTCGGTTTAGTGTCTCTACTGACTTTACAAATGCTCAGTGGCCGCGTGAGCCTGGAGGCTACTCTATTGGGAAACGCGGAGAAAACCTCATAGAATGATGGTTCTGTGTGAGAAACCGGATTGGGAAATGACATGCTGTGCTGGGAAAGGAACATGGAGAGGGAGTAATGTTTATAGGGTACAGTGGGTGTTATATTTGGTAGAATGAAAAGACTCTCGTGACAATTTTAGCGAGCCCTTGGAGGTCAGCCAGGAGTGAATCTAAGGATGAAGGATGCTGTATGGGGGAATCCTATGTGCAAAGGTTGATATGTGTCCATTGCCTCTGAGAGGAGCATCGTGGCTAAGGGGCGGCGTAATTGAGGTACTTACAGGAGACCAAGGGTGTTTCTGTATGTGCAGTGAGGGCTGCAAAGCTGAGCAGAAGGGAGGAGAGGATAGTTTCTGGTGAAGGTTGAGTCCTGAGTGAGAAGTGGTTGAGGTCAGTGCTGAGGAGTCAGGGTGACTTAGGTCGTATCTTAATCCCAGAAGGGTGGAGCTGCTGAAACCTGAGATGGGAAGTGGGAGAGGACAGTTGAGATGTAAGCGAGGAAATGTTACTGGATAGTTGGGGTTTGATGGATGCTGATGGAACGTTGCCTCTAGATGTGTGAGTCACGAATTAAGACAAAGCTTGGGGTCCAGACACATGAGGACCGTTGAGATGCTGAGACAGGCAGTAGTCTGGGGAGAAAGTCTTAGCTGCTGTGATCACCGGAGGGCGGAGCCGATTGAGGGGGGGAGTCCAGCTGAAGGTCCTCCTAGGCCGAGGCGATCCACACAGTTTTTGAGAGATATGTGTGTTTTCCTACTGCAGGGTGTTATTATCGGTGTCACAGCAAGTGCCTGAACCTCATCTCCAAACCCTGTGTCAGCTCCAAGGTCAGCCACCAGGCTGAGTATGAGCTGAACATCTGTCCCGAGGCCGGGCTGGACAGCCAGGACTACCGCTGTGCGGAGTGCCGCGCCCCCATCTCTCTGCGTGAGTGAAGGAAGGGGTCTCCTTCCACCCAGAGCACAGTGCAGAGCTGATCCAGGAAGGGCGCCTGCTTGTTGTGGGAGAAAATTGTCCTAAAGCAGCTGAGTGGGGGCCTGGGGCCAGTGCGGTCCATGCGCCTTGGTTGGCATGAGGAAGGGAGGTTACTGGCATCCCTTCAGTTCCCATGGGAACAGGCAGCTTCTGGCTGTTCTGTGGCTTATCTAGGTCTCTTTCGGGCTAGTCTCTCATCTCTGACTTCAGCACCTCAACTCAGAGACAAGGACTAGGGGAAAACAGCCAACCAACCAAACGAATGAACACTATAGCTCTGGGGATGTGAGTCAATAGAAGGATGCTTGCTCCGACTATGTAAGGCTCTCGGTTCTGTCCCAGAGCTGCAGAAGAAAAGAAAATGTGGCAAAATAACCACATCCTAGAGTTGGAAATATTAGCTGTTGACTTACGGGGTCCGTTCGGGGGTTCTTTCTGTCTTACCTCACTGATGAGCAGGCAGGGTGCTGAGACACCGAGGGTGACTTAGGGCGTCTCGGGGAGAACGGGTAAGTCAAGTCCAGAGGGCAGACCCCCTAGCTCAGCTCACTCTCTCCTGCAGCCGTGGAGAGGGAAGATGGACCACACGGTGTCAGCCCTTGGGCATGGGAGGCAGACCTGAGTCCCCATTGGCTACCCTGACCTTGTAACAACCCGGCCCCCACAGGAGGCGTGCCCAGCGAGGCCCGGCAGTGTGACTACACTGGCCAGTACTACTGCAGCCACTGCCACTGGAACGACCTGGCCGTCATCCCCGCACGAGTGGTGCACAACTGGGACTTTGAGCCACGCAAGGTTGGGTTTTGGAGGTTGGGGGTGGGGAGCAGGGCGAAGGGGGAGAAGGGGCAGTCCCAGCCCGGTGCACTGCTCACTCAGCTCTCCTGCAGGTGTCCCGCTGCAGCATGCGCTACCTGGCGCTGATGTTGTCTCGGCCGGTGCTCCGGCTCCGAGAGATTAACCCTCTGCTGTTCAACTACGTGGAAGAGCTGGTGGAGATCCGGGTGAGGCCAGGCCCCTGTTAGTCCGGGATGGCTTTGTCTCCCTGTGGGAGGTTTTGTTTAGTCTTGTCTTGTTTTTGTTTATTTGGTTTGGTTTTCCAAGACAGGGTTTCTCTGTGTAGCCCTGGCTGTGTAGTGCCTGGCTGTCCTGGCACTCACTGTGTAGACCAGGCTGGCCTCAGACTCAGAGATCTGCCTGCCTCTGCCTCCCAAGTGCTGGGATCAAAGGCGTGGGCCACCACTCCTGGTTCCTATGGGAGGTTTTGAGCGGAGGGTCTGCTCCTTTCACAGGCCTCTTTGTTATCTGTTGGAGCAGAAGTGTTACAACCATAGAGACAATGTTAAATTCTCCAATAATCTCACTGAAAACGTAGGGTGGTGTTTCATCCCTGTGATGTTAGCATTGGGGAGCTGGGGAAGGAGGATCATCAGGGTGAGGTCAGCCTGAGCTCCAGTAGTCAGAGCCTGTCAGAAAGTGTGTTGTGTGTGTGTGTGTAAGAGAGAGACAGTTTTAATTCTATTCATTAATCAACCATCTATCCATCAATCTATCTATTGATATGTCAGTCTATCTATCTATCTGTCTAGGTGGGCATGTAGCTCAGTTGTCAGAATGCTAGTTTAGATGCAGGAAGCAGAGGGTTCAGTTCCAGGATTGCATAGATCTGGCATGGAGCATGCAGTTCATGCTGACCTTGCATTTGATATATAGCTGAGGTTGGTCTTGAACTCCTGACCCTCCTGTCTCTCTCTCCCAAGTGTGGGATTACAGCAGGTATAATCTAATAGCATGTTTTCCTCAGACCAGTAGAACCAAAACATTATTATAATATACAATCAACATACAAAGTTGCCAAGATATTTTATTCTTTTTTGTGTTCTCGATGACTTTGAATTCTAGTATGGATGTACCCTATACTTAGAGCAATCCAGGTGAAGACTGAGCATTTTCAGCAGCGCTATGTGGCTTTTGGCCAGCCGTAGCCAAAAGTTAGAAATCAGCAGACACTGTAGTTCAGGCAGGAAGTGATGTCATGAACAAATAGTAGAAAGATCTTCCATGTTTTAGGGGAGGAGCCTGAGGCAGAGCAGGATGAATGGTCAAGGCCAAGGTACTGATGAGGGATATGGGACCTGCCTAGGGCTTTGGATGCGGCTCAGCCCATCCTGGGGCAGTAGGGTGGGCTCACTGTTTGTGAAATGGGCTAAGTAACTTGCAAGGGAGATCTCAAGAGCAGCATGTGATGAACCTCAGGTTCCAGTGTAGCTCAGAACTGATTTGCTCTTGAGGTAGGATAAACCAATCAAATGTAGGACCACCTGGTGGAATCTGAGGGTACCTTCCCCAGTCCCTACTGACCCCCAGTGTAAGGAGAAGCCACCCTGTGAGCCTGGCCCCCTGAAGCCAGTACAGAACCAGCCCCTTAGCCTTCCAGAAGCAGCTGTGGCGTCAGCGTGCCACGGCTGACATGCCCACCTGTTGCCTGTGTCCACAGAAGCTGCGCCAGGACATCCTGCTCATGAAGCCATACTTCATCACTTGCAAGGAGGCCATGGAGGCACGGTTGCTGCTGCAGGTCAGATTGCTAGAGGGACAGGTCTCCGACAGCCAGAGTGATGGAGGCCTTCATGCTCAGATTTGTCAGATAACACAGTAGATGTTATGCTTCTAGCAGCCTTCCAAACGGTTTGCTCTGGGAATGTCACATCTAGAACAAGCTGTCAGATAGTCTACATACAACAGTGTTCTCTGATGATGTCAGTTTGGGAAACTAAGGTAAATGATTACTGTGTTTAGCCTTCATGGAGATTAGCCTCCCCCGGCAGGTTGAACAAAATACAAGTTGTTTTATTTTTGTTTTTGTTTTTGTTTTTTCCAGACAGTGTTTCTCTGTATATCCTTGACTGTCCTGAACTTGCTCTGTAGACCAGGCTGGCCTCAAACTCACAGAGATATACCTGTCTCTGCCCCCCTGAGTGCTGGGACTACAGGCATGCACCACGCCCAGCTTAAAATGCAAGGTTTTTGTTGTTGTTGTTTTTATTAGTTAGTTAGTTTGTTTGTTTTTGAGACAGAGTTTCTCTGTGTAGCCTTGGCTATCCTGGAACTCACTCTGTAGACCAGGCTGGCCTCAAACTCACAGAGATCTACCTGCCTCCCATGTGCTGTGATTAAAGTCATTACTCCTGGCCAAAATACAAGTCTTAAGACTCAGGTACTGCTTCACTCACTAAGTAATCTCAGACACTGGTCTAAATTATGGGAACAATGAGCAAGACAGGCCCTTGGAGAGTGGCCAGTGGGTCAGGAAGGCAAGGGAAAGCAGGTAATATGTCAGGGTGTGGGCGCTGCGTCCAGAAGCAGGACGTGTAAGAGGTGGGAAGAAAAGGAAGCTGTTAAACAGCCCAGGAAGAGGCAGCCTTGGCAGGGCGAGCAGTGGGGACAGGTGGGGTGTGCTGAACAGCCACTGTGGCTGGAGGGACACGATAGGTGTGTGCAATGGGGGCACACGCACATCAGGAAGTGTTGCTTAGGCTGTATATCTTCCCCTGGCCTCTCCAGGTTCTTGGGGTTCCCAAACAGAACCCCTGTGAGACCTGTGGCTTCCACTCGAACCCTGGGCCCTGATATCAGGAGGGGCTGTGGGTGGCGAGTGGGGGACTTTGCTTTGCACTCGTCTTCACGCCTGCTGGGTCTCAGCAGCTCCAGGACCGACAGCATTTTGTGGAGAATGATGAGATGTACTCTATCCAGGACCTCCTGGAGGTCCACTTGGGCCGGCTCAGCTGCTCGCTCACCGAGACCCACACGCTCTTCGCCAAGCACATCAAGCTGGACTGTGAGGTAGGCCTCCCTGTCCCCTCGGGAGTCACGGCCCTGTCTAGAGCAGTCTCCAAGCTGCTCTGCCCACCAGCCCCAGGGGCCAGGACTGGCGATGCCCATCACACTGATTCCCTTTTCTGGTTTTGTTATTTTTTGAGACAGGGTTTCTCTGTGTAACCTTGGCTGTCCTGGTCACTTTGTAGACCAGGCTGGCCCTAAACTCACAGTGATCCTCCTGCCTCTGCCTCCTTGAGTGCTGGGATCGAAGGTGTGCACCACCACGCCCGGCTCACTGATACCCTTTTCAACAGCGGTGCCAAGCCAAGGGGTTCGTCTGTGAGCTCTGCAAAGAAGGTGACGTGCTGTTCCCGTTTGACAGCCATACATCAGTGTGCACCGACTGTTCAGCTGTCTTCCACAGGTGGGTGTGGCCTGTGACACTCTCGGGCAGGGTGCTCAGGCTCCTCCCTTGTCCTCTGCGGCCCTGCCCCTGTCACTGCTGCCCTTGGGAGAAGAGACATGTGCCTGATTTTTTACTGTCTGGCTTTCAGAGCCGCTTGCCCTGGTGTCTATGCCTAAATTAAAAGTTCTGTTAAGGGGCTGGGAATGTGGCCTAGTGTGCATGGAACCTTGGGCTTGATTTCTAGCACAGAAGAGAGCTAAGCATAGCGGTACAGGCCTATAATCTTAGCACTTGGAAGGCAGAATCAGGAGGATCAAAGTTCAGTCATCCTGAGCCACACGGCAAGTTTGAGGCCAGCTTGAACTACATGAGACCCTGTCACAAGAAAAAAAAGTTCCGTTAGGAATGATCACCCGTGCTCAGCCACTGCAGCCCAAACTATGACCTCTGCAGCCTTCCTGGTCCTGACTTGCCCATGGAACCAGCTCAATGCTTGGTTCTGCTCCTGCATCAAAGTTGCTCCTTCTGGATCAGTACAGGCCAGATGGTCCCAAACCTGCACCTCTCTTCACGCTTGAATAGGGAAACAAGCTTTTTAAAAAATATTTCTTTGTTTTTTATTTTATGTGCACTGCTGTTTTGCCTGCATATATGTCTGTATGAGGGTGTCAGACCTGGAGTTACAGACAGTTGTGAGCTGCCATGTGGGCACTGGGAATTTAACCTGGGTCCTCTGGGAGAGTAGCGAGTGCTTTTCACCACTGAGCCTTCTCTCCAGCCCCTCCAATAGAAAATGTTTTAAAAAAGGAGCCTGCAGAGCCATGTTATATGTACTTTGACACACAGTTTGGGAAGCACCAAGGACAGAAGTTTCACACTGTCAGCATGTGATAGTGATGGCTGACTAAGTCAGAGCTCAGCAGGTAAAGGAGCGTGTGCTAAGCCCAGGGACTTGAGCTTGACCCCTGCAGCCTGCACGGTGGAAAGAGAGCCACCTCCTGCCAACTATTCCTGTGTTCCACACATGGCATGTATGTGCCTTTGCCTGTGCAGGAACACACACGTGCAGATAAAAGCTTGGAGCCTGAGTCTGCCGGTAGGAGTCCTGCCTCTTTAGTGGAGGCCAGCATCTGCACACCAGGCACTGTGGTGAATCATGCTGGGATGCTGATTCTGCCCCTGCTCTATGGCTGTGAGGGGCTCTGGGCTTGATTGCCTGTTTGCAGAAAGACATTGAGAGCTAGCCTGGGAAGTAAGGGTTTCCGGACAGAGCCCAGCCTGTCTTTCTAACCGTAGGGACTGCTATTATGACAACTCGACCACGTGCCCCAAGTGTGCCCGGCTCAACCTGAGGAAGCAGTCACTGTTCCAGGAACCTGGTCTAGATATGGATGCCTAGAACCCCAGAGGAGAGCGCCAGGCACTGTCTCTGCCTGTCACCCTGCTGGCATTGCCAACCAGATATTCATTCTACCCCGGAGACTCCTGAGTGCGTTCTCCGGACCTCTTCTGGGCCAGAAGGAAGTGACTAGTGGCCATGGCACTCTCAGTTCCCGGGTGCTTGCTGAGACTTGGAGTGTCTATACCTGGCTGTTTATTGGGTTTGCTGCTATAAAGGGACAAAATGCTGCCTGTGCCCCACTGTAGGGCTCCTTAGGCGGGGGAGCCTGGGTGTGGCTCCCCGAGAGAGGGGGGAAGTCCCTTTCCTATGGCACAGAGCCCTCCAGGACATTACAATGAATTCTTCTGCGCCATAGAGATGGCCCTGGCCCTGTCTAGACCACCCTAACGACTGGTCGCCCACTTCAGAGGCCTGCCCAGTGAGACCAGAGGATGCCGCCTGAGGTTTAGCTCTCCATGGATGACTTGGCTTCTGCGAAGAGGCTCCCATCCCTCTTAGCACCTTGTCTCCTTGGGGGCCTCAGGTGTCCTCTGACTGGGGCTGTTCATGACGGTGTCCCACAGATCTTCCCAGCACCCCGAGGGTCATCGCCACTGGTGTGTCAGTGCTGTGTTTCCCCCTTTTTGTACCATCGGGAGGGAAGGGGAGGAGTCTGTGGGGCTTCTCTTGGAAGGTGCCCCTGTTTCTGCCATAGCCTAGTCCACTTTATCCTGGTGCTTTGAGCTGGGCAGCTAGGGGCCCATCTGAAGGAAGACATCTCAGCCTCCAGTTACATACATGGGGAAGTTCAAAGGCAGGTGAGCCTGTCAGCTATCATTGACCTATGTGGCATCGGGGGGACAGATTTTCCCACAGAGGTCTGTTCTATTGCTGAAGTGCTCTGCCTGCAGATGGCCAGTGTCTTGAGTTTTGATTTAGGAGCCTGGGGCCAAGAGCTAGAAATATTTGCTGGAGCAAGACCCAAGCAGGAGGTCTATGGCCCATGCAGAGAGGTCCAGGCTTCAAAGGTGGGTAGGACCCACAGGTGTCCATGGAAGCACCTTCCACCTGTGTGCACACACCCCATAAATCCTATGGTTGAAGGGGTGCGGGGTGGAGGGGATCTCAAAACATGACTTCTGTCTTTCTTCCCTGGGAAGCTGGAAGTTGCCTGCACTCCTCACCTGTGAACTGCTGTTGACACACGCAGGTGTCAGAGGCCAGGGAGTGTCACAATTTGGATTGCCCTCACTTTTATGAGGCACAAGGAGGAACACCTTAACCAGCACGTTGAAGCTTTGCTGGCCTGTCTGAGGGATGGACGGACATGCCGCCACCTCCTTGCTCTGCTTTACCATAGGGTGGCTTTACTCTTGGCTGTCTTTCCTGTTTCCGTTTTCCCATATGGAAAATGAGAAAAGTGGAGTTGACCTACCTCGGGTGAGAGAGTCGAGACTCCTTTGGGTGTGATGGGGTCAGCAATTGGGTCCTGTCCTGCTTCCTCTTTGGCATTAAAGAGGGTCTTAAAACCAAATGCCATTTTCCTACACCCCCAAATCTGTGTGTTTTCTTACCATTGTATCACATTCTGTCCTGTGGTTACTGGCCCTTCCTCAGCCTCCTGTGTAATCAATACCACACGCTTCCAACTATAAATCATAGTGTCTAAAGAAAGCATTACTAGTCTGGCATTTGTTCACCAAAGTGTTGGGTCCCTCTAATGATACACTCCAAACATTTCTCAATACCTCTTTTCTACCATTGTCTTTAGAGTGATGCAGATTTTGGTAGAGTCATTTGTAGGTCCTTCCATGAGTTCACACTTGGAAAGAAGATTTTGGCCAGCAGAAGCAGCCCATTTGCATGGCCAACACTTTAGGGAAGGGTACACCCAGCATGAAACCAGGCGGGCAACAGGGGTCCCAGAGTCACAGCAATGCCACTGCCATCTTAGTGTCTAATTACAGGGTATCTGGACTGGTGTATGGTGGATCTGGGAAAAAGAAGGATTAAATGACACACAAGACAGTTACAAGTTTAGGAAAACAGTTTAGCCTTCCATATTTCAGGGGCTTGTGATATTTGGGTGAAATAATATTTAGGGATTTGTTGGGAGAAACATTTATGTTGGTGTCAGACAAGGCCCGTGCCTGCTCCGATGATGCGTAGGGAAATTTCCCGGTATTTCTTTGTCTTCATTTGGGTGCGGTGGACTGTCCACACATGCACACTTGGGGTTTAGGTTCCAGGAATTATTCCACATGTCTCGCTGTTACACATATACTCGGCAGAGAACGCTCTGTAACGGGCGCTATGAACCAGCCAGCTGCAGGAAAAGCGCCATTGCTGCAGTCTGAGGCCGCTACCTTTGCCTTTGACTCGTGGTTTTCAATGTGCTGCCTCCCCCGGAGGAGCTACTAGCACTCTTCCAGGAAGTCCCAGCATGGCGGGCCACCCCAGAAGTCCCAACACTTCAGAGGCAGAGAAGGGAATACTCGGAGTCAGAGGTCAGCTTGGGGTGCATGGTGGGATAATGTCTTACCATCACCCCCAGTGAGACGCCCTCAAACAATTCCCGTCGGAATAGGCTAGTGTGCTTTTATTCTATGCTGGAGAGAAGCCAGACACCCCACAACCTGGGGGTATTTCTCTCCTGTTGGCATACCCACAGCACAGAAGACTTGGGTGAGGTGCTCAGGCCTCCATTACAGTTGGGGGGCCGCAGCTACACTTTGGATGTCCTCCATCTAGGAATGTACTTCTTTTCTTTCAGATTTCAGGTGTTTGTTTTGCTTCAATGCCTGTATTTCAAAATAGGCAAAACTTCCTATTCGTCCATTTTCTGGATTCCCTAAATGTTAACATGTTGCCTGATTTTTTTTTAAATTTATTCTTTATTTTTTTCTCTGAGTGTATGTGCATGCATGTATGTTATTAATTTTCTGACACTTCTCCTTCTAAATTCACATTTATATTCCTCTAGAATATTTCTTTCAGAGGCTGGAGAGTTGACTCATCAGTTAAGAGCACTTGTTGCTCTTGCAGAGGACCTAGGTTCAATTCCCAGTGCCCACATAGCAGCTCAAACCCATTTTTAATTCCAGTCCCATTGGATCTGATGCCCTCTTCTGATTTCCATAAGCATTAGGCAAAAATGTGCACATTCATACTTGCAGGCAAAATATTCATACACCTAAAATAATAAAATACATGAATTTAAAAATATTTTTCAGCCAGGCATGATGGTGCACACCCTTAGTCCTAATACTCAGGCCTAGCACTTGGGAGGGGAGGCTGGCCTGGTCTATAGAGCAAGTGCCAGGTCAGAGCTACACAGAGAAACCCTGTTCTGAAAAAAAAAAAAAAAAAAAAAAACAAATAGATAAATAAATAAGATATTTCTTCAACTATCAAAGGAAACTAACATTGACATTAAGGTCTTATTCACCGGGCATGGTGGTGCAAGCCTTTTATCAGCATTCAGGAGGCGGAGGCAGGAGGATCTCTGAGTTTGAAGGCCAGCCTGGTCTGCATAGTGAGTTCCAGGACAGCCGGGTGGTGTATAGACAAGGCGCATCAAAAAAACCCAACCCAAACCAGAAAGGTCTCTTCACACTGGTAAAAAGAGCTGGTCTACATCATGAGGCCTTGGGTTTGGTCTCTAGCACTGCCTTTGCCCAGGCATTGGTACCTTTGAAACACAGTCATAGTGCGGGGAACAAGCCGAAGAAACTTACTCGAAGTACTACCATCCCTTTCCAGACTCCATTTAATCACAGGGAGAAACTAAGTTCAAGGTCCCAGGTCCTAGGGGGGGCTGGGGACTTACCGAAAGCGGAATCGGTTCTGTTGTAAGGACAATGCTGCAGCTTCCCCTGCTCCGCCGCACTTAAGGTTTCATCCTTTAACTATGCTGTACAATGTCCCTTCAGCGTCACAGTTCAGCTCTGATCGACCACTAGCAGCTAGATCACAATAAAATCTTGCCATCTGCATTGACCTGGTGTTTGAGGACCCCACAACATTAGCAGCCTCGAGCTTTCAGAATGTTGTGGTTACACCAGGCTACCGTTGCAGAACTCGGGTACATGCAGATGCCCACGAAGGAGCACAATAGGTCTTGTGTAGCCCCACTGTCCAGAAACTGGTTCGTTCTGCATTCCCAGGCAGGCCTGATGCGCCTCTCTAGTGCCCAAATCTCTGGTCAGGACAGCCGCAGGCAAATCAAAACTGACGTGACTCCATAAATCAACCAGCTAACCAATCAAAAATAAACACAGGTCTACGAGGGGGAACAATGAGGTAAGACGTGTACCGAACAGTTTTGGTTCTGTTTTGTTTTTGACTGTTTTTTGGTTCATGAGAGGTGTCGGAGCACGTCTAGACTGGATGCGAAATACCGAGAACCCCTCTAACGGGTGGTCCACGCACGAAGGGGAGAAGTAGGGCTCTAGGAGTTGAGGTCCGAGATCCGCTTCACGCCGACGACCCACCCAAACCATTAGTGTCGTTGACAATGCCAAACTTAAAATACGTCTAGACGCCCTTATGGCCTAGGTCAAGTTGGCTGTGGGCCACTTGTCATCAGCCATCAGGCAGCTCAAGGCGACGCTCTTGGTCTGGATCGTAAACAGTGCGGCCACTAGGAGCGAGGGTGGGGGGAAAAAGAGGGTCCCAGGCAATGCCGGGGCCTGCCGCGCATGCGCGCGCCCAGGGGCGTGGCGCACCTTGACCCGCCGGCTGCGCGTGCGCGCGCCCAGGCGGCGCGAGGTCAGGGCGGGGGGATGTTACTCCGGCTGGTGGGGGCGGCGGGCAGTCGGGCCCTGGCCTGGCCTTTCTCCAAACTGTGGCAATGTGGCGGGTGCGCAGGAGGCGGCGGGACGGTGTGGAGCAGCGCGAGGCCCCGTGGCACCGCTGGGCAGGTGAGCAGGGAGGCGCTGTGTCCAGGTTCCTTGCGCCGTGATGGGGGTTGGGCTGGGCGTCTCCGTGACGTCATCAGTCTGCGGCTGGGTCGAGCCGCGCAGCCGCTTCCGGGTTTCCTCAGACTCCAGCAGGGTCTGCCTACCGCTGGTCCTAATACTTTGGCGGGTGGAGAGTGCGATGTAGCCTTTATTTGGCTACTTGTATGTATGTGTATGGATAGACTTTATTCATTAAGGAGGCGTAGGTCTCCATCCTAGGCAGAGAAAGATGGCTACCATGGGGTTCCCGCCATTGATGCTTCCTTCTTAGGTAGTTTGGCCTTACTACATATTTTACTACCCACCACGGAGTGTGCGTCTGCCGTTATAGTAAGGAGGCTCACCATTGAGAAAGATAGGTATGCTGGAACCGTGCTGAGTCTCCATCTTCAAATAGAGCTGTGTTATTACTCATCACGGGGCCATAGAGCTGTTCAGACTCAGCTCGGCTTTGGTCCTGTTGTTCCCCATTAATATGATAATAGTGTTGTGTAACTTCCCATGAGCAAATGTCTATTTACCCTAGACAGGACGCTCATTGATGAGTCAAAGAAATTATTCCATTCCTCTAGCTCTGTGAACCAGTGAGCTTATTGGAATTAACTCCGGGAGCACTGGGGGAAGGGTTATCTACAGGAGTGACTCAAAAGTAGTTTCATCATTAAAAGGCCCACGCGTAGGTGACAACCCGAGGAAAAACTGCATCCCTGCGTCACCCTGCTAAACCTGCTATCGGTGCCACTGGAGAGCCACCCACACCCACACACCGGCAGTTGTTTAACTGCCTGTGTAGTTTTGGGATGGATTTTTTAAGTTCCTGAGCATAAGGTTTATGAGCTTCTTGAGTTTGAAGAGCTGCCCTCCTCTCTCCAGGAGGGAATCTTTGCGTTCGGTTTTAGTGCTGTCATCTGCAGAGTCATGTCCAGTGTGGCAGATCCTGTTCTGGGAGTTGACCTAGTGACCTAGTGAAGATCAGCCATATAGTGAACCTTACAGATTGTTACAGCTCAGGCAGTTCGGAGTCATTGAGCTGCCGTGGACTGATGTCTTTGTGAAAGAAGTATGTTGAGTGGTCTCTGAGTTGGTCATGAGACTTTTCCTGGTGAGACATGACTCAGACAGGTCATCAGAGCGCACCCAAGCACGGGAGACAGGCAGCACACAAAACTGGAAACCAGTGACCTTTCCTGGTGGCTCAGTTGGTCTGAGCCTCTTCTCTGCTTCTGCCAGGCAACAGGGCTTTTCTGAGAGTCTGCCTTCATTGTGGTCTGTTTTGTCTGAGAGCGACTCTCAACAGTCTTTTCGTATATATTTTTTGAGAGGGAAAGACCTAATGAATCTGGTCAGTTTCAGGGGTTTTCTGGGCTGTGTGCTTATCTTTTGGAGTGTCCCTCCAGGAGTGAATGCTTCAATCCCAGAGAAAAGTGGTATATAACAAACATTTCCAACCAAATTTAGTTTAGTGAATCACTGAGTTTATTGGGGCTGCTTAAAGGAGCATGGGGGATTCAAAGGCAGCTATATCACCAAAAAACCCCACCCTAGTGTGGCCTTCACTGGAGTCTCCTCTCTAAGCAGTTGTTACAGCTTTTAAAAACTTTGCTAGTGTCATTGTGGATCCTGTAACTTTGAGCTTCCTGAGACTGTCACTAGGGAAATTCCATATATGACAGAATTCTCAGGCTGACTCATTTACATTTCTCTATCAGAAAAAAAACGTATTGTTGATATTTTATTGGTGAGGGAATATGGTGTCAGGCAAAGACTGCTCTAGCATCAGCTCTCCTTTGAGGATGTTATGATTTGTGGGCTGAGGGGTTCCCTTAAAACCTGGAAGATAGTAAGTAGCACTCTGCTTTCTACATTTTAAGCTAGATTTTAACACTGTTGTTAGTTCTTTCATGTGATTTTATTTTGAGACAGATCTTACTCCGTGACCGTGGCTGACCTGGAACAGGCTGTACAGACCATGTTGACTAGGAATTCACAGATCTACCTGTCTTTTATCAGTCGATTACTGGGGTTAAAGGCACATGCCTCATGCCCATCCTCCAAGTGATCATTTTTATCCTATAATCTGTCTGTAACACAGTCTTTGTAGGGCTGGAGAGATGCCTCAGTGGTTAAGAGGTCTTGAGTTCAATTCCCAGAAACCACATGGTGGCTCACAACCATCTGTACTGGGATCTGATTTCCTCTTCTGGTGTGCAAGTAAACACGCAGATAGAGCACTCATACATTTTGAAAAAAGAAGCGAAAGGAAAATCTAGAACGTTGTTTGCAGAGGTTACATTGGCATATGTGTACCAGTAAGAGTGAGCAAGTGTATGGCGTGTGTGGGAGTTAAATGACGTGAGGAAAAGAGGGCAAAATAGCAGTTAAGTGCTTTGTAACTGATCGTCTGGACCCTGTAGGAATAGAGGTAGAGGCAGCCTTGCCCAGGCATGTAAAATAGCAACATTGCCTTGGGGTAGGTACAGCTGGTATGTTCTGTGTTACAGGAACGAAGAAGGGCTTTGTGAAGCAGCCAAGCCAGAAGATGTTTTATAAGGGCCACTTGTGTCAGCTGTATGTGTTGATGGGACACAGCTAGGGAGGGTTCTGCAGTGTGATCTGGAGAGAAAGAGCCATTGATGTGCCACATCCAGAGCTTGGCTTTGTATGTGACAGAGCAGGGTAACAAAGCATCTCTGCCAGGAAGGGAACACAGGTCTGTGTACAGTGTTTCCATCTGCAGTGAGTGAGCATCTGACTTGATGCTCTCAAGTAAGGAGAAAAGGACCAACCATTGTCTCAGTTACTTTTCTGTTGCTGTGATAGACACTCTGACCAAAACAACTTACACCAGAAAGCTTGAGGTTTCAGAGGGCCCGGAGTTCCTGAGGGCAGGAAGGCTTGGCAGCAGCTAGCTGGGAAAGCCCTGAGAGCTCACCTGCTCACAGGCAGGTGGCAGAGAACACACTGGGAATGACAGGAGACTTCAAGACTTAGAGCCTGCCCCCCTCCATCTCCAGCAAGATCACACCTACTAATCCTTCCCAAACAGTTGCACCAACTAGGGACCAAGCATTCAAACATATGAATTCATGGGGCCATTGTACCCCCATAGGGGTCAAACTACCCCATTCTGCTCCCTCCCTGGCCTCTCCTTAGACTTCTGGCCATGTCATAATGCAAAATGTACTTAGTTCAACTTCAAAACTCCCTGTAGTCTTTAAACAGTGCTTAAAAGGCCAGTCTTGCTGGGCAGGTAGCATATGCTTTTAATTCCAGCACTTGGGAGGCAGAGGCAGGTGGATCTCTGAGTCTGAGGCCAGCCTGGTCTACAAAGAGAGTTCAGCCAGGGCTACACAGAGGAACCCTGTCTTGAAAAAAAAAAAAAAAAAAGTCCAATTTCTTCTGAAACTCAAGGTAGTTTTCATTTTTTCATCACAAATAGGACTTTTTGTCTGTTACTATTAAAATATCTGCATTTTACACAGATTCTTGGACTGGTGGTTCAGTTCCATCGTCTCTGTTAGCGCATGTCTGCTACTAGCAGCCACCTGGCCTTGAACTCACAGACTAAAGAGATGGCCACCATGCCCGGCCTAGCAGTTTTACTTTTCTGATGAAGATGTGATGAGGAAGATAAAGGGACTGCAAGCCTTTTCTGTGTCTTTACCACAGCTTCCTGCAGTCCGTTCATTAACTACTTCTTCCAAGCCACTTCTGGGGTCATGACTTACATTGCCTTCCAGTCATGCTAGTTTGTAGGACAGCTTGCATGTTTAGCTGTGAAACCAACACAGAGAACCAGCAAATAACCATCTGCTTCATGGTCTTCCAGTTTTGGACTGTGGAGTCATGCCGGGGGATAACCAGGTAGTTTGTCCTCAACAGCCTCACCGGTTAGCTTGAGTTTCTCATTTTTATGGTTGTAAGCTAAGCCTTTAACTGCCGAGCCATCACTCCAGCCTTAGCTTGAATTTCTGAATGAAATTTCATCATTCTTAGATCAGCAAAGCTTTTTTCAAACACACAAACCTTGAGGCCAGAAGATACAATTTTGAGCCACACCTATAATCCCAGGGGAGGCAGAGGCAGGCAGAGCTCTGTGATTTTGAGGCCAGTCTGGTCTACAAAGTGAGTCCAGGACAGTCAAACTCTGTTACCACCCCCCCAAAAAAAAGAAAAGAAAAGAAAGTCATAGGCCACTATGCCTTGCCTTGTGTTTTGTTTTTTAAACTAGTCTTTTGTTGCTGAGATTGCCTCAGGCAAGAAATGGTTAGTTACCTTGTTTTTATGTTTATTTTAGCCTCTTTTTTCTTGGATATTATAGTTATCCTTCCCCTCAGACATAAGCACTGTCACCATAAGGTTTTTCTGTGTAGCCCTGGCTGTCCTGGAACTCTGTAGACTAGGTTGGCCTGGATTGGAGAACCAAGTGCTGGGACTAATGGCATGTACCACTACCGCCTAGCTGGATATGGTGACTATAAAGACTCTTTGTGAGTTTCTGCTGTGAATTCAGTTTGTCTTTATTACTTGCATATTTAGTAGGTAAAGTAACAGCTCACACCTCGGGTGTGAATCTGTTCCTTTCATCCTGTGCTGGCCAGTCTGAGAGGATGCAGTGTTGACCTTCATCTTTTCTTCTGTTTCAGTGTCCTCCAGGGAGATGCTCCAAGCAGCTGGCTCTGCAGGGAAGACTGACTTCATTTTCTCCGAGGCTGAATTCAAAACCTCCCAGAGGTACGGAACTCCTTCTTCTGTCCACCTTCACCAATGCTGCAGGGTTGGCAGGGCTGGTGCAACCTGCTCAGAGTCCACCACAATGACTGAGCAGGTGACAAGGGGCGTGACAGCTGGGATGTTCCTAGTCTTCCTCTGCTGGTTTCTCTGTTGAGGCTTTTCCTCTTGATAGTCATTGATGCTGGCAAAAGTGGAACTTCCAGATGGTGTGTCTGTGTGAACCTTTTGGGAGGTGTGGGAATGTGTTTGTGTTTTTGTGTAGTTGACTTTGTGATCCCGGCCTCAGGTTTAAAAAGTAAACAGGTGTTAGTTATGTAGACTAGTTACCTAGAGCACAGCAGTCTCCCGGGAGCCCTTCAGAGCAAGCCATGGGCTGGGCTTAGTGTGCTGAGCAATGGGACCATGCACACGGGTCTCCAGAGAGTGGAAGAAAATATTCCCTTGCCCACACGTCTGTGTGAACCTGGGCTGCATGGTGCCTTGACCATCTAAGAAATGAGGCAGGAAGGCGAGCTAACTTTCCTCTTGCTTTCTCAGCCATTTCTCAGTATTGTTGCTTTTCTGAGTGTGTGTGTTTTTGTTTTTTCTTTTAAAAATGTTAGAACCTCTCCATTTTGTTCCTAAGGGTTTAAGAAATTTTTTTAAGAATAAAAACAGAAGAAGTACAAACCCAATTCAGTAGCTTCAGAAAAGGTAAAAAGGCCAGTTTGATAAGTCAGACAGTTGTGTTTTACAGTTCAGTATTTTTAGTATTTTTTATTTTTATTTTATATGCATAAGTGTTTTGCCTGTATGTATGTTATGTTTGTGTACCCTGGTGCCCAGAGAGGCCAGAAAAGGCCATCAGGCCCCCTGGGACTGGAGCTACGAATAGCTGAGGTGTGTGTTGTGGTAGGTGGGAGAGGCTTGCAAGCTTCAGGCTAGCCTGAGCTACATAATGGAGCCCCATCTCAAAAACAAAACAAAACAGTTTATGTTTGAAGCTCACAAAGTAAAATTTAAGTGATTTTATATGTATCTAAAGCTGCTTTCCAGCAATATCTCTCAGCTTGTTCCTTTTTTCTGTTGTTATTCGTTTGTTTTGGTATGCCTATTTGTGCATGTATTCTGCATATATGTACATGTGTTTGTATGCTAGAGGTCAGTACTGATTGTGTTAATCACCCGATGTATTTTTAATTTTCTTAACTACATTATTTGTGTTCGTGTGTGTGTGTGTGTGTGTGTGTGTGTGTGTGTGAGAGAGAGAGAGAGAGAGAGAGAGAGAGAGAGAGAGAGATGTGGAAGGCAGAGGTTGTGCCAGAATTGGTTCTCTCCTTCTGTCACTTGTGTGACAGGGCTAGAATAAGGTTGTCGTCCCTGGTGGCAAGTGATTTGATGAACCGTCTCACCATGCCTCCACCTTATTTTTTAGACCAAGGTCTGTTATTGAACCTGGAACTTGCTGGGAAGGCTGGAGTGGCTTCACCAGTACGCCTTGGGGATGCTTTTTGTCTCTGCTGCCATAGCACTGAGTTCTGCAAGCTCCTGCACCTGGTTCTTCACACAGGTGCTGGGATCTGAACTCAGGTCCTTATGTTTGCAGTGCAGGCAAAAAACAGGCTACCTCCCTAGACCTTCTTCTTTTTTTTTGAATTTTCTTTCTTTGGAAAATTATATATACTTCTTTCCTGTTGTAATGTAAGACTTTTTCCTTTCTGTCTTTCTTTTTTTTTTTTTTTAATCTTTCAAACTGTAGAACCAAATAATGCTGGGTCTGGAGGAAATGGAGGCAAGAGAGGAGGGAAGCAAGATGACTTTGCCTGGTGGAAACGGATACAAAAGGTTTGTGTATCTGAAGAGCAGAGCCAGACATTCCCTTCCCTAGAGGGCGTGGTCCATGCAGAGCTCAGGCTTTAAGTGTCTTTGTCTTATTTTGTTCCTGCTGTTGTTTGTTTGGGTATTTTTGAGACATGGTCTCCTTATGTAACCCTGGCTGGACTAGAATCTACTGTGTTGCTTAGGCTCATGGAGAACCTCCTGTCCCTGCCTCCGAGTACTGGAATTACAGATACACTTTTTCCATGCCCTGCTTAGATTTCATACCTCGTAAATACTGTACATTTATTCAAAATTAAAGAGGCTAGAAAGTGCTAGGAAGGCTGATGTGTCGGAGGCTTTGCTCTGTTTTCAAGGCTCCATTCATGGAGTCTTGTATGTTGCTTCATCTATAGAGGAACAGTACTTTATCCTTATATAGCAAGAAGACACAAAATGTGTCCTTTAAGACCCTAGTGTTAGTGGACAGATCCCATACATGAGGATGGACTCCTTGTGATGTAATCATTTCCCAAAGGTCCCACTTCTTTTTGTTTGTTTGTTTTTCGAGACAGAGTTTCTCTGTGTAGCCATGGCTGTCCTGGACTCATTTTGTAGACCAGGCTGGCCTTGAACTCACAGAGATCCACCTGCCTCTGCCACCCTGAGTCCTGGGATTACAGATTTGCGACACTGTGCCTGGCTAAGGTCCCACTTCTTAATGCTTTCACCGTTGGTGCTGATTTCCAGTGTGGATATTTGAGGAACATAAACAGTTCAAAGAATCTGATAAATGTATTAAAATGTGTCAAGACTTCTGTCTGAGTTAACAGAGTCCCAATAAGAGAAAACCTTCTGCAAGGCCTCGTGGCACATGACTTTAATTCTAATACTCGAGAGGCGGAGATAGACAGAGCTCTGTGAGCTTCAGGCTACACAGTGAGTTCCATGCCAACCAAGGCTCCACACTGAAAACAGAAATTGTCACTTTCCTAAAGTAACCGTCCTAAGGCTGGGAGTGTGGCTCAGTTGCAAAGCTCTCAGCCAGATTATGGGAGTCTCTGCATTCACTCTCCAGTGTATGAGCATGTGCATGTGCTCAGTGGAGAAGAGCTCAGGCTCTGTGGGAGGACCCTGATCCTCACATCAGGCAGCTTATAACTGCCTGGAGCTCCGGTTCTGTGGAACCAAACTCCCTCTTCTGGCCTCCATGGGCACCCCCTTTCCCAGGCACACACACATATATATAAGTAAAAAAATAAAAAATAAAAAAAAAATAAGCAAAAACTAATCCCCCTCACTTGTCATTTAACTAGACAGCGTGTTATCTTTTCTTCTTAGGGGGAGTTTCCTTGGGACGACAAGGATTTCCGGAGTCTGGCTGTCCTGGGGGCCAGTGTGGCCGTGGGCTTTTCCTACCTCTACTTCCGGGACCCCGGGAAGGAAATCACCTGGAAGCACTTCGTGCAGTATTACCTGGCCAGAGGTCTGGTGAGGAGATTAACTGACTGTGTGCTGGGCACAAGGGCTGTGCAGGAGGCCTGCAGTACTTGAGCTGCTCGGGAGGGGCCCAGAGCCCAGAGCAGCCACCTTGGGGCACGCCCAGATGTAGGAGCTTTCGCAAGAATGGTGCTGAGCAGTGCCAGGCCCGCTTCCTGGCTGGGTGGAAGCTGCCTTAACATCACAGTCTGCTTTTTGTCTTCTTTGGCTGGTTTTCTGAATTTTGGCTCTAGCTGTTTGTCTTTGAGATTCAGTCTCGCATGATTCACAGTTTTTCTTTCCCTCCCTATCCCTCTGGTCCCTGTTGGCCAGCCCTGGACCTGTGAGACCCTATCTTGTGAGAAGTGCTTGGTAGCTTCCCTAGCAGTAGTGAGGACACAGCTCTTCCCTGGCCACGACCTGCCGTCTGTGGGCGTGCTGTGAGGACAACGAGAGTGTGTTTGGGAGGCTCTTTACAAAAGATCGGGTTTGCCTTGTCATTCATTTATACCCTAGTGGTCTGAAGCTGTTTGATGAATAGTGGTGGTAGCACAACCTTTAATTCTAGAACTCAGGAGACAGAGGCAGGTGGATCTCTGGGTTCAAGGCCACCCTGGTCTATAGAGTTTCAGGACAGCCAGGGCTACACAGAGAAACCCTGTCTTCAGACTGCCCCCTTGCCCCCTGAAAAAAATTGGCAATAGCTGAGAAGGTGGAAGAGCTGCTCTTCAGAGAAGCTTAGCACCCATGTCAGGCAGCTCAGCAGTCTGGAACCCTGAGCTCGGGTTATCGCATGTCTTCTGGCCTACATGGGCACCTGTACACAGGTGGTAGAACACAGACATGTAAACAAAACAAACCCTAAGCGAGAAGGACAGCACTGTGTCGTCACATTTACAAAATGGGTTGTATCCAGCTGTGGTTTTTTGCTTTGTTTTTTATGTTTTGTTTTTGTGGTTGTTTTTGAGGTACGATTGCTCTCTGTATGTAGCTTAATCTGGCCTAGAACTTTGAGCAATCCTCCTGCCTCCTGACTACTACGATTACATATGTGCCTATTTTCTTTTCTCTTTTTCCGTTTCTCAAAGGTACATGTCAGTCTGTTGTACAGCTGCTAGCAGCTCATGATCCTCTGGAACTGCTTATGACAGTGTGTGTGTGTGTGTGTGTGTGTGTGTGTGTGTGTGTGTGTGTGTTGGACAAAATATTTCTGAATCAGGATCAGGTCTGTACTCAGGATTTTACTGAACTGGATAGGGAAGATGGCTCAATGTAGAAGCTTGCTGTGCAAGCATGAGGATCTGAGTTAAAATCCCCAGGACCCACGTAAAAGCTGGACTCACAGCAAGGTGGCCTGTGGTCCCTGTACCTGTGGGGAGATCGGAATCCCAGGAGAATTCCTGGGAACTTTGGGCCAGGTAATCTGGAAGATGCATTGGGAAAACAGAGATGTCTAGAATCTACGGAGGATTTCAACCTGTGGGTCTCACCCCCTTGGGGGATGAACGAGCTTTAGACAGGGGTCACCAAGACACACAGATATTGGATTATGATTCATGACAGTTGCAGTTATGAAATAGCAGTGAAAATAATTTAGTGGTTGGGGTCACTACAACATGAGGAACTGTATTAAAAGGTCACAGTGTTAGGAAGTTTGAGAACCATTGGTCTAGAACAAGGTAGGAGGTGAGAACCGGCCCCTAAAGTTCTCCTTTCATGCCCACATGTATGGTGGCATGTGCACCCACGTTCATACATTGTATACAGAGATTTTACTCTCTTGTCAGCAAAAGACCAACGTATTCTGCTTAGGGTTTTAAAGTTTGGAATGGAGCTCAGATGTACAAATTGGAGCGTCTTCTTGAATCCTTGTTTATTAATGTGACAGAGATTTATGTCCCAAGCTTACAGATCCAAGAGAGCAAGAAACTAAAATGTAGACCAGGCTGCCAAGGGCATAGGATGATATGCTGTCTTCAGGGTGCGCGTGTGCCATGGCTCCAGTGCTCCTGGCTGGCTTGATGCCCTGCTTGCTGCTTGCTGCTTGCTGCCTCGGCTGTTACAACTGCTTTTCTCTTCTCCAAGGTGGATCGGCTGGAGGTCGTGAACAAGCAGTTTGTGCGTGTAGTTCCTGTTCCTGGGACGACACCTGAGGTGAGAGGTGAATTTAAGGCCAGAGTCCCAGGTTGATTTGTTTGGTGAGACAGAATCTCACTGGGTAATGGGGGCTGGAACTATGCTGACCAGGCTGGCATCACACTCATTATTTTTATTTGTGTTAGTTCTGGGTCTGTGGGAGTATGCATGTGAGTATGGGTGCTTGCCTTGCTAAGGACACAGGTGTTAGAGCTGGAGTGACAAATGGTTGTGAGCCTCCTGATTTGGGTGCTGGGAACCAAACTTTGGCCCTCTACAAGAGCAGCACATGCTCTGAGTTGCTGAGTCATCTCTCCAGCTCCTCTATACATTATTTTTAAAAAGTGTGAAGTAGACTTGTCCATTCAGTGAAATACCTTTTTAGTTGTCCAGCAGTCCAGGTTGTAGGTGGTTTGTGCTGGAGGGATGGCTCGGCTGTAACTATAGGTCCAGTACCCAGGTGGCACCTCACAAGGATTTGTCACTTCAGTTCCAGGGGATCTGTTGCCCTCTTCTGGCTTCCATAGGTACCAGGCATGTACATAGTGCACAGATATTTAGCATGAAAAATACCCATACACAAAAAATTTTAGCAGAAAATTTAAAATTATTATGGTTTATCTTATTTTCTTAAATTGATAATGCTTAATACAGGAAGCCTTTAAGTCTACTATAATTCATTTTTGTCAAGTAATATTAAAAAACTACTTGCCAAAAAATATGAGTAAAGAAAACAAAGACAAAGACCTTGGCTATTGTAGCATTTTATATTTTGTCCAGAACTTAAAGCCTTGAAGTTCTGTGTGCCCAGAGCTGGCGAGCTGCTGTTTGCGCTTGGCGCTGGAGCTGGCTTCAGGAAGGGATTAGTTTGTCTCTAGTGGTCAGAGATGGAGGAAAGAGGCTTTTCTAGCTGAGGAGTCAGGGATTTGAGAACACAAGTGTGGATGCACGTGACGGAGCCATTCTGTGCAGGACACAGTGGTGTAGACTAAACTCCCTTTTGGCCTCTGCAGAAGTTCGTGTGGTTTAACATTGGTAGTGTCGACACCTTTGAGCGGAACCTGGAGTCTGCGCAGTGGGAGCTGGGGATTGAACCCACCAACCAGGCTGCAGTGGTTTACACCACTGAGAGCGATGGGTAAGTCCTGGCCTCGAGGGGGCCAGGGAGGCTCCAGTGGGGGTGTCTGATGCTGAACACAAAACATCCAGCATTTAACCAGTTTTGCAGCATGTTTATTTTTTTTTTAACATGTTTTAGCATCTGCTAATATCTACAGTATCAATGCTAAAAAAGTTTTTTGAGGCAGGGTTTCTCTGTGTAGCCTTGACTGTCCTGGACTCACTCTTTAGACCAGTCTGGCCTCGAACTCACAGAGATCTGCCTGCCTCTGCCTCCCAAGTGCTGGGATTACAAGCGTGCAATACCACTGCCCCACATTATGGTCTATTTTTATGTTTAAAATTTTTTTTAAGATGTAGTCTCACTCTTTTAGCCATTCAAGTCTCAACTTGTGGGTTTAACGATTCTCCTGCCTCAGTCTCCCAAGTATACACCATGGCACTGGCATATGTCTGTTTATTGCAAAGAGAATGCCAAACAGCCTTTAAAAAGTATTACACAGGAAAAATAAACATATTAGCTCTTGTTATCTTTGCTGGGTCAGAGTCTCTTGAGAAAAGCATATGGTTAAGGCTCTGTCAGACCTACATGGTCAAAGGCTAAGGCTTTGTAGCCTCCTGCCCTACCAATCCTTTTGTTGGGTGGGTCAGGGCAGGGCAGTGCTTTTAGGACCAGACAGGCCAGTTCTGCAGGCAGACCTAGGGACATTTTAGAGACTGTCCCTTTTGTGCACTGAAAGTTTTAGAGTTGCTTATTTTTCTGGAAAACAATGGAACTTCTAACATAGTGAGAATTTTGGTTTCTTTAAGAAACACAGAAATATTACAGGAACATGTTTTCGTTTTAATCCCAGGTATGGAGATACGAAGTTGGTTTGTAGCAGCTGACTGTGATTTGCTTCATGCTCTAGCAGAGGTGTGATTTTGCCAGCTGCAGATAGTTTCTGCAAGAGAGTGACATTTGGAATTGTGGGAACTTTTCAGAGGGTATATAGAGCCCCAATAGGCTGGTGGTTGTTGGTTGCTGTTTGTTAAATAGTTGTGTGCAAAGAAACAAGAAGAAATTAGATACCCTGACAGGAAAGATCAAACTTTCCTCAAGGAACTTGACACCCTTATCAGCAGGAAGCAGTCTAATGATAACATTGACCACATTACTTTTTTCTCCTATCTAGTGTTAGGAGGCTCAAAGGGCAGAGAAGGGTAGAAGGAAATGGAGGCCACAAAGTACCAAACACCCCTACACTGACCTGTCTCCTAAATGAATGTAAACAAATGGTTTCCTGGATTTTGCAGCTCTCTTCTCAGAAGCTTGGTGCCCACCCTGGTCCTGGTTGGCATCCTCCTCTATGCTATGAAGAGGAGTCCAATGGGGACTGGTCGTGGTGGGCGAAGAGTCGGCCTGTTCAGTGTTGGTGAGACGACAGCCAAGATCTTAAAGAACAACATTGATGTGCGATTCGCAGATGTGGCTGGCTGTGAAGAAGCCAAATTGGAAATTATGGAATTTGTGAATTTCCTGAAGAACCCAAAGCAATATCAGGACTTAGGAGCCAAAATTCCAAAGGTATTGATTTTAGGAAACCATGATACAATCCAAGTTCAACTATAGATTGCTGCGATTTAGAATAGACAAATATTTAACAAGTTTTTTTTTTCCCTAAATTTGTATTTCTTCAATCACAATAGAAGGTGGAAATAATACCTTTACTATAAACATTAAAAGTCCTCATGTTTGATAAGATGGCCCATGCCTATAGTTCTAGTACTTGGGAGGTGAAGGCAGGAGGACTAGCAAGAGTTCAAGGCTAACTTAGGCTACATAGTGAGTCAGCCTGTGCTGTAGAACAGAAGATACTGTCTCAAAAAACAAAACAAAAAACCTTCACATTTGTTTGTTTGTTAATGTTACGCTCCCATCTACAATGGCCCAGTGGTAATCTGGCATTCTGAACTCTAGTTACAAGCCTTGATGTGTTTTGGATAGGGTCTTGCTATGTAGACCATGTAGACCAGGCTGCTTCCTCACAGGGCTACCTGCCTGTCTCCCGAGTGCTGGATTAAAAGCGTGTGCCACCATGTCCAAGAGAAACGGGATCTTAGATCTTTCTTAAAACTGGCCCTTTTATTTCAAGGGGCACCTACCAGCAAGCCCGATGAACCAAGTTTGATACCTGGGTTCCACATGACAGATGGAAAGAGAACTACCTTCTCTGAGTTGACCTCTGACCTCCACATGTGTGCAGTGGCGTGTATGTGTCCACATTTGCATATTAACAGATAAATACATGAAGCTGGGTATGGTGGCTTTGTGAAGGAAGTTTGTCATCAAAGTGACAGTCTTGAGTTCTTTTTTTTTTTCACTTTTTTTTTCTTTTTCCTCAAGACAGGGTTTCTCTGTGTAGCTCTGGCTGTCCTTGAACTCACTTTATAGACTAGGCTGGCCTCAAACTCTCACAGAGATCTCCTGCCCCTGCCTCCATAGTGCTGGGATTGAAGGTGTGTGCCACCACTGCCCAGCTGGGGAGTGTCTTAGCAAGGGTTTCTGTTGCTATAAAGAGACACCATGACCAAGGCAACTCTTATAATGGAAAACATTTACTGGGGCTGGTTTATAGTTCAGATGTTTAGTCCGTTATCATCTCGGTAGGTGGTGTGTGGGCAGACACAGTGCTGGGGAAGGAGCTGAGAGTTTACATCTAGATTGGCAGACAGTAGGAAGAGAGAGCGACCCTGGGCCTGGTTTGAGCATGTGAAACCTCAAAGCCCATCCTGGGTGACACATTTCCTCGAACAAGGCCACAGCTACTCGAACAAGGCCACAGCTTCTCATCAGCCTGTGGGGCCTATTGCCATTCAAACCACAAGGAGAAAGGAGTCTGTTTCATCTTGTACTTCCGAGTTCATGAAGGATGTCAGTGCAGAGCTCAAGCAGGGCAGGAACCTGAGGTGGAGGCCATGGAGGAGGGCTGCTTGCTGGCTTGCTCCCTGTGACTTACTCAGCTTGCTCTTTCATATAGCCTCGGGCCACTTACAGATTGTACTACCCCCCGGTGGGTTAGGCCCTCCCGCAACAGTCATCACTCAGGAAAACATCCCACAAACTGTCAGCAGGCCAGGCTGATGGAAACGTTTTCTTAAATGAGGTTCCCTCCTTTTTGGTGACTCTGCTGTATGTAATATTGACAGAAAACCAGCTGGCACAGTACGCCTCAGCCCATGTGTGAAGGTCGGAGGACAACTCACTTTCCATCTTGTTTGAGACAGTCTCTTGTTGTTTGCTCCTGTGTGCCGGGCTACAGTTTCTGTGGATTTTCCTGTCTGCCTCCTGTCTTATGTACCAGCACTGCTCTTGTGCCCGGCTTTATGTGGCTTCTGGGGGTTTACGCTCAGATTCTCAGATGTCTGGCCTGAACAACGGATGGACTCCTGGAAATGAGGTGTGTCCACCCTTCAAGTCAGAAAGGCTCTGGAGCTAGACAAGATTCCCAGGCTGGCTTTCAACAGGCAATTGTGTTTCACTCCTGGGTGGCAGTGCAAATTGGTCTGCTGTTTTAGAAGAGAACAGTTAGGCTGAAATCGCTAAGGAAAGCATTCTGGTTCTAAACCACTCCTAAGCCTATTCTTGCAAAAGCCATCTCCTCCAAGTGAGGAGCATTTTGACGCTGTATCTGTATAAACTGTGGTGAATGCCCTGATTATATGCCTGCATGTGTGTATCCATGTGTCATATGTCGGCGTGTGTACTGTACATGGGAAGGGGGTAGGCCAAAGGACACCTTTGGATGTCATTTCTCAGGAGCCTTCTGTTTTGGTCTGTAGCTTGTGAGTTAGGCAAGGCTGAGCCTGTGGGAATCAGCCTGTTTCTGCCTTCTAACGCTGTGATTACAAGTGTGATCATCTCTGTGCCTGCCTTCTTTACATTGGTTGTAGAAATTGAACTCAGATCTCTGTGCTTGTGGGTACCTTACTTCTCCTGAGCCATTTCTTCAATCACGTGCATTCATCTTTTAAAGGGAAAAGATTTTCTGAAAATCTTAGGCTCTAAAAGTGATGTGTTTGATGAGATTCTTGTTAGTTCTATAACTTGCCTGCGTGTGTTAGGAAACATTCCGTTTTAGATCTGAGTAGAAACTGGGACTGTTCCCAGCATGCTGTCTGTCCCTCTGCAGAACTACGTGTCCCTCTTCTCTTGCAGGGAGCAATGCTCACTGGTCCACCTGGGACTGGCAAAACTCTTCTTGCAAAAGCAACTGCTGGGGAGGCCAATGTGCCCTTCATCACTGTGAATGGCTCAGAGTTCCTGGAAATGTTTGTTGGTGTTGGGCCAGCGCGGGTAGGTGGTGAGCTATAGAACGTGCCAGCACACTTCTTGCCCATGGTCAGTCATCTGGTGTAGCAATAGGCTTTGGTGGGACAAGCCCCGAGTGCACCCCATCCGGGAGGTCCTGATGCATCAAAAGGAGGACCAAGGGTGCGCTATTCTGTGTGATGGGAATGTAAATAACAAAATAGGGTCTGGATTCCCTTTACAGGTCCGCGACATGTTTGCAATGGCCAGAAAAAATGCTCCTTGTATTTTATTCATTGATGAGATTGATGCAATCGGCCGGAAGCGAGGCCGAGGCCACCTGGGAGGCCAGAGTGAGCAGGAGAACACTCTAAACCAGATGCTCGTGGAGATGGACGGTGAGTGGACCCTGCGGCAGGTTGGTAGGTGCTCACCCCCCACAGGGTGTGTATTCGCTCTTCCGTCTAACTGTCTGGCCTGACTTGGAGCTCTGATTCTCCTGCCTCCATCTCCTGGGTGCCAGGATTACAGGCATGTGCCACTGCGTCTGAATGACACATTCTGATTTAAGGAAGAATGCTCTCAAGCAAATGTGTAAGAAATCAGTGTTTGGGCCTCACTGCACAGTGAAAAATCTGTGCTCCTCACTACACAGTGGGAATTAGCCGGGATGAGGGCCCCTGCTTCTCTGGGGAGGTAGTCCAGGCATGTGAGTGTAAATGTCCCTTTTGGTGCACACAGGACAGCCATACTCCTTTCGTGGGCCTTGTTCTGCTGATCTCATGGTTGTTCTAGCCAGGGAGTACCTTCATGGGATCCGTGTACCTCCATGGGATCTCTCTGCATTTGAGTTTGGAAAGGTCTCACTGGATATTTGGCAGGTTCTGTCTTCATCCTAGTAGCTTTAGGGTCATGTGAGGTCCCTAAGCCCTCCTGGGTTCAGTATTTTGCCAACGAGTCATAGATGCAGGTGTATTCAGGTGTGATCCAGCACAAAAAGGACACAGCAAAAGTAGCCGAAGGGGGCCAGAGGGAATGGCCTCTGGGAGCAGGTGCACCCTCTCCAGTCTTGACCAGGGTCAAGCTGTGATGACATGTGGGAGTTGCCTTGATCAGGAGGCTTGGGGGGCCTTAGTTCCTGATGTTTTCTCTGGGCATTGGTCAGGTGCCCTCTGCTTGCTAGGTAACAAGATTCTGGACTTCTGGGAGGAAGGTAGGTATTGTATAAATATCCCATTATCTGCACTGGTAGTTTGGTCCCGGGGAGCCGTTGTCAGAGAAAGGTAGGTGAGGGCTATGACCGCTGTGGCCCTGAGGACAACCAGAGCACTTGTGTGCACTTCTGTGCACAGCAGGTTGTTTTTGTTCTCCGCGCTTAAATCTTTAGTGCCTAAGCCAAGTGAAGTATATCGTTACTGGGCGCCCCGCTGAAGGGGCCAAGTGGAGATAGGACAGGACAGGAGACGCATTTGCACATCCTGACGCCATCTTCACGGGCCTTCCTTGGATGGGTGTTCCTTGCTTGCCATTACTTGGCTGCGCTCCATGAATCCTCCACAAGGACTTGGTTAGCAAGAGGCAGTGAGCCCTGACAAGACGGTATCAGACTGGCAGGAGCCGGGGTACAGAGGCGCCCTCCCGCGCTGAACTTTATCTCTCAGCCTGTCTCAGCTCGTAGGTTCCCTATTCACTGAGAAAAGGTCTGCTTTCCACCCGTAAGTGTGTGCCTCACTCAGCAGGAGGTGATGGTCTGAGTCCCTGGGGCTACGAGCAGGGCACCCACAGGAGGGTGGGGCAAGCTGAAGGGGAGGGAGCCGCCTGAGGGGGCTTGGAACGGCCCTTTCCTCACATTAACCAGCCTTGCTTATGTTTAGGGTTCAACTCTACCACTAATGTGGTAGTGTTAGCTGGCACCAATCGCCCCGATATCCTTGACCCAGCCCTGACAAGGCCTGGCCGGTTTGACCGCCAGATCTACATTGGTGAGTGAGTGAGTGCGGGTCATGTCTTGGGTTTGGATCTCAGCCCCTTAGTGCATGAGGTTAAAGGTATGGGGACCTCCTTTTCTCCTTTGGAGGTGTTCATGCTGGGACCCATCTGGCATTTGGGGAATAAGAGGTGTGGTTTGGGCTGTCCAGATGTCCTTGTGAATGGCTAGAGCGGTATAGCAGATTTCTGTTCTACAGACTTGATTTTCATACAGTTTTATAAAACCTTGATACTTTAGAAAATAAGAGTTTATCCCTTGTCCTTCCGCTGATGGTCACCGATGTCAGCCTGCCCCTCACATTTCCCAAATGGAACACATTACCTGTGTTCAGGACAGTTCAGGGCCATGTGGCCTTGGGGAGTGGATTTAATATTTAGAAGGTAGAGGGGTTTCTGTGTGTGTGTGTGTGTGAGTGCTTGTGTGTGTGACAGTGCCTGTGTATGTGAATGTATATGTGTTTGTGTGTGAGAATGAGTGTGTATATCTGAGTTTGTGGTGTGGTGTGTGTGTGTGTGTGTGTGTGTGTTACTGGTGATTGACCCCAGGGGCTTGTTCATGGTACATCTGCCACTGAGCTACATACCTAGTTCAAGAAGGTGTTTTGATGGTGGCTTTGCCCAATGCAAGTACACTTGGGATTTTTGACCATTCCAGCCTTGCTGCAGTCAGATGATGGCGGAGGGAGCTCTCTGTCTGTCCTTGAAGTTCTTTGAGGTAGTCGTGGGGAGACCCATCCCAAAAGCTCTGAGAACATGCTTTTGTGTGTCTCACTTTCTTCCTTAGGTCCCCCTGATATCAAAGGCAGGTCGTCCATCTTCAAGGTCCACCTGCGTCCACTCAAGCTGGATGGAAGCCTCACCAGAGACACCCTTTCAAGGAAGCTGGCAGCTCTCACTCCAGGCTTCACTGGTGAGTGTGACCGGCAGCTCCTGCGCATCTTTGCAGGGGTCGTTATGTGCTTCTCAGTGCTCTGTAGCCACAGGCACACACCGTATTTGGTCCTGGTCAAAGGCTTCAGCTCTTCAGCCTTCTTCCTGAAGGCTGTGGGTGCCCGTTTGAGTTGGTGAGTTTCTGGTTGGACTGGAGTCTCTGCTGCAGAGGTGACAGTGTCAGAGGGCCATTCCCGGAGGAGAGAGTCACAACACACTTTGCTGCTCTTGCCTTGACTCTTATCTGCAGTGATTTTTTGGCTTCTCAAAACCTCGTCACAGGTGCTAGGATTCTTGTGTCTCTCCCAGAGTGCTTTGAACCCCAGAAATGGGTGGGAGCCTATCAAAGGGGTTTTCTGTCCTGTTTGCCTCTCCAGAGCAGCCTTCTGAAGACCACCATGGCCCGTGGTCAGTGGAGCAGCTCTGACCCACAGCTCTCTCCTTCTGTTTCGTTTGGCGGTGGGACACCCTCCCTCTAGTTCCCTCTAGTGTCCTCCTCAGCACTGGGCCAGGCACTCGCACACACTGTGCACTTGTTTGTGCTGCAGTGGTGAGAAGCTCTTGCCAGGCTAACATGGAAAGGGCTTCCTTGGTATTCTGTGTCAGTGTCCTTCCGACCCCATTTTCTGGCCCCTTGTAGAGTTCAGGTGTCCACTTCATGTGCAGCTGAGGAATAGAGTGAGTTACCCAGACATTAGGTTTCCCGGCTGAGCCCCTGGCGGTTTTCAGCTTGGGGGTGCCACTACATCAGAGGGCCCAGCAGCTAACATTGTTTGCTGCTCTTCCAAAGGACTACGCCAGGTACCCACACCTGTGGTGGGTGGGTCACAGCTGCCAGCACCTCTTGCTCCAGGAACTTGATGCTCTCTTGTGTGGTGAGAATTCTGAAAATTTGGTTTCTTAAAAAACAAAACAAAACTCAAAATATTGTGACTATGTTTCCATTTTAATCCCAGGTGTGGGATATAGGGTTGCTTCACAGCAGCTGACTATGATTTGCCTCCTGCTCTAACAGAGGCGTGGTTTTGCCAGCTGCAGATAACTTCTGCAAGTGTGTGACGTTTGGAATTTCTCAGGATTTATAAATGCTAGCACCCGAGAGGCAGGGTTGGTGGTTGTTGGTCATCTGGGGTGCGTGGGTGGGGTGGGTTGTGGTTTATTAGTCATGCTGAAAGGAGAAACAAGAAGAAACTAGATTGAAGGATTTCTGTCTCTCTTTGTCTCCTCTCTATCCTTCTTTCTCTCCTATCTAGTGATAGGGGGTGAAACCGGGTGGATAAAGGGTGAAAAAGAAGAACCCACAAAGTAGCAAAATCCAACTACACTTCTGGCCACCAAGGTCACCTACACACATACACATAAGTAAGTAATAAAATAAATCTTAAAAAAATAAAAAGTACCTTTCCTCCTCAAGACCCCTTGTCCCTAATGGGAGCAGCATGTAGTCTCTGTGATTATAAAGACACTGAGGACAGAGCTCTGTCATTGTTTCTGACAGCATGGGCCATGTCGAATCCCATGTTAAAAGAACTGTTGGCATGGTTACAAAGTCATGGAAATCACAACTTACGGTGGCACTCCATTGGTTCTTCCTGTTGAAGGCTGCTGCTTCCTCTGTATAATTTTGGATTGACCCCTGCATAGGAGGTACAACTGTTTTAATCATGGATATTTCCCCAGAAAGCAGGTAGCTTAAATTTCTCTTTCATGTTTTTTGTTGTTGTTGTTTTCTGGTTTTGAGACAGGGTTTCTCTGTGTAGCCTTGACTGTCCTGAACTCCCTTGAACTCACAGAGATCCACCTGCCTCTGCCTCCCTGGGTGCTGGGATTATAGCTGTGTGCCACTGTGACAGGCCTCTACATAGTTTTTGCACTGCAGTGTATCAAGAAAAATAAAAGCAAGTACTGAAATTTTTTGGTTGAGGATTTAACAGAAAACTGTAAAGTCTTCAAACTGGCAGGTGTTGTGTGCTCACAGAGGAAGGAAAAGTTAAAATCTTTCCCCAAGGAAATACAATATTAAGCATAATAAGGACTTTGTTTTGAGACAGGGTTTCTCTATGTAGTCCTGGCTGTCCTAGAACTCTCTCTAGACCAGGCTGGCCTCAAACTCACAGAGATCATCCTAATTCCGAACCCCCCCCCCCGACCCGTGTAACCATTGCCTGGCTTCCGGTTTTTAGACTGGGCAAGTGAGAGTGCTCAAGGGATCCCCGTGACCCACAGAGTGGAAAGAGAGCCAGCTTCTACAGTTTATCCTTTGGTGACCACACTGCACTCATATACATATAAACAAATGAAATTTTAAAAAGTTCTTCCAATTAAGTATCTTCAATATTCTCAAAGATCTAAAAGAAAACATGGACAAAGGACTAAAAGAAATCAGAGAAACTGTCCGGTAAGCAGAGAGTGGTAGTGAAGAGATGGAAATATAGAAGGATCCAAGTATAAATCTGGAGCTGAATAAATGCAGAAGGGATATTTGAATATATCATGACACAAAACTTCTCAAACTGGATAAAAGGGGTGAATGCATACACATAGCCAAGAAACTCAGTGACTCAAAAGTAAAAATAAACTCAGGCCTATGGTAAGACTTACATATCAAGTGTGAAAACCCAAAGGTATGAGAGGCTGTTGAAAGTGTCAGAGCAGCCCAGTCCTCAGTGACAGATACCCAGCTTTTGTTTAAAGTCCAGAAGCCATGGATGGGGTACTGAGGAAACTCAGCTGAGCATTGCAACTGCCAGCACTATCCTTAGAGAGTGAAGGGAAAATTGCAGATTGTGAAAAGGCAGAAGGAGCTTTTCTGTAGATCTGCCTTGCAGGAAAGGAAGGAACTCTTCAGGCTGAAGCAAAAGGGAGATAGATATGAACTTGAGGCCATAAGGAAAGACACATTTTCAGAGGCGACTGTGTAGGTAAATATTTTGTTTGGGTTTATAACTTTTTCCTGTAAAAACAAGTACTTAACACCAATCATAGATCTGTGTTAAAGAGCATATGTTTTCATGTCTACAGATTCCTGCGAGGAGGAGAAAGGAGGTAAAAAAGAGCAGAGTGTATTTTATTATTATTATTTTTTTTGAGATAGGGTTTCTCTGTATGGCCTTGGCTATCCTGGACTTGCTTTGAAGACCAGGCTGTCCTTGAACTTGCAGAGATCCACTTGCTTCTGCCTCCGTTAGTGCTGGGATTACAGGCATGTGTCATCAGAGTGTATTCTTATGAAAGCCAGAAATGGAAATACACTGATTTTTAAAATTAAAAGTGGATGTGGTGTACACCTTTAATCCCAGCACTTAGGAGGTAAAGGCAGGTGAATCTGAGTTTGAAGCCAGTCTGGTCTACAGAGCACGTTACAGGACAGCCAGGGCTATACAGAGAAACCCCTGTATCGAAAAACCAAAATTAAAAAAAAAGTATTTCAGATTTGAACATACATATTCATAGCCCCATTGTTTGTAATAATGTAGAACTGTCAGATTTATAACCGTGGATGAGTAGATCAATATATGGTACATACTCTCTAGAACAATTTTCAGCTGTAAAAAGGAATGAAGTACTGGGGGCTAGAAAGGGGCTCCGAGATCGAGTGCTTGGTCTTGCAGAGGATCCTGGTTTGGTTCCCAGGACTCACATGCTCACTCAGAGCCACTACTCCAGTCTGCTGCCCCTGGGCACCAAGTACACATGGGATGCCTAGACATATATGGAGCTACATACTCATGGTAGTAAAGTAAATGAAGTTTAATAAAAAGGAATGAGGTGCTGATACACCATAACATAGATGAGTCTAAAAAATAATGCTCAAAGAAAGAAACCAGACATAACAAGCCTCGTCTTATGAGAATCCCTTTCACGTAAGGGTTTGGGGTTTCAGTAGAGATCCAGAAAACCCAAGTCCAGTAATTGATTGGAGTGGGGATAGGAATTAAGTGTCTTAGAGCAGGATTGAGGCTGTAGTTGAAAGCTTTGCTGTCTCAGTTCTTCCTGTTGCTGTGATAAAACACTCTGATGGAAGTAACTCAAGGGAGAAAGGGCTCCATGGCTCAGCATTCCAGGTTATAGCCCATCATGATGGGGGATCAAGGTGGCAGGGGCCTGAGGGAGCTGTCCCTGTCCTGTCTAGTCACAGAGCAACCAGCACTTGACTTATCTCCACACACACAGCCCAAATCCTTCCCACAGTTAAGATGGAAAGTTGATGCCATTAAGACAGTCTCACATGCTGCCTTAGTTGCCTTCCAGCTGCTGTGATAGAACACCATGACCAGGGCAACTTTCAAAACGGAGCATCTCAGTGGGCTGAAGGTTTGAGAGGGTTCGAGTCTGGTGGAGCAGCGGCGTGACAGCAGGAGAGAGTTGAGAGCTCACATTTGAAACCTCAAGTAGGAAGCAGGGAGAATTAACTGGGGGTGCTGTGGGCTCCACTGAAACCTCAAATCCAATACCCCCATGACACACCTACTCCAACAAAGCCACACCCCTAGTCCTTCCCAAACAGTTCTTCCAACTGGGGACCAAGTATTTAAATAGACAAGCCTGTGTCGGCCATTCCCTAAAATTGTATAGCTAGCCAGAAGCCTTGGCAAAAGTAACAGTGACTGGTAAAGCAATTTCTACTACCTTCACTTTCTGGGGAAGTTTAGCCTGGCTTCTCTTTGAGATTTTGTCTTAATAAAGTTGATCTTGGTGAAACACCAACAGCCAGAAACACTGACTTTGCTTTCTTTTTCTGATTAAGGTGCTGATATTTCAAATGTGTGCAACGAAGCAGCTCTGATTGCTGCCCGCTATCTTAGCCCTTCCGTCCAGGAGCGGCACTTTGAGCAAGCTATCGAGAGGGTCATTGGAGGTGAGTCCACATCCCCTGGGAAGGGACAGGCATTTTTTGGATAGCCCAGCCTCACTTCAGCATATAGAAAACAGTTCAGTTTTCTGAACCAACAAAGAAGGAAGGAAGGAAGGAAGGAAGGAAGGAAGGAAGGAAGGAAGGAAGGAAGGAAGGAAGGAGAAAGAAGGAAGGAAAGAAGGAGAAAGAAGGAAGAAAGAGAAAAAGAAAAGAAAGAAAAAGAACTAGGGTTCTCCCAGCGGCTTTCATTCCCCTCTGAATTGTATGCAGGCCCTGGGAAACCAGAGCTAGAATTGGATATAGAAGGCAGGGAACGTTGACTTGGAGGGAGAGCGGAGCTTGGATAAATGATAGGAAAAGAGTGTGCTAGGCAGGGTCCATCCCAGAGTTCCTACTGCCTGAGCTCTCTTGGGACAGCACTGTTGAAAGCATGAATGTTAGTGCGTTTCTTCATCTTGGTCTGTCTCCACCCAGCACACTGGAAACCAGGGTAGCTCACGTAGCCACCTGGAGCAGGCCCCTGTCTGTGCTGGCCAGGCAGGCTCTGGAGTCAGGTGGATTAAGGGTCTCTTAGGACTCGGAGACTGAGAGGTGCGAATGCTGCTCTTGGCTAGTCTGGTGTGGTTCCTGGAGGGGACCTGGCAGAGGGTAGTGCAGATGAAGTCTGCCGGTTGGCAGTCACCCTTGAGCTTCATCGCTGAGGTCCTGTTCTGCTTGAAAGCCTAATAGTATGGAGGGGTGCGACACTCGTGAGGGCTATTCCAGCGGCTCTAGGAGCTAGTTACCCAGTCTGTGCAGTGTCAGTCTCAGCAGCTAAGCGCATAGCGAGCGTTCCCTGCTTCTCTCTGTCCTGCACCTGCTCTAAGCGGGTTGACTGGACACTCAGAATGTTCCCCTCTGTATCGCTGTGTGTGGATGTTGCTTTTGACACATAACAGAAAGTGATCTGTACTTTTGACTGCTGACAGTGGCTTGCTTTAAAAATTTTTTTACATTTATTTTTATTTTTTGTGTGTGTATCTGTGTACTACATGTGTGTGATGCCCACAGAGTCAGTAGAGGGCGTCAGCTCCCTTTGGAACTGGAGTCTCACATGTTTTTGAGCTGCCATGTGGGTTCTGCTTCCAGAAGCGCTAAGCCATTGCTCCAGCCCTGAGAATGGCTTTCTAAAGCAGGATGACTCGGGCTGGTCAGAGCGGACGAGTGAGTGCTCTCCAGTGCTGGGAGATGGACGTCACTCCAGAGTAGAGGAGCTGGTGCTCAGGGAACACTGTGATCTAGAGGGGGTCCGTTCCTCACTAGGCCTTGGGACGGGGGTATGGCTGTCAATCCAGACTGTTGGGTGCCTTTGGGGGCTTGGGGCTGGACATTCTTCCCGTTTCTCACTCCTTGGAATGTGGTTTGTAGGCCTTGAGAAGAAGACCCAGGTCCTACAACCCAATGAAAAGACAACTGTGGCCTACCATGAGGCTGGGCACGCAGTGGTGGGCTGGTTCTTGGAGCATGCAGACCCTCTGCTGAAGGTCAGTTGCTCAAGCTGTGTTTATCAGCTGATGGCCTGGGCGGCCTCTGCGCCCACGTGCCCTCTCTGGCTTCCTAGGTGTCAGCCTACCTGGGTGACGCACACTCACAGGTGTGGCTCTTTTATTCCCCTTTCTCTGTTTTTAAGCATGCATGCATACGTGTGTGTCCGTCTGTGTGCATGTATGGTCAGGTGAGAGCCAGTTTTCTCCGACCATAAAGGTTCTGGTCATAAAGCTTGGTGTTAACAGCCTTTACCATCTGAGCGCTGTCACCAGCCCCCTTTCAGTTTTCACGGAATATGTTGGTCTATGATTTGTCAGATTCCTTTTGGGGTAGGGAATCAGAACAGGAGGTTTTGCTTGGGGTGGAGCCTAGCTTAAGTCTTCAGCTTTGGATCTATTGTCCACATAATTGTGCATTCAGTTCCTGCAGAGCCTCTGTAGTCAGACCTGAGGCTGTGTGGGCGGGCGTTCCCCTCAGGCCACTTCCACTGGTCTCTAGGGGTCCAGCTCAGGGCAGTTATCCTTCCATCCTTAGTCATGAGGGGCCAGCGCCAGTGCAGTGCCTGGCGGAACAGTGTTTGAGGCCCACACACATTAGCTATGGAATTTTTTTAAGATTAGTGTGAATTTTTTTAAGATTTTATGTGTATGAGTATGTTGCCTGAATGTTTGTATGTGCACCTCAGCAAAAGAATGTCAGATGCCCTGGAACTCAGGATTTGTTAGTTGGCTGTGAGCATTAGGGGGGTAGTGGGAACTGAACGTGGTCCTTTGGCTGCAAGAGCAACAAATGCTCTTACCTGTTGAGCCATCTCTTCAGCCTCCTTATTGAGTGCGTGTGTTTGTAGGTGGGTATAGGTTTGTACACGAGTGCAGCCCTCACAGAGTCCTGACGGGGCCAACTGTTTTGGGGGGCTGGAGTTACAGATGTTTGTAAGCCACCCGATGTGAGTGCTGGCAACTCAACTTGGGTTTTCCCCAAGAGCACAAAAACAATGCTTCAGCTCCAAGCTCTTATTTTTCAGGTGTCCATCATACCTCGGGGCAAGGGCCTTGGCTATGCCCAGTACCTTCCCCGGGAGCAGTACCTGTATACACGGGAGCAGCTCTTCGACCGCATGTGTATGATGCTGGGGGGTAGGGTGGCCGAGCAGCTGTTCTTTGGTCGGATCACCACAGGGGCCCAGGATGACCTGAAGAGGGTCACCCAGAGTGCCTATGCCCAGGTAAGCAGCCCTGTCCCACCGTGTGGCCCTGGTAGTTGCCCTGGGCACGACCTACCCTGGGCTCTTCCTGTTCTTCAGATTGTGCAGTTTGGAATGAGTGAGAGGCTGGGCCAGGTATCCTTTGACCTCCCCAGACAAGGTGAAACCATGGTGGAGAAGCCGTACAGCGAGGCTACTGCCCAGCTCATTGATGAGGAGGTCCGGTGCCTTGTGAGGTCTGCCTATGATCGGACCCTCGAGCTACTCACACAGTGCCGGGAGCAGGTTGAGAAGGTGAGTGGCCCGCTCAGACAGAGCCAGGTCATGGGGCCCAGGTCGGGATGTGGTCCATCTTCAGGGGCCTGCTTGGGAGAGGTTCTGTTCTGTATCAGGACCAATAATATGCTCGTGACCCAGCATCCTGATGGGTGTCCATCCTTTTCAGGTGAGCAGGCGACTCCTGGAGAAAGAAGTGCTGGAGAAGGCCGATATGGTGGAACTCTTGGGCCCTCGGCCCTTTGCAGAGAAGTCCACCTATGAGGAGTTTGTAGAGGGCACCGGCAGCCTAGAGGAGGACACATCCCTTCCTGAGGGCCTGAAAGACTGGAATCAGGGCCGGGAGGAAGGAAGCACTGAGCAGTGCTTGCAGGAGAGCCCTGTGTAGCCCATGGCCTGTGGCTGGGACGCAACTGTCAGTAACTGGGAAACAGATTAAAACAACTGCAAACAGACGTGTTAGAATCCATTCCATTCAGAATCCACAGAAAAGGGAGCTAGGACTTGGTGCCATCTAGCCAAGTAGATAGGTGAGGCCTGAGACCCTGGGCCTGACCTAGAGGTGGTCAGTTCAGATGGGAGAGAAAGTTGGGCTCTGGCTTCCTTGAAGCCATGAGTGTTGTCTCCTGTGGGATCCCAGGTGTAGGGCCAGCGGGAGCAACATCATGCTTTCAGTAGACAGCTGACCAGTTTCCAGGCATGCCTTTTACAGCTTGCCTGACCCAGCACAGTTTGAGTTCAGTGAAGTAGTCAGGAAAATGTAAGCCAGTTAACAAATGAAGCTGACCAGTCCTGAGGAAAGGAAGCCAGCACACCAATCAGTCTGTGCCTAAGGGCAGCAGCACGGCCTTCCCTGGCCTGTGGCAGCATCAGAAATTTTATTTTCTGAGTCCGACCTGGCATCTAGCCTGGGCATTTGTCTGTCTCACTGATGGAGTGTCACATTTAATTCCATTTTACAGCAGTCCTTTCCACAGAGCCCCTGCCCTTTTTTTTTTTAAATCACAAAAAGGCTTGTTTTGGGTGGAGCTCTCCAGCTCTGGTACAGATCTGTCAGCCCTCTGGTTGCAGTAAAGGAAGGGCTTTGTGAACTCCAAGCCTCCACGGGCTGAAAGAGGCAGATTCTTCTGCTGATCCTGGGGTGTGGTAAGGCCTGCTCTGTGAGACCTTTTAATGCTTGGAGTCCTGGGAGAGTGTTCTTGTGTACTTCCTCCAGAACACCCTGGGATCCCAGAGCTCAGGGGTGTGCCTCGGCTGCCTCAGCCATCCCCTCAGGCCTGCTCATGGCCCTGGGGAGGGTCCCTTTGCTCCCTCGACTTTTTAAAAGCTGCTGTGTGTCTACAGGTGTCATGTGTATGTATGTGCATGTGTGCGTACGATCATGCAGAGGCCAAAGGTTAACATAGTACATCTTTCTCAATTGCTGTCTTACTTGGTTGATTTTTTCCGTTTATTTATTGGTCTTGTCTGCATGTGCATGTCCACACACGCGCACCATGGTGCACATGTGTAAGACAGAGGACAACTTTTGAGAGGGAGTTCTCTACTGTGTGGGTTCTAAGATCATTGGGTGTGGCAGAACCTGCCTTTTCCTACAGAACCATCTTGCCAGCCAATCTACCTTGCTCTTTGAGGGGGAGTGTGTCTCTTCTTTAATCTGGCTAGATTTGCGGGCCAGCCGCTCCGGGGATCCTCCTGTCCCTGCCTCCCCAGGGCTGGGATTACAGATGTGACTTAATGCCCAGTGTTACGTGGACAGTGGGGAACTGTATGTTCATGCTTAAGCAGCAAGGACCTTGCAGACCGCGCTCCCTCCAGCCCTTGAATTGATGCTGATGAGCTTCCTGGTGCCTGGCCAGGAGGTGGAGATCTGTCCTCTGCCCCTTGAACCTTTTGTCCTTCTCTTTGGGGCCTGGCTAAGGACCAGAGTGGCTGTAAGGACTATACTGGTGTATTGTACATTTTTTAAGTTGTTATTTAGAGCCTCAGAAACAGACATTTCATCAGGGGACAGAGACTTTCAACTTTCACTGTTTGTAAAATGTGCATTGTGGAATTAAATTTTTTCATTTCTAATTTATGTGTTTGGGGTTTTGCCTTATGTATGTATACATGCACATATGCATGTGTGCGTACATGCATTCAGTAGCTATAGAGGCTGGAAGAGGGTGTCAGATCCACTGGAGCTGGAGTTACAGTCGTGAGCCGCCATGTGGGCACTGGGAATTGACCCTGGGTCCTCGGGAAGAACAGCCAGTGCTCTTAACTGCTGAGCCATCTCTCCAGCCTCACATTATTGAATTTTTTAAATCTCCAGGGCTCAACCTGTACCATTATTCACTGATGTACTTAGGGTCCTGGGGGCCTTGTATTAATTTTCCTCTGATGAGGTGGGGGGGGGGTCCCTTGGCCCTGAAACTGTGACACTGTAGACTCTGTGGTAGGGGCTTTAGGGCCAGCCTTGTCTCGGTGTCTCGGGGTTATTTGAAGTTGCTACTTTGGCACATCTGTGGGATCTCCTCTTCTATGGTGACCAAGCAGTGTTTGGGTGGATAGGTGACTGGGTCAGTCCTGCCTCCTCTGGGCTGCTCCTGAGGCGGCTCAAATGTTAGAGCCTCCGTGTGGGTATGGCAGGCTCTGGGGATGATGGGCCGAGCAGTGCAGTGTGGAGGACAGGCGCAGTGTAGGCCTCTGGCACACTGGAGTTCTCGCTGACCTGTCACGGCTCTTCACATCAGCTGCGGCTGCCCTGGGGAGACACCTGGAGCAGCCTCCTGCACACCCCAGCATACTGCTGACCATCCTGTTGGCTCAGTGTCTTCATCAAGGTTTGCCACAATGCACCTTGACCTTTGACCCAGGTGTTTCCTCCACACTCCATGTCTTTCACAGGTTTCTGGGTAAAGGGCTAGAACATCCTCTGTCTGGTGGTGCCTTCCCATGGAGGCCCTCCATTCTAGACAGAGCAGGTCATGCCATGTCGGTGCTGCCCCACCCGCTGTGGAAACCTGCAGGTGTGCCAGCAGGTAAGGACAGCAGGAGGCGTGAGCCAGCCAACCTTCCCTGCTCAGAACCAAGCAGCTTCCATCAGCTTCTTCCCAGGAAAGGGAAAGGGCACACAGATGCTTAGAATTTGCCAGAAACCATACCATTCCCAGAAAATGCACAGAGTAGATCTGGCTGCCAGCAAGAGGACCTGGAGGTGACTGCGTGTATGGAAGGCCGTGATCACCTGGGCCTGCAGGAAGGTAAATCATTCCCGGCTGCCCTCCATAGTGACCTCTTTTCTCTGGTTAATTTAAGCAGCAAGGTTTGGTCTGCCCTGTGGCTTCTGGGCAGAGTGCTCCCTCAGCCCAGGCCACCTTTGTTGGCTGGAAGAGTTGGCAGGGTTTGATTTCTTAGTTCCTTTTGTTCTATTAACTTAGGGACTAGAAATCCAGGGCACTTGTCCCTAAAATGCAGCTTAAATAAGCACAGCCCAGAACAGCACAGCAGAGCCGCCGTGGCACTTTGATATCAGCTAGAAGGACCATCGGGCCAAGGATGGTGGTACTTTATTCGCACTTTAATCTGTCACTGCGCCCCCGGGGAAGCTGCAGCAGGAGGGGGTAAGACCCTGGCAGGTTGGAGTGTGGCCAAGGGTCCACAGCTACCTTGAGATTAAAAGGCAGCTGCTGGGCTGTATCCTTTGGAAACCAGGGTTGGTTTTCATTTCGGGAGACAGGCAGAAATAACCCACATTCCAGGGTCAACAGTGCAGAGTCAGGCTGGCTCCGCAGTGGGAGCCTCCTGGGTGCTGCTCCCACCCCTCCCCAGAAGAAGGCTAGGGCCTTCTCCCCCACCCCCCCGCCACCCCAGCTCCCCACTGCAAATGAAAACCAAAGGCCTTGTCTTCCTCAGAAGACAGTGGGCAGCAGGCAGGGCAGCCTGGGGACAGAAAGCAAGTAAACCTTTATTTCAAAACCAGTCTTTGATTCATGGCCAGAGCAGCTTCTGGTTTGCCTTTGAGCCCATGAAGTAGTGTCACGAGTGTCTAAACCAAGTGCCCATCATGTCCCAGCACAGCAGGTGGCTAGGCTGGCCCTGCCTCCCCTGCGCTGCTCCTGAGACAGACCCACAACATCACAGCCTCACAACTGCATGCTCCACCTGTGATGTGGGTGAGCTAGGCAACAGGATTTGGAGATGTACAGCAGACGCCCCTGTGACAGACACAAGACTCTGCCCCTCCGAGCAGTCTGGGAGTCGTCACCGAGGGCGGATGTTCTGAACTAAGGAAGACACAGGGCCAATTTCTCAACTTTTGAGCTGTCATACCCACAGACCAAAAGAGGCAGGCCTGCCTGAGGTTGGGGGACGGAGACAGCAATGCCTGCCCAGGGCAGAGGAAGGGTGAAACGTAAGTCAAGGTGGAAATTTCTGGAAGTAACACCAACCCCACCGCTTGTCTGGACAGCAGAGCCAGCCCATGGCCTACCACCAAATCTGCTTTGGGCTTAGGAGCTGAGGCTGAAGATAAACCCTACGTGTTTCTGAGCAGCTGTCATGGGCTTGGATCCTTTACCTTGAGCCTACCTAGAATCTCACAAGAGACAAAAAGTCTTGTGCTAGGGACTCGGGCCACCATTTTCCACTCCATTCCTTCTCATCCCAAGGCAGACTCCACACTGCGTCGTCCCTGATTTCAGGAACCAGCTGGATCTAAGGCCACTGGGCTGTGCTTGTGCTGGGGGCACCCAGAGACCTGTGCCTGGCACCCGGATTTGACATGTCGTCAGGGGTTGATGGCTGGAGCCTGGGGAGTTGGTAGAGCCCGTCTCTTGTGCCAGTGCTGTCCTGATCTGCCATCACAGTGGATGGTCTGGCCCAGCCCTTCGGTGACTCCGGACAGATGGACATGGGCTAATGCTCCTTGGGCGCCTCCACAACTGCCCCTTGCCGCTCTGCGTCACTGGGGGGCTGTTTCTCTCGGTTCTGCTCCGCCCTTGTTTTTGTCCAGGACGGGGAGCGCAGGCAGCCAGCCCGGGACAGTGGGTGCAGACCTGCTGAGAACACAGAGAGTCGAGTCTAGAATTCAGCGAGTGGGGCACTGAGCCTCCACAGTGCGACTCTGCCAGGCTCATTAATGTACCTTCTGGGTGCACATAACATCTCCAGGTGTCTGCCACTGCACTGAAGATTTTATGGGATGGGCAGGGCCTTTCTGCGTCCCTAGGAGTCACTGGAGTCAAGGCTAAGGCTTTGTTCTCCCATTTTGTTTTCTTGAGACAGGATCTCACTTACATAACTTTGGCTGACCTCAAAGTCAGAGATGCCCCTGCCTCTGCTTCCCAAGGGCTGGGACCAAAGCCAAGCACAACTATGCCCAGCTCAAGTTAAGTCTTGAGACTGTCTGCCCTACTCCTGGTAGGACACTGCCAAAGCCCTGACTTCCTAAGTGGAGTAGTGCATCTTGAGGGCCTGCAAGCCTGATGGTTTCTGCCCTATCATGAGACTTCAGCTCCTCTGTGGGGTGCAGGCTGTATGGCGCTAGGGGCACCGTTAGGTTGGAGTTGAGTTCCCCACTCCTTGTCCAGCCACAGCTGTCCCAGACCATCCCTGGCTCATCATATGCATGCAGGCTTGAGGGGAAGGGAAAGCTGAGAGGGGGTGCCCCCAGACCTCCATTTTGCAGGAGAGCTGGGACAAGAACACCCATGAAGTGGACCAGGGCTCCACCTTCCGGTTGCTGTCCTCTGGGAGCCCACAGCTCCCTGGATGTGTGCCGGGCACTCCACCACCGCTCTGAGTGGAGTCCTCACTGGGCTGGTAGTCCCTTTAATAAGGATGGTGATTTTCCCAGCACTTGAAGGCAGACAAAGGTGGATCTCCATAAGTGTAAAGCCAGCCTGGTCTACACAGTGAGTTCCAGGCTACATGGTGAGACCTTGTCTTGAGGGAAGAAAGAAAAGGGACTTGCATCCATGAGGCCCTTGGCCTACAGAGTAGGTCACGTGTGCATGTTTTGAGTTGGGGGTGGGAGAAGCTGAGGCTGGTGGGAATGGGGCTCAGCTCCTTTGCTTTGCCTACCCCATAGCACAAAGTGGATAGCAGAAGGTCACATTGTTTTTTTTGGGGGGAAGGCAGGGAAGGGAGATTAGTTTTGGTTTTTCGAGACAGGGTTTTTTTTCTCTGTGCAGCCCTGACCTGGAACTCACTCTGTAGACCAGGCTGGCTTTAAACTTATAGAGATCCACCTTTGTCTGCTTCCTGAGTGCTGGGACTAAAGGCACACACCACCACCTAGCTGAGACAATGTATTTAAAAAACAAAAAACTAACAAAAAAAAACTGGAGCCAGGTGTGGTAGTGCAAGCCTTTATTCCCAGCACCCAGGAAGCAGAAGCAGGTAGATTTCTGAGTTTGAAGCTAACCTACCTGGTCTACACAGTGAGTTCTAGGATAGCCAGGACTATACAGAAAAGCCCTATCTTGGGGGAAAAAAAGTTTTTTTTTTTTTTAATTGGAGACTACAGAATTTGTCCCCAGGAAGGATTTGTGGCAAACGCTGTGTTGTGGCTGCAGGGATTAGAGCACAGCCTGCTGGGGTTCGGGAGAGGGCGGAAGAATGGTGAGGCTGGGGTCTTACCCACAGACCCTGCTCCAGATGATAGCACTTCTTCTTGCAGAGAAGTCATTCAAGTGAGGAGGCTGCTGAAGGCTGCCCTCCCCCCGTGCTGGGCTTAACTTAAAACCACATTCAGTAGGTTAGATTTTCAAGGAACATTAGCGCGAGCCTCCTGTGGTTCGTTTGGAGAATCAAGGAGAGGTGAATAGGGAGATTCTTTCATATGTGGTGATGCAAAATGCAATTAAGGGATGAGATGTGAGGACAACTAAGTACCCAGCTGGGTGGGAAGGTGTTTTTTCCTGCATAGGGATCTGCGGGGCACAGGGGTCCAGGACTCCCCCAGACCACCTCCTGCAGCCTCACCTGCCGGGGACTCGGTGGCAAGGTTCTCGTCGTCGGAGTCCGCAAAGACCTCGGCCAGCTCCTGGTCAGACATGTCGGTCAGCTCAGTGAGGTCCAGGAGATCAAAGTGGACCTCCAGGGAGGAGACGCTGCTCAGAGGCTCTGTGGGTTGCAGGGACATGGCACCTAGATGAGGTTCTGAAGAGCCCCGGGGTGACCTGGTACTGTTTGTGTGTGTTTCGCTAGTGCGTGTGCTTGCATACATATGCGTGTGCATCAGGCCAGAGGCTGACGGGTGTCTTAACTCAGTTGTTCCCTGCTTTACTTTTTGAAATGGGGACTCTGACCTCACCAGTTTGGCTAACTCACAGGGATCTGTTTCCGCCTCCCCACTGTGGGGTTATAAGGCTCTCCTACAGGAGTGCTGGGGATCTGAACCCAAGTTCTTAAGCTTCCCCGGCAGGCAGTTCCCGGAGCTGGCACTTTCTGGAAAGCCAGTACTAGACAAGACCCAGAGCCCAGATGGCTCTGTGTGCTCCAGACTAGAGATCTTTCTCAGCTCCTCCACCCTGCACACACAGTTCCCCAGAACTGGGCAGTGTTGCTGCCTTTAAACAAAACAAAACAAAACAAAACATTTATTTATTTTTATGTATATGAGTGCTCTATCTGCATGTACACCTGCATGCCAGCAGAGGGCACCAGAACTCATTATAGATGGTTGTGAGCCATGTGGTTGCTGGGAATTGAATTTAGGCCCCCTGGAAGAGCAGCCAGCGCTCTTAACTGCTGAGCCATCTCTTTAGTCCAAAAGCACCCCTCCCCCCAGACAGGGTTTCTCTGTGTAACCATGGCTGTCCTGGAAGTCGTTTTTTGACCAGGCTGGCCTTGAACTCACAGAAAACTGCCTGTCTCTTCCTCCCAAGTGTTGGGATTACAGGCGTGCACCTCCCCCAGTGTTGCTGCCTTTCACACCCAGGCTGCTCTGTCCCTGATGATTGGCATTCCTCTATGCTGCTGGGGTGGTTGGTGATACTTACGCCTCCTCTCTGTGACCTGCAGGAACCCTGGCGCCGGTATTGGAATGCCAACCTCCTCCTCTTCTGCCACGGGTGTGTGACAAGTGTCCCCTGTGTCCTGAACTGGAACACTCAGGGCAGCCTGGGGCACCTTGACTTCCTTAATCTCTGCAACCAAGACACAGCGTCACCTCTACACTCACGGCCCACACATCCCCCCAGATGCCGAGGAAGGAGGAACGTGAGGGGCTGATGGGTCAGGGCCTCTGTGGCCAGTGGTTTGTTTTCATGGCCTTAGACAAGGAGGCATGGATGTTGCTCCCTCCCCAGGCCTTGTCCTCCCTGGGTAAAGGGTATCTGTCAGTGGACAGGCAGACGGACAGACTGCTCAGCACTGCAGAGTGCTCTTGGTATGGGAATTCCACCTCAGGTTTGCCAGCATAAGGTGCCATTGTGCCTGCACTGCTGTTTGCACTAGTTTTTGGCCTGCCTAGGGTTTAGTGGTCACTTGTGGGTTCCTGTCTTTCTGCTAGGGGCTCACTGACTTATGAATGCCCTGTGAAGTATCTGAATTCAAAAGGAAAAGAAGCAATCAGGAAGTGGCATCCTTGCTCTCCCAGGATCCCTCACTACCATCCCAACTGCAGTGTAGTGAATGTTCTTTTTAAAAGCATGTACACCTGCACACCAGAAGGGGCACCAGATCACATTATAGATAGTTGTGAACCACCATGAGGTTGCTGGGAATTGAACTCAGGACCTCTGGAAGAGCAGCCAGTACTCTTAACTGCTGAGCCATCTCTCTCCAGCCCCTGCTTGTTTTTCTTATTTAACAGTTTTCTGTTGGGCAAGAATCCTCAGGGCTCTGCCAGGGTGAAGCCTGTGCTCAGTCCCACACTAGGACTCATGGTTTCCTTCTGGTGCTTGGAGGTTCTGGACCCTTGTGCATCCATCTCACACACAATCCTGGCAGCTTCTCCCACGGGGTGGTTTAGAGCTCTTAGCAGGTACCTTTCCTCTCCCTTCCCAGGAGCCGCCTGGCCACTCCCCAGACCCTGCCAGAGGTTCCCAGTAGTCAGGTGTGTCCCCTTGTGTCCATCCCTTGAGTTAGCTTTTTCCCAGAGGAGAGTGTCCCCGAATTCCTACCTCTCTGCCCCTTCTCCACCAGTACTTCCCAGGGCCTTCAGCTTCCCTCTCTGGTTTCTGGGTCCTTTGTGGTGTGTCTGACTTCCTGTGTAACCTGTGCATCCGTGCTGGGGAGCTCAACTGTCTCATGGATTATTTTTGGCAGCCCTGGGTGACGAGCAGTGAACACACTGAGAAGAGCAGCTGCTGCTGTGAACAGGATTTGAACTGAGGAGGCCACAGCCACGGACAGCTGCATGTCAGGCTAGCCTGCCTTTCCTGATGAGATGTGTTGGCAGCAGATGTGGGGCTGGGGCATCCACGAACATGTGGGTCGCAGGTGGGGCCAGGAGAGGGGGGATGGGTGGAAAGTCCTGAAGGGCCCTAACCTGAGTAATGTCTGAGGGAGAATGAGAGACTGGTGAGGACACAGTCCAGGTGGAAGGGAAGAGATGCTGCCACTGATCACACTTTCTTTTCTGGGGTCTTCTGTGTTGAGATGGGGACCCCAGCTAGGACCTTAGCTAAATAGCAAGTATGGCCCCTATCCTGCACCCCTTACTAGAGGTCTGGGGTCACACAGTCTCCAGACCCTGGGTCAAGACAATGGTGACCTTACATCTTCTCATATTTTGTCTATGAGGTTTTCGAGTCCATGAGCTGCAGCACCTCCTTGTTTTGGGTAATGGGGATCAAACCAAGAACATGACACACTCTAGGCAGGTGTTATCTCTAAAGTTTTCACAGCATCATAATGTATCTAATTCCAGTTCTTTTCCATTTTACTTTGGCCTTGGTCCTGTCTTTATTCTGTAAATCCTGGTGCTTTGTCCTAAACCAAATCTGTAGGGGAAGAGAATGAAGAAGATGGAATTGTCACCCTCAAGAACATTCCTGTGGTACCCGCTCACAGTGCCGGCATGAGCACGAGGGAGATGGAGGCAGGGCTCTGGGATGCAGTCCACAAACGAGAGGAAGGAGCAACCTTGAGGCAGATGTAGTGCTTACACTGACAGTCGCAGCAGTTGGCAAGTGGCAAGAAGATCATGAGTTTTGGAGCCAGGAGTAAAAATATGCCAAGACCCCCATAACTCTCTCTCTCCACCCATCTCTGTGTTCACACAAATGACCTCCATCTTTTGTGTGTGTGTGAATGAATGATCCCTATCTGTGTGTGTGAATGATCCTCATCTCTGTGTCTGTGGAAGGATAACCATGGCCACACAACTGAATGGCTGAGCTAAGGATCACGCAGGCCAATTTGCCCCCTTTTGGCAAGCTGCTGTAGGAAGGAGGAACAAGTTCTCCCCAGCAAGATCTGTTACCCTTCCCAGTTCGGAAGCAGAGGCACCACGGCGGGCAGCTTAGGACAGGGCAGATACTGACAGACTGCCTGAGCCAATAGCTGAATGGGCTCAGATCAGCGTGGACAGGGTAGAGGCAGGTGGGAGGACTCCACAGTGATCCTTGGCTCCGGCCCCATGCAGACTCTACAAAGGGGCTGCTGCCGCCCTGACCTGTGGATGGAGATTTGCGACGGTTTCCTGCCTACCAGGTTTCCTAAGGACCGGCACGTCACATTTGCTTTGCTGTTGCCCTATTTCCAGCACATTTGTGACTTGGAAACTAGGCCTAACTCTCATGTTTCGTGCTGTGCTCCCAAGGCCCAGCCAGTCTTCACACCATTGACCAAGCGAAGAAATGAGCTGATGGCGTGAAGGAGGGAGGGTCACAGAGGTAGGGGACCACCTGAGTGCCTTTCCCCAGCATCTCTGCCTGAGTCTGCCGTCATGGAATGTTTTAAGGAGGCTGAGATCTACTCAGTGTTCTGAGTGCAGGGTCACAGTCTCCTGTTTCCCTACAGGGTCTGGGGAACCCTTAGAGATGAGGAAGGGACAGAGACCTGGTGGCTGGAAGACCCAGGAGGGCCTCTCAGGGAGGGCAGCTTCACACTTCCAGGCATGAGCCTCAGCTGCATGACCTGTGCTTTCTAAAGAAATTATCACCTGGCCATGCCCGGGCACACCTTTAATCCCAGCACTCAAGAGCTAGAGGCAGGCAGAGCTCTATGAACTCCAGGCTAGCCAGGGCTACATAATGAGACCTTGTCATTCCCCTATTCCCCAACTTAGGTACAAAAATTATATATTAGGCTTGGATGATAGTACACATCTTCAATCCCAGCACTCAGGAGGTGGAGGCAGGCAGATCTCGGAGTTCGAGGCCAGCCTGGTCTGTCTCAAGATCCAGGGTAGCCAGGGCTACATAGTCAGACCCTGGCTTAATGATACTTCATTAAAAAAATTACCTTTGGGAGATAGTTTCTTCAGTGGCTTTTGATGAATAAAAAGTCTAGATTAAATACAAAATAGTGAAGGGAGGCTGAGGTCTGATGAGCTCGCCTGGCTGCCAGCCTGGGAGGCAGTACACAGAACTCCACCGTACTGGCTCTGCTTTTGTGTGTGTTTCACACTCTCCAAAACAAAGCGTAACTCAGATATGAGTCACACTCACCCTCAGGAAGTACAGCTCACTATCGGGCGGGCACAGCACCTGCATAGTACCTATTCAACAGTATTTGTCATTGAATTGCGATTCTGGGGACCCCAGCCAGTCATTTGTACAGCAGATACAACTCACTCTATCTCTGTTTAAACTTTTGGGAAAGTTCTTTCTCCAGAGAAAGAAAGGAAAACCTCTGCCCTAGCCAAGGGGCCGCCTGTACGGGCAGCCATGCTCACAGAGGCTCAGGGGCAGGGGCAGGTTTCCAACATCACACAGCTCAAAAGTCGTCCTGAACTGTGCAAGCAAGTCCTTGCTCCCCAAACCACCTACCCACAGAGCTGGCGGGGGAGACCCTGCGTCCTGGGACCGTCAATAGCAAAAACAAAACAACAAAGCACAATCGACCCCACAGGCTGCAGGGTGCCTGGCGCTTAGGAGGAGCACGGTTCTCGAACAGGGCAGGTCATCGCCCCCCTCCCCCGCCTGCAGCCACAGGAGACAGCCTGGGGACGGCTCCCAGGGGGCAGCCCTTTGAGAACAAGTCATCGTGAGGCTGGGCGGGCTGCAGAGCGACAAGCTGGCCAAATCCACAGACTCCTGATGGCTCCTTGGGAGGGGACCTTTAGGAAATCCTAGAGGTGTTGGGCACGCTAGGCAAGCGAAGTTCCCACAGCGATGGATCCCTGAAAAGCTTTCTGGAAAGCTGAGCCGGGGGGTGGGGTGGTGGTGGACGGTTTTAAGAGTTTCCCCCCAATTATCCCGCCTGTGGGCAGACTCCAAGGAGCGCAGAGCCGGCAGAATCTTAGCCTCCACCAAGGGTCTCCGCTGCTGGGACAGGCTGAGAAGGGGCATACCGTCCACACCTTTCCTTCCGAATGTGGCAGCTGGACAGCACGGACGCCGCTGCCCTGCAGCAGCAGGGGCCCGGGTGCATGCGCCATGACCTCACCAAAACCCCAGCTCAGCCCGGAGCCCCAGACCCCCTCCAGTCTCTTGTCATTCCTCCCGGCATCGCGGCTGGGGCGAACAAAGCCCACGCGAGAATAAGAGGGTTGCATCCGCCCCAGGAATCGCCTCTCCAGACCCCGAACTGCGGTCCCCGCACGCCCCTCCCCCACTCCCAGCCTGGGCTGGTGGGGGGCTCAGGCGACATCCGCCGGCCTCCAGGCCCTGGGAGCAGCGGGCCAGTGGGCAGAGGGAGGGGCTGCGGTCTGTCGCTGGGGTTCAACGGGGGACCTCGGTCGTACTCACCTCCTTGACCAGCGGCCTCTGGAGACTCCATGCGGCCAACGGGGTCCGCGAGGGGTGTGGGCAGCGGCGGCGGCGGCCGGCCCGGGTGCCCCGACTGCTCTGGCGACTGCTGGTTCCGAGCTCCGGGCGCAGCGCATCGGGGCAGCAGCCAAGGGGCCGCGGCGGCGGGGAGGAACCCGCGGGGCGGGGCGCGCAGCTGCTTCGGGCGCCGGTCCCCTCCCCATCTCCAGCAGCCAGCAGCACAGGTGCGGCCCCGCCCTGTTCCTCGCGCGCCCCCTGCCGACCCGGCCAGCAACAACCCCCACCCCCACCCTCCAACCATCCTGCAGGGACGGACCCTGGGCTCCTGCGCACTGAGCTGCGCAGACTTCCGTCCATCCATCCAAACACTCCCACAGCCCCGCCAGGCTTTTGTGGGGCGACGGCTATGCGAGGCGCCTGGCGGAGCTAGGGGAGGAGGTGGCCCAAGCAGGGCCAAAGCAGCACCAGACCGCTTAGGTGACGAGCCTGGAATTGTGGATCTGATTGATACTACCGAAACCATATTGACAGTACCAGGCGGGAGTCGGGGTGTGGGGAGGTGTGGGGGTACTGGGAAGAGGCGGCCTTGGATGTATTCAGAGTCCACAATTGGAGTCCACCTCTAAACGCCAGTCCTGCACCAGACCTGCTTGCATTGCGGTGTGCTGGATAGTTTTATGTCTACTTGACACAAATGAAGTCATCTGAGAAGCGGGAACCTCAATGGAGAAAATGCCTCAGTGAGGTCCAGCTGTGGGGCATTGTCTTAATTTATTATTGATGTGGGAGGGCCAGGCCGCTGTGGATGGTACTATCCCTGGGCAGGTGGTCCTGAGTTCTGTAAGAAAGCAGGCTGAGGCCAGGCAGTGGTGGCACACACCTTTAGTCCCATCGCTCGGGTGGCAGGTGCAGGCGGATCTCTGAAAATAGGCCAGAGCAAGTCTGGAGGAGCAAGCCAGTCAGCAGCACCCCTCTGTGGCCTCTGCATCAGCTCCTGCCTCTGGGTTCCTACCCTGCTTGAGCTCCTGTCCTGGCTTCCTTTGATGATGAACAGTGATGTGGAAGTGTAAACTGAATAAATCTTTTTCCTCCCCAAGTTGTTTTGCTTGTGGTGTTTCCTTACAGCAATAGTGACCTTACCTAAGATACACAGTATCTCTTCATTCCTTACAGAGATCCAAAGGAGATGCGGAGCACAGAAACCGCCAGTACCTTTCCTCCGGTTGCGCAATCAAGGTCCGACCTAAAATCCTTTTACAATTTTACAAAAACAAAATAAAATAGAAAGAAAGAAAGAAAAGAAAAAGAAACAAAGCAAACTATCAAGAGAGGATGACAGGCTACAGAGATGGCTCAGTGCTGGCTGCTCTTCTAGAGGTCCTGAGTTCAATTCCCAGCACCCACGTGGTGGCTCATCTATAACCATAGTTCTATGAGATCCAATGCCTTCTTCTAGTGTGCAAATGTACATACAGACAAAACACTCATATACATAAATAAATTAAAAAAAAAGAGCATGGTGCAGCAGCACTCAGGGAGGCAGAGGCAGGTGGATCCATGTGAGTTGGAGGCCAGCCTGGTCTACAACATGAGTCCAGGACAGCCAAGGCTACACAGAGAAACCCTTAAAAATGTTTGTAGGCCCATTTCAGAAAGTTAACAGCTCTCCTCTATTTTACAAAACAAGGAAACAAAGCCACATCCTGGTTAAATCCCTCTGAACCCCACCAGGCCTGGCTGATTCGACAGTCATTCCTTCCCTCCCTGGGACAGAACTAGGGTACAGGGTTAGCTTGGGTGAATACTGACCATCTGTAGAGACAGTGGTTGGACATAGGCCCCTACTAGGCCACGAGCGGCAGATTGTGTTTTCCAAAATGACTATGGCAGTTAAAATGTCATGGAGCCAGTCATGGTGCTACAGACCCATAATCCCAACACTTCACGGGTAGAGTCAGGAGGATCCAGAGTTCAAGATCACCCTCTGTTGCACAGCAGCTTGGAGGTCAACCTTGACTGATTGAGACCCTGCTCCAACAAAGATGCCAAAAACACCGGAAGTGTTTCCTCCGGAACTACTCCCATCCAGCCTCTTCTGCTTCGGCGTTGCTGGAGCCTGTGACCTCACTGGCCAGCACAGCATGGTAGATGTAATGCCGAGTAACTTCCAAGGCTAGGTCAGTAAAATAAATAAATAGCAAATGAATAAAAAAGTCGATCGAGCTTCCTTGGAAGGCTCCTGTAGAAGGCAGGTCACCATGTGGTGAGAGAACCAGGCTGCCCACTTGCGTGTGTCCCAGCTGGCACGCTCTCTCTTGAGAGCCCTGCCAGCGGCTGGCCCGACTAGGCTCAGGTGCTTCTAGGTGCTCCTTTTGAGGCTTCTGGGGAACGAGTGGTGAGGGCCTGGGTGGGCAGCCCACCAAGTCACTGCCAAGGTTCAGGCTCGTCAGCAAAATAAACGAGGTCATTGTGCTGCCGCTTTGCTTTAGCCCCAGCCCGTGTCTGCAGCAGCCATTTTTTTAAGTAGTGATTCCCATTTGAAAGAAGACTAAGTGCTAGACACAGGCTCTCCTCAAAGCTTTCCCAGCCGGCGACCGGCAGGCCCAGTGATTTCTGAGGCTGGTGTTTTATGTTCAAGTTTCCCTTAAGGACCTTCCCAAGCGCACAGTGGGCAGAACGGCACCGGATGATCCCCTAGAACCGCAACCCAACAAGGAAGGTTAGACATCTTCTCTGCTCAGCCACCTCCTTCTTCACTGTTGTTCTGAAGCAGATTTCTACACACACCTCTCCTTCATCTCGTTTGCAAATACTTCTAAAAGAAAGACCCATTTTGTTGCACTGATATCTTAGCCTTCAGCCCATTGATGCAGTGGGCCGAGGTGAATGTCTGGTCAGTTGGTTTGTGGACGTCAGTGTTTGTTCTGGGGCTTCGCAGGGAACTGATGCCCTTTGTCTGGGCTTCTGAGCTGCAGTGCTTGATGCTGACTAAGACTTTCTTAATCTGTAGCTGTGAAGAAAAGGCTCTTTTCTGAACATCATAACTTAAAACTCTGCAGGAAAAGCTCAGATCAGTGTTGGTCTCTTTGGGGATCCAGAGAGTCTCCAGCCCATGCTCCTTAAGCCGCTCAGTCTCTGTAACCCCACATTGGAAAACCAAGCTGCTCTGTTGATCTGTGCCGAACAAAAATCCTCCCTATGTTATCCCGAACAAATCTTCTTCTTCTTGCCCTTTTAAATGAATGGAGTTGTTGTATTTTGTTTGTTTGTTTTTGATATTTGAGACAAGGGTTCTCTCTTTGTAGCCCTGACTATCCTGGAACTCGCTCTGTAGACCAGACTGGACTCCAGCTCAGTGATCAATCCACTTGCTTCTGCCTCCTGAGTGCTGGGATTAGAGGCTTGCGTTGTTACTACATTTATTGAATTCAGAAATCTCTAGTAGATTAATGAAGCAAAGGCAAAACAGAAAGCATCTAGCATGTTGTGGTTAAGTGTCAAGTAATCACTTGCTCTACTGTGCTGTTGCCAAATCTCCTCGGGAGACTCCTGACCCCTATCCCTCTATGCTCACCTCAGAGTTCACTGCAGTCTGCAGCCATGGTGGCTCTTTTTTAAGGTTTACTATAAGCAAGCCACTGTTAGAATGTTCAGAGGATTCAAGGCTGTTCTTCCAGCTGGCCATTCTTCTGGAAGAATCTGTGTGTGGGGGGGCGGGGGGACAGGTGGTGGGTAAGCAAACAAGAGGAACTAATTGCTCTGACTCTCAGAGCCCACTACTGAGCGAGTCTTGCTCTCCATGGATGGCGAGACCTGCACCCACTTACAGTTGTAGAATCTCCATGCCAAAGCTGGCAGGGCAGCAGGAGCGCTGCCTTTTTTTTTTTTTTTTTTTTTTTAATCTCTCTCTTCTCTTCTCCTCTTCTCTCTCTTCTCTCCTCTTCTCTTCTCTTCTCTCCTTCCTTCCTTCCTTCCTTCCTTCCTTCCTTCCTTCCTTCCTTCCTTCTCTTTTTTATTTTTTATTTTTGACAGGGTCTTGGTATGTAGCCCAGGCTAGTTTCCAACCCGTGCAGTTTTCCCCTCCGCGTCCCCAGTGTTGTGACTGCAGACATAAGGTAACACTCCCAGCCTTTTTTCTTTCCTGATTTCCGGGATGCCCAGCTTTGCGTTTTCGGTCTCATCAGGGCAGAACGTGGAAGGAATTTTCACCAGCGGGGCAAGGTTGGATGAACCAGAGGAGCGGGCTCTGAGTTCACGTTTGAATGCAGTTTGGGAACTAAGCTTGGGTGGCGGGTTAATCATTCAGACATGCTCTTCTTCATCTGTTCCTCCCTGAGCACCCACCACGTAGACTCTGCAGAACCGCAGGATGCACAGTGGGAGGGAGAGGAGCAGCGCCTGGAGGCTCGGCCGTGCGTCGTTAGGGACGCGCTCCCGGTTGCCCAGGTCCCTCGGGGAGGACAGGGGCGGTGCAGGGGCGGGGAGCATAGTCTCGCGAGGCTTTGTGAACCGGCGCGGGATCTCGTCCGGGTTGCCAGGAGACCGCGCAGCCTGCGCTGATCAGCGCCTGTTCCCGGGTAGTGGCGGTGCTGGACCGGCGGCAGCATGGTGAGTTGGGCCGGCGCGCTGGAGCGGACAAGCTCGGATCTCCGGTCCCGGGGGAGCCCGCGGGAGCCCGGAGCTGAGCGGCCTGCAGTTGTGGATGACTAGTGCCGAGAACTGGGCGCGTCCGTGAGGTCCCGGGAGGCCGGGAGGCCGGGGCCTGTGTACGCTCGTAAGGTTGGGCTCCTCGGTTCTCTGGGAGAGTCGTCGGGCTGAGGGCCTGGTGTGCGAGGTGTCCAGAAGTCAGAAGCTCAGTCCGCGAGATCCTTGGGATCTGGGATTCCACCTCATGTGGGATCCCGGGTTCCCAAGGGTCCGCAGGGAGCAGAGTCCCACACGGGAGAAGCTGTCGCAGATCTGTCTCTGAGGTGCAGAGCCTGACCAGGGGCCCCACCGTGGTTTACAGAGACCTCGGGCTCCTGGGAAGACCAAGGCAGAAGCCCCCTGCCTTAGGTCGTCTCATACACTGATCCCCACCACCAGCTTTCCGATGTCGGTGTTGTCATTACGCAGTTTCTTGGCAGGCGTGCCAGGGGATGGGGTGGCGCCTCCCCGTGGGAGCTCCTGCCTGGAAACATGGAGACAGTATTAACAGCTGGAGAATCCTCCTTCAAAGCCTTTGTGTCCTTATCAAAGCTGCTAACATAAAGCAGGACGTGGGGCCGGAGAGATGGCTCAGTGGTTAAGAGCACTGTCTGCCCTTCCATAGGACCCCGGTTCAATTCCCAGCACCCACATGGCAGCTCACCACTGTCTGTAACTTCAATGCCGAGGAGTCTGACACTTCACACTAATGCACAAATGCTTACTCCACTGTAAGCAGAAACAGGCACTCGGAGTGTGCTGTGGGCTCACTCTTGACCAGAGTTCTCTGAAGCAGCTTTATATTTGGAAGAAGCGAGGCCTCAGAGCTGAAGCGGATAGGAACAGGGTCTTAGCTAAAAGGATAAGTTTTGTTATGTGTCTCTGGGGTGTGATAGCCACATGCCACAGGGTGGTTTGTGTGGGAGTGCCCAAATAAGTTTTTCTTTTAGGTTTCTGCACTACCCCTCAAATACACCTTAATTTTAGCTTTCTTACTCACCCCCCTCTGTCTTCCCCAAATAAGTTTTTCGTTAAAAAAATAAATAAATAAAAAATAAATTTTTTTTTTAATAGCACCAAAGAAATCCTTGCCCTTTATTCAGGAATAAATGGATCTGGGGTGGATTCTTTCTTTTTTTGTGTGAAGAGAAAGCTTTTTCCTTTATGCTTCTCCAAATGTGTTAATGATCTCTCTGTCTGTCTGTCTCTCTCTGTGGTTACTGGGGGAGGGGGTTAGTGTAGTGATGCCCTGAGTGGCCCAGTCAACAGTGCGTCACTGGTGGAGGTCAGATTCTAAACAGCTGTGTGAGCAGACAGAGCCAGCTGAGGAGGGAGGCTGTTCCACAGAGGTGGCCTTTACTTACTCGGCCATCTCTTCTTCACACAAAGGCGCCCAAAAAGAAAGGGAAGAAAGGCAAAGCCAAAGCCACCACGATTGTTGACGGCGTCCCTCCGGAGGAGATGACCAAGGATCAGGTGAGCACAGCCCGTGCTGGCGGGTCCCCGAGTCCGGTGGGCCCTGCTGCAGACCTGTTGGTTGTGGGGCCTCAGTCAGTCCAAACGTAACGCGCCTGTCCTCTGTCGCTATTTCCATCACCTCCACGTGCCCTGCTCTTAAAAATGCAATACAGCCATGTGAAGAAGCTATAATCAGACGTGGAAGGAGTCCCCCCAACCCTTGAACACAATAGTTATTTTTAACTTTCTGTATTTTCTTTCATTCTTATCATTTTATTACCTGATGGTGCTGTGCACCGCCGGCCAGTACAGGAAAACAATCTGTGCTATAAATTTGCTGCATACAGGACAGTGAGACGCGCCCCCATCCCCATTTGCCCAGATCTGGATCCCTTACAAATAGCTCATGAGATAAGACCGAGGAACCTTGCCCCCAGCCACCATGAAGACTTCTGCCTGCTCTCCGAGTGGGCACCCTCTTGGGAGCTTGCACGCTGCTCACGCGCAGCGAGTGTCAGTAGAGTTCCTCAGTTTATCTCTGTGTTCTGGGTAATCTCCTTCATTGCTCTTGCACTGGCCTTCCACATGACACTTTCAAAGGCTATACTTTTTTTTTGTTTTTTTTTTTTACAGCTATCCTTTTATTTAAAATATGTTTTTTGGAGCCGGAGAATTGGCTTGTTGGTTAAGAGCATGGCTGCTCTGGCAGAGGACTCAGCTTGATAGCCGTCTGTAACCCCAGTTCTAAAGGATCTGATCCTCCTCTGACCTCCAAGGGCTCCAAGCACACACATGATACACAGGCATTCGTGCAAAGTACATGCTTTTTTTAAATTTTTATTAATTACACTTTATTCATTTTGTATCCCCCCATAAGCCCCTCCCTCCTCCCCTCCCGATCCCACCCTCCCTCCCCTTTCTGCATGCATGCCCCTCCCCAAGTCCACTGATAGGGGAGGTTCTCCTCTCCTTTCTGATCTTAGTCTATCAGTTCTCATCAAAAGTGGCTGGAATGTCCTCTACTGTGGCCTGGTAAGGCTGATCCCCCCTCAGGGGGAGGTGATCAACGAGCAGGCCAATCAGATTATGTCAAGTACATGCTTTTAAAGACTTGATTTTATCTGTGTATCAGTGTGTGTGTGTGTGTGTTATCTGTATGTATGCATTTTTGATTTTTTAAGAGAAGTTAGAAATTTGAATATTTATAAGAAATCAGAAAAAAAATAAATAAATCAGTTGATGACAAACTCTGAAAGCGTACGAGCCAAACAGAACAGGGTGTTTGTAACTATTTGAGTGACACTGAAGGCCCACGGTGTGAAGACACTTGTTGGACACTCTCAGTGTGCATGTCACCGTGCCAGACACTAGTCAGATCCTGGGGTGCCATGCTCCCTCGTAGGCCCCTAGCCCCTGCCCAGCACCCTTCCTCAGAGCTCCTTGGCTGCTTGTTGTCTTGTTTATTGAAGTGAGAGATATGGTCCCCTGTGTGGAATGTAGTCTTTTTTTGTTTTTCTGTGCAGATTTCTCTGTGTAGACCAGGCTGGCCTCAAACTCACAGCAATCCACCTGCCTCTGCCTCCTGAGTGATGGCAGCCATGCCGTACTGCCCAGTGGAATGTAGCATTGAGAGAGAAAAATACAGTAACTATCCCGGGGCTGTGCCTAAAGATAACTAATTCTCAAGGGAAGCCAGAGCCCACGAAAGCTGGAAACCTGTCCTACTTTTCCCTCTAACCTATTTGCAGATTTATAATTGGCTCTGGACCTCAGGCTATTGAGTGCAAAGAGCCTGCTAGTTTTGTTATTTTTTTGCAGAGACATTTATGTGCTTCTGTGTGATTTTTTTATATCTCTTACAGTCCACATATTCCAATTTCCAACAATTTTCCTGTTTAAAATAGTTTTAGATCATTTCCTTTTAAAGGTTTTGGGTTTTTTGTTTGTTTGCTTTTTGCAGTGAATAACAATGGTAGTCTAATATGTTGGAACAAAAATGATACTTGTGTTTCTTCTGAGAACCCAGGAGTTTCTTAAAGGAATCCAGGAGTTGCTGAAGAGATATAATTGTTTTGTAATAATTGGCCAAATTTGGGGACTCTTGCTGTTCGCTGTCCCGGGAGCCTTCCTGCCTTGTATTTTAAGTTTAGTAAAAATGGCCCCTCCCTGTCTCTCCCTGCTGCCCTTGGCGCACACACACCGTTGGAGGGCGGGCGCATGCGGGGTCTCTTGACAACCTTGCCTGGCCAGGTGGAGGAGCACATCGCCCGAATCCGGGAGGAGCTGGACCGGGAGCGGGAGGAGCGCAACTACTTCCAGCTGGAGCGAGACAAGATCCACACCTTCTGGGAGATCACACGCAGGCAGCTGGAGGAGAAGAAGGCTGAGCTGCGGAACAAAGACCGAGAGATGGAGGAGGCTGAGGAGAGGCACCAGGTGGAGATCAAGGTGAGCAGAGGCAGCCAGTCTGTGCCCGCTGGCGTGGTGCAGTGGCACAGAGGCAGGCGGAAGGGTGCGGGGGGAAAGGGTTTCCCGGTTCTCTCTGGGAACACACTCCTTTGCACTGTGAACCAGAGCCAATTTTTCTGAGAGTCAAAGGAAGGGTTCAAAGGTGATTTGGCCATGTCATCTGTCATCCTGTTGATCACCAGCTTCAATTCTGCTTATTAATTTGGTGGCCCTCCTCATCTTCAGCACATGTGTCCTCCTGAGGCCGTGTGCTCTCTAATTGAGGGCCGCTGGCCCTGATGAGAGGGCTGCCGTGAGGTCTAGGTGCAGGTGTACCAAGAATGGCTATAAATTCAGTCAAATGGAATTGGAAAACACTAGGTGCATGCCTGTTATCCCAGTGCTTGGGAGGCGGGCACAAGAGGGCCAGGAGTTCAAGGCCAACTTTTGAGTTATATTAATAGTTTTAGACCAGCCTGGGCTACAGGAGACCCTGTCTCAAAACAAACAAAAAGCATGACGTTTTCATTTTTATTTTTATTTTTTCCCCCAAGACAGGGTTTCTCTGTGTAGCCTTGGCTGTCCTGGACTCACTTTGTAGACCAGGCTGACCTTGAACTCACAGAGCTCTGCCTCCCTGAGTGCCGGGATCACAGTTGCACCGTGCTCTGGCCCATTTATTCTTTATGAGTGACCTGTCACAGTGTCAGCTGTGCGCCCTGTCAGAACCACTTGACAATCTCCAAGGAGGACAAGGGACGCAGTTTCATCCTTGGAGTAGCTGGAGAGGCCCCTCAGGTAGTGTGAGGCCCGTGAGCAGGCTAACTCTTCCGGTTCTTCTGCAGCCGCGTTCCCTGTGAGCTGGGCATGCGAGGTGCTCCAGATGCGCAGTGCTCCAGATGCGCCTGTGCCCCCTGTAGGTGTACAAGCAGAAAGTGAAGCACCTGCTGTACGAGCACCAGAACAACTTGGCGGAGGTGAAGGCGGAGGGCACCGTGGTGATGAAGCTTGCGCAGAAGGAGCACCGCGCGCAGGAGGGCGTGCTGCGCAAAGACATGCGGCTCCTGAAGGTGGAGCTCAAGGAGCAGGAGCTGGCCAGCGAGGTGGTCATCAAGAACCTGCGGCTGGTAGGTGCATGCGGGAAAGCCGTCAGAGGTTTAGACAGATAAATTAGCAAACTTTTATTTAGACTTGCAGTTTGTAGGGGCAGGAGAGCTGGCCCAGCAGTTAGGAGCAATGGCTCCTCCTCTAGAGGACCTGTTGATTCCCATCACCCACATGGCAGCTCACAGCCATCATGATTCCAGTTTCAGGGAATCCAGCAGCTTCCTCTGGCCTCTGAGCACCAGGCACACATGTAGCGTGCAGACACACACGCTAGCAAAACACGTAATATCAAACCCACATCATGTAAGAATCTGAGTTGGAGCGGTGGCTCAGTGGCCAGGTGCCTCAGGTGAGCTCGGTACTCAGTGAAGAGTACTGATTGTTCTTAGAGAAGACCCAAGTTCAACACCATCACCTCATCTGGTGGTTTGCAACAGTCTGTAGCTCCAGTTCAAAGAGATCCAAGGCCGCCTTCTGGCCTTCATATGCACCAGGCATGCAGATGGTTCACAAACATATATGCAGATGTAATACACGTATAAAATCAAATAATAATTAAAAATAAATGTTACAAAAATCATAACATGTGACTGCTTATTAAAATAATCTCTGAGCTGAGTATGGCGGCGCACACCTTTAGTCCCAGCACTCAGGAGGCAGAGGCAGGCAGATCTCTTGGGTTCAAAGCTAGCCCAGTCTATGGAGTGAGTTTCAGGACAGCCAGAGCTATGCCTCAAATACAGAATAACCGTCATCGTGTCTGAGCCCTGCTGTGAGCAGTGGTGCGGCAGGCTGGCAGGAGCTTGTGAGGCTCCTGAGGGAGCCTGACGTCCCAGGTAGATGTGGCTGCTGATCTCCAGCTTTGGAATGATGGGATGAGGAGACAGCCATGTACAATGCTCACGTCTGCCACTGCCTGTCAGGGGCAGAGGTGGCTTCACCCAGGGAGGTGAGGAGGGTATCAGAGCATGCTGTTCTGGGCATGCTCTGTGGCGCAGAGGTGAGCGCAGGTCTCACTGAGCTGGGTGAGGAATAGGCTCACCCTCGGGTGGTAGTAGGCCTCCTGCCTGTCTGTCTGCCTAGTAACACCCCCTTCTCACTTTGCAGAAACATGCTGAGGAGATCTCCAAAATGAGAAATGACTTTGAAAGGCAAGTTCGAGGTCAGTTTCGCAGACATAGACCGGGTAGGATGGTGTCAGGGAACCCCTCCCATCACTGCTTGGTAGGTAATTTGAAGCACATAAGTCATATTAAAGCAGCTTGCACACACTCACACACACACACACGAGAGAGAGAGAGAGAGAGAGAGAGAGAGAGAGAGACAGATGGACAGACAGCAGGGAGGAGGAGATAGACACAGAGAGAGCCTATTTCTCAAGCCAACAGATTCATTTAGAGCCACAGAAAAACTCGTCACCATGTGAATTTGGGGAGCTGCCGTTAACGCCGGCGTCTCCGGAAGCAGCAGTTAGCAGCATGTCGTACTTTGTTCACCGTTCTCTGTAGCTCCTGGACTGAAAAGCCATTCGTGTCAGGAGTCCATCTTGCTTATTTCTGTGCCCTCTAGCACGTGGCTGGATGCCATGGTTAGCGTGGCGAGGAGCGGTGGTAGTGAGCCTGAAGATGTCACCCGCAGGAAAGGCTCTAGCCGTCCGGCTCTCTGGCGCAGTCGCCTGTGCCGCCTCTGTGTGACCCAGCCGCTGTTCCCAGCACCTCTGAGAGGCTCCGTCTTTTCCTGTGGCTTCAGGTCACCTGTTCTAAGCTGCCGCGTGTGCTACTGCCTTTCAGAAATCGAGGCCAAGTATGACAAGAAGATGAGGATGCTGAGGGACGAGCTGGACCTGCGGAGGAAGACGGAGATCCATGAGGTGGAGGAGAGGAAGAACGGCCAGATCAGCGTTCTAATGCAGCGCCATGAGGAGGCCTTCACCGACATCAAGAACTACTACAACGACATCACGCTCAACAACCTGGCCCTAATCAATTCCCTCAAGGTACCGCTGTGCCCTGGGAGGTGTGCTCAGGGCCCACGGGGCAGACCCCGCAGTCCTGCCAGGCCTCGCACTCCTTCTATGATGATACTGGACAGGGTCCCCCTGTCACTCAGAGGAAATTCATGAGTAGTGTAAGCAAGCCACGGTGTAACCGGAAGTCGTCTGGACATTTCCCTGACTGTGATGTAGGGGAAGGGGCAACTTAAAGGTGTCCTGACAAGTCAATGTGGGCAGGGAGAGGAGGCCGTTCAGACTGATATGTGGCTGGCCGGCAGGGTGCCTGGGAGTTCCTCCATCAGCCACTGCTTGGTGGCTTAGGACACATAAACCTGACCCCCACAGGACTGCCACAGTGGGGAACTGCCTGCCCTTGGTCTAAACAAATGTGACCCTCAGTCTGCATGGGAGTTATATTCTTACATAATTCAGAATAGAGCAAGACTGCAAAAGTATCGCTTATATGTAAAATAAGACTAGATCCTCAGCATGCACATGACTGCTTGGTTTTTTGACACAGGGCACCTCACTGGGTAGTCCTGACTGTCCTAGAACTCACTATGTAGACCAGGCTGGCCTTGAACTCACTGAGGTCCACCTGCCTCCCGAGGGCTGAGATTGATGCTGTGTGCACCACCACGCTGGCTCAGACCTCTTTTTAACTGAGAGCATCCATGGCTGGAGATGGTGGCGCAAACCTGTAATCCCAGTGCTGAAGAGGTAGAGGCAGGAGGAGAACAAGTTCAAAGCCAGCCAATGGTTAGGGAGCCATTGTCTTAAACAAACCAACAGTGCCGGTGTGACAGTTCAGTGGGTAAAGTGCTTGCCATGTGAGCCTGACCACCGGAGTGGGGGCCGAGAACCTGCCGTGGGAGGAGAGGGCTGACCCCGGAGAGTTGTCCTCTGACCTCTGCATGTGTGCTGTGCTGTGAACACCCACACTCGCATCTCACACAAAACTGAGAGCACTGGGCCTGTGCCCTCACATCCCCATGCACACTGTGCTAACAGGAACAGATGGAGGACATGCGGAAGAAGGAGGAGCATCTGGAGCGGGAGATGGCAGAGGTGTCGCTGCAGAACAAGCGGCTGATGGAGCCTCTGCAGAAAGCCAGGGAGGAGATGAACGAGATGCAGAAGAGACTTGCCAACTTCCAGAGGGACAAGCAGATCCTAATTGTGAGGCTCCTGCCTTCCCTCCCTGCTGGGCCCAGGAGGGGGGCAGGCTCACCTCAGCACAAGGAAGTGCTGGTGCTCCACCGACCACCGACCACTGACCACCGACCACCGACTGTCTCCTGCTCTCCCTCTCTCTCTCTTCCCCCACCACTCCCCCTCCCTTTCTCTCTCTCTCTCTCTCTCTCTCTCTCTCTCTCTCTCTCCCTCACACTCTTTCTCTCTCTGGCTCTTTCTCTGGCTCTTCTAGGCTTCTGTAGACTAGTCCCCAGTTTTCCACACATTTCACGCATAGCTGGGCCACCAGCTGCTGGAGTCTCCAGCCAGTTGGTCCCCGTGATTTTTTTCTGCCTTCCTGTCTCCAGGAGTCTGCTTTGTGAGTGTCTGTGAATCCTAAGTATTTCATGTCTCCTGTTCCCCAACCCCTCTGCAGTGCACAAAGGCTCGTTTAAAGGTCACCGAGAAAGAGCTGAAGGACCTACAGTGGGAGCATGAGGTGCTGGAACAGCGGTTTGCTAAGGTGAGCAGGCGCGCAGGCCTCGGCTGGTCCCTCCTCGGCACACTGTTGTCTGTTGGCTTGGAAACAGTGTCTCACTGCCTCACTCAGCTCTTAAGTTCCTGGGGTCTACCATTCCCTTGAGTAGCTGGAAGTGTGTGCGTGTGTGTGTGCGTGTGTGTGTGTGTGTGTGTGTGTGTGTGTGTGTGCGTGTGCGTGTGTGTGCGTGTGTGTGTGTGTGTGTGCGTGTGTGTGTGGGTGGTTTCTCTGTGTGTACCCCTGACTGTCATGGAACTCACTCTGAAGACCAGGCTGTGAACTCACAGAAATCCGCCTGCCTCTGCCTCCTGGTTGCTAGGATTAAAGGTGTGTGGTACCACCACCACCTGTCATGCACACAACTTTTATGAGGCAATACCCTGTGCTATACTGTGTAGAAGGCCGAGAGTCTCATGAGGACCAGGGGCCCTGGGAGTGGCCCTTCGTCTCTTTGGAGGCTAGACTATCAGCTTGTGAGGGATGCTTGGTCCCTGTGACTTCACTCCTTAGTGTTAGCTATTCATTGTAAACCTAGATCCATAGTTCAGGGCCAGCCTGGACCACAAGGAGACTGTGCCTCTAAATAAGTAAGTAAAGAAATACCATGCTTTGATAAAGAAACAGAACCACTTTTAACATGAACTCTCAGAGGCCACTAATGTGGACATTTGGTGTGACCCTCCTCTTGTGCACGTGTGAAAGCAGTCTGACTGTTGGGAGTGAGATAGGAGGTGCTTACACTGCAGCTTTTCAGGCCGTGGTGCGCCCTTGAAAGTAGATCGAGATCTGAGACAGAGACTGCTCCAAAGGGCCGCTCTGCCGAAGACGAGCACAAGCCGCCACGGTCTGTACTCATGAATTCTCCAAAGACTAATACAGTCCACAGAGGAAAGTCTCGCATCTCGGATGGGACAGAGTTGGCCTTGGCAGGGAGGGGCATCGGCAAGGATAGAGGAGGAGGAATCTCTGCCACCCGCAGGAATTGTCATAATGCATGTTAAGTGACACCGCCTAAGCCTGGTCATCTGCAGTGCATGGGAGTAGATACAAGTGGAGGAGAAGGGCACGGATGGATCTGTGTGGGGTGGGCAGAGACTCAAGCCTGCTGTGGTTCTGCCTGACTCTCATATTGGGTGATTGAATATAAGGGCTCGCCGTGAGCTTGCGGTCCTACCTGTGGCATGGCTTCCAAGTACAGTGACTCTATCCAGCTCTTGCTTTCCGAGAAGGGCAGTCAGTGTGCTGGACAGTTTAATGTCAACTTGACAGAGGCTAGAGGATGGAACCTCAGCTGAGGAAATGCCTTTATGAGTTCCAGCAGTAGGGTGTTTTCTTAACGAGTGATGGATGGGGAGGGCCAGACCACTGTGCCTGGGGACACCCCTGGGCTGGCGGTCCTGGGCTCTATAAGAAAGCAGTTGAGCAAGCCATGGGGAGCAAGGCAGTGAGCAGCACCTCCACGGCCTCTGCGTCAGCTCCTGCCTCCAGGTTCCTGCCCTGTGTGCGTTCCTGTCCTGGCTTCCTTCAGTGATGACTAACAGTGTGGGGGTGCAAGACAAAAAAATCCTCTTCCCCCCAGCTTCTGGTCATGGTGTTTCACAGCAATAGTAGCCCTAACTAGAATAATGCCAATTGTAACAGCCCGGGCTGGGATGACACTGACTTCCCCCTCTTGTGCTATGTGCTGAGCTACCCCCTGTCATTGTGTGCACGTAGGGTCTAGTGCAGGCAGTGTTGTGGACAGCATGTGCCGGGGGGGGGGGGGGGGGGGGGGGGGGGCCGAGTAACCCTTCTCCAGAAGAAGGGGGGGGGGGGGGCTGGTGGGAAGTGGTTTCTCCCTGAGGAGGTGGCTCCAGGTGGGGTTCTTGTTGGTCACCTCGGTCTTGTGGCCCCCAGGTCCAGCAGGAGAGGGACGAGCTGTACCAGAAGTTCACTGCGGCCATCCAGGAGGTGCAGCAGAAGACAGGCTTCAAGAACCTGCTGCTGGAGCGTAAGCTGCAGGCACTGAACACAGCGGTGGAGAAGAGAGAGGTGCAGTTCAACGAGGTTCTGGCAGCCTCCAACCTGGACCCGACAGCACTGACGCTTGTGTCCCGTAAACTTGAGGTAGGTACTGGTGGCCTCCTGAGCCACGGTGTTGTTTTCCATGGTGGCCCCCCAGCACTGTGCTCTGCCTTCTCAGGTGGCACAGAGACCCCTCGGGTAAGCCAGGGGCTGCCCTGGTTCATGAAGTGAGAGCAGGGTGTGGACTAGAGGCTCTAGTGCACTGGAACTATCCTCCACCCTCATCTCTCTCCCTGTTTGAGACAGGAATTCACTCTGCAGACCAGGGTGGCCTCACATTCGCAGAGCTCCACCTCCTGAGTGCTGGGATTAAGGGCCTGTACTAAGCCCGGCTCTGCAGTCTCTCTTGGGCTGTCCCAGTCCCTCACTGACCCTATCCCTAACCTGAGTCTGCTCTTCCTGTTTTGCTGTGGCTCATAGTGTGCCAAGCCTTAGTCAGTGAATGGAACCTGGGTAACCTAGGAAGAAAACTGATCTGGGGATTTGTAGGTCCAGGTTCCTCTGTTACTTGAGACGCAATGGCTCTGCCTCTGTGAAGATCCTAGGGCCCTGATGTAGCACTTGGACAGTGACAATGAGGAGAGTTGGGCCATAGGGGCTGTGGAGCCTGACTTAGCCGTTGCTGCTTTCTTGGGCTCTGAGGAGTAATGTCTGAACAGAGCTAAGAATGTCACTCGCTCATGTGGCAGTGCTGTAAAGGGAGAATCTGGGAGGTACAGGGATAGATGAAACAAGTGAAGCTTCATCCGCTGGGAGAGCTGGGAACAGAAGATTCTCTGTTCCCTGAAGAGTCAGGAGGCCGACCCTCTGGCAGAACCTCCCTGTTGCCTCTGTTTAAGCTTCTGGCAATGGCCAGGTCTCTCTGCTTCCTCTACCTTGCTTGGAAGAGGCGGGACATAGAAGGAGCATGTGGCACAGGTTGAGGGGGTCTGGCTAACAGGAATGCCAGCCTGCTGATATGACTGATGGCTTCCAGACTTTGGTTGGTCCCAATAGCTCTGGGCATCTGTCCTGGGGTCCCTTGGAGAAAGCTGTGGTGGTTTACCGCCGGTCTCATGGATGCTCCTAGAATGAGAACAGCTATATCTGAAGCCCCAACAGACCCAGGAAGGGGCCAGTTCATTCCCAAGCAGATTCCTTAGGGCAGGAGAGCACACAGCTTCTCTGTGGCTTGTGCTGTGCTCGCAGCAGGAAGGCAGCCATGCAATGGCAAGTGCGGTGACATCAGCATACAGGCTAGTGGAGCCTGAGTGCCAGTGCTCACTAGACCTCAGGCTCAGAGGGCTAGCGTGGTGTGAGGCCAGTGTAGAGTTCCAGTTCCGTTTGCCTCATAGCCTTTGTGATCTGAGCCATGCAGTGAGGCATCGCAGGTAGCCCACTGCTGAGCCACGCCAGCGAGTACCCGTGCGTTGGGGGATGCAGACTTCGGGTGTTCTAGAGACCCAACTACTGTACTGAGCAGTTTAGTGACAATGGGAACTGTGGGATTTTCTGGGCAGAGGCTGGTCAGCAAGAGCCCACCTTACCTCACGTGGGAAGTGTAGGTGGAGAACAGTAAGCGAGGCAGAAACTCCAAGAGCCATCAGGAGGCTGACCCAAGAGGGTTTGTGCATGATTGAGGAGGGCCCAGGGTAACATCCAGATCCTTCAGCCGTGAGGCCAGTGTTTGCTCACAGTAGTTTGTGGGCTGTCTACCAGAGGAGAGTCCCCAGACGTGGATCTAAACCGATAGAAAGTCTTGACTAGCTGGCTGGTGACAGCAATAGGAATTTGGGATACCAGTGTAGCACTGAGCCTTTCTCACATACACACAAAAACAAAACAAAACAAAACAACCCCTAACATATTTTAGTCTGATATAGTTCAGTTAGCATGAATAGTTAGCCAGAAGCAGAACTACAGAAGCCAAGAAGCAGCATTAGTATATGAGAGACTTTCCCAGAACTGTGGTCTTTGTTTTCATTTTGGGCAGGTGGTGCTATCTATGTGTTGAGTTTTACAGCCTGAATAGCACTTCCATCATGGAGTCAGTTGTGCTAAGGCTGGGCCTGTTACAGTAGTAGGTTCTGGTCCAGTGGGTAGTGGCATGGGTGACGTGGATTACTTGGTAGGTCAATTTTCAGGTGCTACCATTATCCAGGAGAGACCCTGTTGGACTTGGCAGTAGTGGAGTCCTGAAGCTGGTCTCTGCTCATTGCTGTGCCCTGGTCAGACATGTGGAGAATAAGATCCTGCTGCTGGGTGCAGAGGAAGGAACACTCTACCCCTTGTAGAGTGACTGAGGCAAGGGTGTTCCCAGTTGTAGCCATCCCGATCATGGTGTGTTGGGCTCTAACTGTGAGAGCTCTTCCTCTCCTGGTCACTACTATTGCAGTTTATGGCCAAAGGAGAGAACCTTTCATGGAAGTGACAAAGTGACAGTGAGTTTTTTATTAGTGGTTATTTTAAAGTTGCATTGCAGTTTTTCTCTTAACCAGCTAGCACCCAAATAATTGAGAATGGACTACCATTTTTTTTTAAGACCTCTGGAAGAGCAGCCGGTGCTCTTAACCTCTGAGCCATCTCTCCAGCCCTTATTTAGCAAGCTTTAAGGCACAGCAACTGAGCAGTATTGATCTGTTTTAACCCTCTAAGATAATCTCACTATTTCATAGCACAAATCCCTCAGATACTTGTGGCTTTCTCTGCTCCAGCTGCTCACTCATATCTCCTGACCTCTCCTGCCTGAATCCCCACTTCTCTCTCCTCCTCCTCCCCTGGCTGGCAGGAAGTCCAGCCCTACCTATTCTCCTCCACCCCCACTCAGTCATTGGCTGTTAAGCTTCTTTATTGACATATCAGGGAACAGCTGCAGCATTGAAATAGCACATTCTCAGAACAAGGACTGCAACCAGATATGGGGGCACAAAAATCAGCATTTGAATCTTTACACAATACACAATAACATTATGCTACAGTTTCTGCTTTTTATTTTTGAGCCAAGGTCTCACTATGTAGACCAGGCTGGCCTCAGACTGACAGAGAACCATCTGCTTCTGCCCCCTGAGTGCTGGGATTAAAAGCATGTGCCACTACTGCCTGGTGATTGTAGAGTTTTAAAAGTTGTCCTAAGAGCTGGGAACAGTGGCGCACACCTTTAATCCCAGCACTCTGGAGGCAGAGGCAGGCAGATCTCTGAGTTCAAGGCCAGCCTGGTCTACAGAGCAAGTTCCAGGGTGGCCTGGGCTACACAATGAAACCCTGTCTCAAAAAACAAAAACAAATAACAAAACAGTAAGATTGAGAGCAATACAGGAGGATACCGCTGTCCTGTCACATATCAACCACTGCCATCTTGGGGATGTAGGCAATACAAAGACACTACTGCTGACCCCACTTTCTTTCTCTGTTTTTTGGAGAGAAGGTTTCTCTGTGTAGCCTTGGCTGTCCTAGAATGTACTCTGTAAACCAGGCTTGCCTCGAACTCACACAGATCTGCCCCCAAGTCATGAAATTAAAGGCATTACCACCACCACCCAATTTACTGTCCTTTTTTTCTTGGTTCTTGCTTATCCCGTGTTACTTAGCAAGCTTTAAGGCACAGCAACTGAGCAGTATTAATAGATTAATCTGCAGGCACTGCAGACAGGCCTGCCTGGTCCACACTTAGGACTCGTCTCTTACCGTGTTCAAGTCTGTCTCTCCCTCACCCTTTGTTCACCCGGCATCCTAGGCAGATGGAAGAGCCTCGCTGGTCTCCAGATTAATGTCCACTCCCTTCAGCAGGCCCAGTCAGGCTCTTGCCCTTGCTGATGCCTTTGTGAGTCTACACAGCTCCATTCCTCCCGTGCTGAACAGGAGTGTCAGTTGGCTCCTCCTGATGCCCTCCTGATAGCTGGTTCTTTCTGCTGACAAGCCTGTGTGGAAATGTATTGGGTTGAGGTGACACATACCGCTATTCTTTGAGCCCTTCAGACCCTCAGGGAACTCCCGGACTAGTGTACATTTGTCCACCCTGCTAGATGACAAACATAAAAATCACCTTGTCCTTCTCCTTAGGATGTCCTAGAATCAAAGAATACGACCATCAAGGATCTACAGTATGAACTGGCCCGGGTCTGCAAGGTATGGCTAAGCCCCATCCCCGGGGCTCCACCTCCTCCCTCGGAGGTTTTAACCCTACTGTGACTACTGTAGTGCGGGGTGTGTGAGGACTGCACTCATTTCCTCTGTGTACTTCATTCAGGAGGCAGGTATGGTACTCCCCGTGTGGCATGCACGCACAGCCTTAGGGCCTGAGACCTTGTCCTGGCACTGTGGATAGGCCTGCCTGGTCCACACTTAGGGCTCGTCTCCTGCCGTGTTCAAGTCTGTCTCTCCCTCACCCATCTTTGTTCACCTGATGTCCTCGGCAGATTTCCTCTCTGGTCTTTAGATTGATGCCCACTGCCTTCAAGTCAGGCTCTCGCCCTTGCTGATCCCTTTGTGAGTCTAAGCAGTTCCATACGTTCCCATGCTGAACAGGAGTGTCAGCTCCTCCTGGACCCTGGCCTCCATCTGTCCATCACCTGAGAGAGGCCTGGCTTCTGTACCCAGCTGGGCCTGAAGGGATTGCCCTCTCCTCTTTGCCCACTGTCTTGCCAAGGATATACTTAGAGCAGTCACCCCACAAGTCACATTCCTCATGTGGGGGCAGGCATGGCACCCCTTTTCAGTTGTATAGGGCCTTCTCCAGACACATATGTGTCCACCCTGTTTGTTTGTTTTTAACCCTAGACATAAGTAGGCAGGATCTGTTGCTGCGTCCCAGGCTCCATGCTGCAGGAGCTGCCCTGGCTTCCCAGCCCTCCCTAGAGGTCAGGCTAGAGCTTTCCTTATCACACCCATTCCTCAGCTGACCCAGCCTTGGCTTTTATCTGATCAGGTGTCTGAACCTGGGTATCGGGTAACCAGAGCCCAGCCCCTGAGTTTTCTCTGGAGCTCATCCTTATTTGCCTCTTTCTCTCTATTTCTAGTCACTGGTTCTCTTTCCTGAACCACAGTGACGATAAGGAACCCTTTTTCTGTTTTTGTTTGAGACACAGTCCCACTCTGTAGCCCTGGCTGGCCTAGGGCTCACTCTGTAGACCAGGCTGGCATGGAACTCACAGAGATCTGCCCGCTTCTGCCTCCTGAGTGCTGGGATTAAAGCTGTGTGCTGCAATCCCCAGCTAATGAACCCTTTTGATCATTTGCTTTGAGCGTTTGACAGCATTTACACAGGTTCCAAGCATTCCTCATTTCACTCAATTCATCAACACTTATAATCCTAGCACTTGGGGGTTGCTGAGGCAGGAGGAACACGAGTTCAAGGACAGCCTAGACTACAATGTGAGACCATCCCTCAGAGATGACTAAAACACTTTCAAGTCTTAAGCCGCCTGGTGAAAGCCTCCCAGTTACACACATGCACTGGGGGTTAATAGCGTAGTTGGGTTCTCAGCGTCCACATGGATGGCTCACAGCTGCCTGTAACTTCCCCAAGGAATCTGACTTTCTCTTCTGGCCTCCTTGGGCATCTGCACATACGTGCACCCACACACACACATATATAGTAACAATACAAAAACTGGACATGCTTTTTTTGAGCTGGGTGTGGTGGCACACCTCTGTAATCCCACCACTCATGAGCAGGGACAAGTGGATCTTGGTAATGTCTAGGCCAGCCTGGTCGCAAGTTCCAGGCCATCAAGGGTTATATCTGGAGATTATGTGTAAAGAGGAAAAAAAACCCAAAAAACCGTTTTTGCAAGGTATGTTGGTGTGTACTTGTAATCTTAGTGCTCACATGGCTGAAACAGCAGGCTTTTTTAAATTAAAAAATTTTGCCTACATTTTGATCATGTTTCTTCCTTTTCCCCAATTCCTCCCAGATTGCTCAACTTTGTGCTCTCTCTCTCTGTCTCTTTCAAAAACAAAACCAACAAATAAAACTTACAAAAAATGGGGTTGGGGGAAGACCCAAACAAGTAAAACACTAAGAAGAAAAATAAATGCCAAAGCAAAACAAAATGCAACAGAAAGTCCACACTGAAAAGAACAAAACCAAAACCACGGAGGTTGTTATGTGTTGGGTCACCTGCTCCTGGGCATGGGGTCTGCCCTGGAGTGTGGCTGCTGTGCCCAGTGACACTGAATGGAGAAAACTCACTTTCCCTCGAAGCAATGAGACTGAATGCCAGGCCATTCTGGGATATGGCAAGTTCTAGCTAGCCTGGGCTACATAGTCTAGCTAGCCTGGGCTACATAGTAGGGCCTTCTCCCATACAAAAATGAAAACAAACACTGAAAAACAAAGCAAAATTAGCAGAGAACCCCCACCCAAGGTGTTACTTGTGTTTGCTGGCCCACCAACAGTGTTTCTGGGGGCTAGGGGCGGTGAATAGACGCCATTCTACCATGGTGGAAGAGGGAGAGGCCCTGGGTAGATGGGCCAGGAGTCCACCAGACGCAGTTCTCCTCAGTCTGTCCTCATTGTGAGGTATTCAGGTCAATGGCAGGAAGGCGTCCGCACAGCCTGGCACAGACAAACCACTGGCAGATTCTCATTCCTTTCTACCCCTGTGCTTGGCCCAGCCCTCCCACCCAACCTTTCCACCTTTCCATGGGATACAGCCTCCCTCTGGGTGGGCCATGGCACGTTGGTTATGGTTTCCAGGCCCACGTGGACCCCTTCTTCCTGACATTGCTCTGTCCTTTCAGGCCCACAATGACCTGTTGCGTACATACGAGGCGAAGTTACTGGCCTTCGGGATCCCCCTGGACAATGTGGGGTTCAAGCCCCTGGAGACAGCAGTGATTGGACAGACACTGGGACAGGGCCCCGCAGGGCTTGTGGTTGCCCCCACCTAGCCACCTTTTGGGCTTCAGCCTCTGGAGCTGGCCTTGCCCACTTCCCAGATGACATCCCTTCTACACCAAGAACAGCACGCTTCTGTTTTGTAGACTGCAGCAGCAGCAATGAAAGTTTTCCACATTTCCTTCATGTTCTCTTTGTGGGGAAGAAGTACCTGCAAGGCCTGACCTCAGGTTTCCTCTTCTATGTCCTTCCCAGGTATAGCCTGTGTCACACTGCCGCCAACCTCCGCCTTCCTCCAAGGGCCCCTCAAATTCTACCCTGTTGGGGTTTGAAGCCCATGGCTGGGCACTTTGGGCAGAGAAGGGCTGGCAGGCTGCCTCCTTGGGGCCAGGCTCTGCACACCCTCCCCGGGTAGACGGTATAGGACCACGGGCTCAGGAACAGAGGCTTGTGAATTCCATGCATCTCTCTCCTGGTTTGATTTCTGTTGCTGTGATAAGTACCGGGACCGGAAGCAGGTTGGGGGAAGGAAATGATTGACTTCATCTTGGGACTCTCACTGAGGGAAGGCAGGACAGGCACCTGCAGCCGGAACCAGGAGGCAGGAACTGAGGCACACTATGGAGGAACGCTGCCCACTGGTTTCCTCTTTATGGCGTGTGGCACACAGCTCAGGGCCTGCTTGCCCAGGGGGCGCTGGCCACAGTGGGCTGGCACTCGCACATCATCGATAACCAAGGAAACACCTTACAGACTCCAGGACAAGCCACCACATGGTGACACCTCCTAACATTTCCTCTTCCCAAATGACTCTAGTGTTCAGATGACAAAGACTGAGCAGAAGGCACTGGAGCAGCTCGAGGGGCCTAAGCCCACAAGCTGCTTGGTCTCCATGCGAGGATGCAGACACTCACACTGCTGCTGGGGAGACTGTAGTTCAGGAGACCATCCCAGCTTCTCTGAGGGCGGAGGATGGCATGAGTCCTCTCTGGAGAGACCCATGCCGAGTGGACTCCATGGACTTGCTGAATGTAAAAATGAGCACAGGCATTTCCAATGAAGAAACAGGAGCGTAGTAGGGCTACATTCTGAGCCTAGGACTCCTCAGATGAGACCCTGAGAACAGAGAGTGATGAGTCACCTTGGGCAGGGTTCTGAAGACCTGAGTACACAGGAGAGAGGTAAGAGGAAGCAGGAAGAGAAAGAGAAGGAGGGGCCTGAATGCAAAGCCTCAAAGCATAATCCCACTGAGACCTATATATACCTCTGATACTGGGCTCATTGACTGTTGTGGACCAGGGCCCTGGGACCAACACACACCTTGAGCTACACCAGCCACTACCGGCTCTCAACTCACCCACCATCCATCATACACAATACACCATCCACCCATCCATCCACCATCCGTCCACACATCCACCCATCGACCCATCCACACATCGTCCATCCTTCATCCATCCAACCATGCACCATCCACTCATCCATCTATCATTCATTCATCCATCCATCCAAACCTTCCCTCCTCTGCTTCAGACACCAACTCCTCCTTGAACCTATGGGGCCTGAACAACCCACACAGCAGGAGGAGGAGGACAACGAGGAGGAGATCACATTGGGCAGCGTGGACACAGCTGCCCGGACTGACGGATACTACAGAGCTCCGCCACCAGCCCCTGGACATCGACTGCGCGCCCACCCCCGGCCCCTCGATCCCTGGAGAGCTGTGGGTTCCCTTCCAGCCCGCCTCTGGGCCTGACAAGAACCGTCCTGCACCCGGACATTTGTGGACCGTGGCCCAGTGACCCGTGGACGTTATTCAGCTTCATCCGCCTATCGACACTCACACATCCTCCCAACCGTCCACCTATGCACCTCTTCCCCCACAAACCGACCCTACATAATTGCAGGCTCCCTCGTCCAGACCATTATAATGCCCTAAAAACACACCCTCGCCCACACACACCCAAGAAACACCCGATCACTACCCACGCACAACCCAGCGCAAGCCACACCAATCACAGTGAAACACGGAAATCAAAGGCAGGAACACGCACGGACACAGACAAGCCAGGAGCCAAGGGCAGTGGAGAACCAGGATGTGTGGTTCCAAGGCTCCACGCGAGACAAGACGGCCTCCCCGCGCACGGTCCCTCCACGGAGGTCCTGGGATGCCCGCACTGGGCACCCGCTCCCCCCCGTGTGGTGTCCCGCGCGTGGGCTGGCGGTCTCCACCCCGCCAGCCTGCAGCCTGGTCGGAGGGGGGCGCCCCTCGGCTTTGCGGAGGGTGGCGTGGGGGGAGTCCCTGGGCGTGGCCCCGCCCGGCCCGGTCCACAGAGCTTTGCAGAAGCAAAAGCAAAGCCCCTTTCTTAGGCTCCTGCCAGACAAAAAGCCTACAGCACCCGGTATTCCCAGGCGGTCTCCCATCCAAGTACTAACCAGGCCCGACCC